ACGACACTCAAAAGAGGAGGGAGGCCATGTAATGCGATAGTGGTTTATCCCTCGGTTCTGGTGAGGCGCCACTTTTGTGCTTCGAATTAGCCCCCTTGTACCTCGCTGGGTGGGCTGGCCTTTTGGGCCATGCCAATAGCCCAGACACCTTCTCCGTGCTAAATATATACATTCTGCACGAGTATTGTGTCTTCTTTCGTCTTCAGCGAGTCTCGGGACGCTACATTATGGTCACTTCTTGGTTTGTCTAGATGTATTTGTTGCTGCGTGGGCCCTTTAGTCGCCTCAGGTTTCGATCGAGCCGTAGGGCATGCTACGTAGTGGATTCTAGAATTTCATTCTTTTGCATTTGCCCCCACATCATTAAACCGGGTAAAGTGGTTGGAACAATGCATTTTTCTCTGGACAGATGTCGTAAAAATGACAGAGGGTAGGGGCTTCATAGGTTGGGGATAAAGGTGTCTGCTCCGTCTCAAGGCTTGTATATATTGCCAGCTGTTCAACTAAAAGGGCGAGACTAGAAAAACAAGTAATAAAGTTAATAAAATCTCATCCTCAAGATACGTTAACCAAAAACCTACCCCCATACTATTAGCAGGAATGAGCCATTATTTTTGGTTTACATACTTGACTGATCTGAACGTACATGCCAAGCAAAATACATTTAGGCCGCTAAAAATAATATTTTTACATCTTTTGATAAAAATCATTTTGCTGATTAGCATTTTGCTTTCCAAATGGCTGCAAAACGGCTTTTGTTTTAATCAGCATCAACGCTGCCGGGTATATAAGTGGGTAACTTCCCAAGTAGTAGGTTGTGATGATTGGTGCACCGCCTTTGGGTGGCATGCTTGTCGATACTCAGTCAAGTTTAACTCTGACTGAGAACAGACTTCTCACTTCTTCTTCTTCTTCTAAACTCCTCAGTAATAATGAAGCCGTTGAGAGTGGCTATTCTGCACCTGCTAAAATACGGAAGATATCTGAGGACGAAATTAAACATGAGAGCCTCAATAGCAACTTTTCAGCTCTTTTGCATCGAGTAGACCATGCTTTAACAACACACACTGATATGGTTTTCCGAACTTCTGGGGATCTTGCAAAGAAATCAGGCGAAATTTTTGAGTACAAGGTTGCACCATCTGCTGATATAAGTGATGCCAAGGTATCACGTGCTGTTTTTACCTATTTTCTAGTTCGCTTTAATATGCTATGCTATGTCCTCTTTGAATCCTTACAATTCGCCTTCAGTGCCTGCAAACAAAATAAGACTTATTCGACTACTCGAAGATGTGGAAGAGCATGACCCCGAATTTATTCTGAAGGTGTGTGTTGGCATCCTGTTTTACAGATTTTAGACTGCAGTTTACTGTCGGAAAGTGTTGAATATTAGATATACGACAAGTTTTATCATTGCCTTTGCTGCCGATTCATCTGCTTGTCGGCCTTATTTGTCGAAATATTATTCCGCTGCAGTCGGCCTTCCTTCCGATTGGCTTAAAATAATCGAAATTTATAGGGTTTGAGTTTTTTTAGTAATTTTACTTCTAGTCTTTCGATCCTTCAAGGAACTTTTCTTTACCAAATGCTTTAAGACGAGCAATGGTGGAAAAATTTCAGGAATTTGATCAATACCAGCTTGGTATGTTGGCATTATTGGAAAAGCTGATCGCCTTTAGCCAAATACAACAGAGAAATAGCTGAAACAAAGACAAATAAAAACACACGTGAAAAAAATGAAGTGCTGAGGCATACATTGTCGTTGAAAAAAATGATCCGTCATTTGCATATATCTCAACCTGTTTTGGTTGTTATGAGTCTTTTGGGCAAGACCTATCCCACGAGCGTCTCAGATTTCATCGAGAGTGGCCTTCCCGGTGAGTGGAATCCCTACCTAGCTGGAACTCGCATGCGTTTGCCCGTGCCGTATACGTGGGAAACGGAACTTTCAAGGACCCCAATGCATGACCAACTGGATGCTTGGCACAATCTCATTGGTAGACTTCATTATTTTGATGCTTTTTATCAATTATGCATCTGAACTTCTATAGGACTTTATCCCATGATTTGAGTCCCATTAATTTGCAATCGTATTTTATTTGTATCCTTATCGAGGTTGATCTTGAACTTGAATAATTTCATGCAACATTAATTTTCTTCGAAGACTCCGGGAAGCTTCCCTACATGGCTACATTGCGCAATCTTCGTAATCTCCTGTTGGTTGGTATAGACGAGGCCCACATGAGAAAGGTGATTCGCAAATTGACGACCGAAGTAAGTTATTTTTTTGGATAATGCAATAGAAGTAAACATTGAGTCGTTATTGTTGTTTTTTTCTTTGGAAAATAGAGAGAAGTCGCATCGTCAAAGCAACTACCGTTCAGATACTTGAGTGCTTTCACAGCCCTCAATGAACTTCGTATCGCTAAAGAAGCGCAGCCGCATTTGCCAAAAAAGTTAGCCAAGTATAGTAAGGATGAACATTCTTTTATTTCATTGTTTAAATGCTACTTTCCTTTATGTCTGCCTTGACTCCGATTTGATCCATTCTGTGTTTATTTCGTCTATTTTTTGCTTGCAATATTTTGACCATTTCATTTATTTACGCTTTTAGGAGAAAGAAAGGAAAAAATAAGAAGGAAACGCCTGAGCGAGTAAGATTAAGTTTTTTTGACATTCTGGTAAAAATTCTAGGACCTTTGTTGTCTTTCCGTCTCTTTATTTTTGTACAAAATTACAAAAGATTAGTTACACCTCATTGACCTCATCGTATGGCCATGGCAAATCCTAGAAAGCATACCAGCGCTCTTATCTTCCAGGGGAAGGTTATGTGGAGTTGTATGGAGTATCATCTGGTGCTATTGACCTGTCAAACGCGTAAATAGTGGTTTCATTGGATAAAGTTGGGGCGATGTTGTAGTCTCCTGAATCGCCTCATGCAGATGTTTTCTTCTGCTGCTATGCCGTTTTGGTTTGCTGCGAGGAAAAGCGATCCTATCGCCTATTTGAATTTGTTCCGCTAAAGTGTACTACTACCTTTGATGATAAAAACTCTATTTATAACTTTCGTGAAGTTATCTACGTTCAAACTGGTTTGTATAATCGGCAAATTAAGTTAGTAATCCATCTCTTCCCACAGACTCGATTTTAACAAAGTGAAGGCTTTTGAAGATGCGATCGAGCGAGCTTTTGATCTCTCAATTCACCTCAATCTACCGACAATATCTGGATCGACTTTGATCATTGTGAACTTACGGGAGGACTCGTTGTCTGATTTGCGTGTTGGAAGCGATGTACGCTTATGTGGAGTTTTTTATACGCATAATATTGTATTGCTTGAGTTAGCTGGAAAGATTGTATATGCGGGCCATGTTAGCACTTGTTACTACATTACAGTGAACATCCACTTTTTACTACCCATTTCTTTCCAGTATGTTTCATCTCAACTGTTGCTGGCCTTCATGTGCATGGCAGTGTGTGAAGACTATGATGCCCTCTTTCACTTATCGCCCAATGTCATTTACAATTCGAAATATTTTGCCTCACTAATGCCTGGGGAAGGCGCCCTACTTGAAACCGTCAAAAGAGTTTCCACCATTCTGGAGGTAACGTATTGATATTTAATGACATTTAACTTACTGAAACATACTGCCATCAATACTCCCCATAAGTAATTCTTTCGGATTTGCTTCGGGCATTCAAATTCTTCCAACTTATGATGGGCTTCATAAAACTCACGCTGGACATCTCATATTGAAAATGTCTCACGAATCTGCCTTTCTTGGTGCTCGATAAAGTAGCAAATTTGCGTGTCTTTTTTTAGGAACCACCGATAGATCCTGCCAAGTTAAACCCTATTGGTTCTGAAGTAAGCTTATACAGTGAACTTTTCACAAAATAATGATAAACTATTTGAAACTGCTAATGGACGTTTACCTTATTTAAAGCTGCCAGTAATCAGTCCTGACAAAGTCTTTGGACAGATTCTAACTAGCAGGAAGAAGGTAAGTGATCATGTCATTTTATTTTTATTTATTTATGCTCTTTGTTAATTCGTATAGTATACTTCCATGGTTGTTCTTGGGAAACTTGTGCCCGGCTACAGGAAGTGGCGGAAGGTCTACAATGAACACGTGGGCTTTGTTCACGGCATTGCTGTGCAAGTTCCATTTTCACAATAGCAATAACTAAATAGTGGTGGTTTTTGCGTCTTTACAATCTCATTTGCCCCCTTCGAAGGCAAGATTTAGCATTTGTGCAGGGAATTTGTTTCATGTATTCAAATGCTTTTTGGTCCCTTGTATACTGCTATATCAAGTTGTAATTATTGTAGAATCGAATTTAGCCCTCATCCTTTTTTTACGCATATAGTAATGATGCAGATACGATAAATGGTCGGGATAGTGGAGTACACCTGTTGATTAGCATCGAAGTTGGGTCCTATTAAAGTATTTACAAAAAACGCATTGCAGCTATGACGAGCCTCTTGTGGGAGAGGACTGGATGTTGCTGCAAGATTATTCCGACTCCTGCATTCAAATATTGGCGCACATGGGAAATCAGTCCCTCGTGAAGCAAGTCGAAATGGTGGATCGTCAGTTGGACCTCTCGTCCAAGACTTACACTAATCGTCATCCGACCACTCTCGTTTCCAATACTTGCCAAACGAGCATCGAATTACCGGCGAACTTTCTACGCGGCAGTGGAATAGCAGCCGTGCAGGTTTTTGTCTCATCCACATTTCAAGACATGTATGGCGAGCGAGATCTTATCTCCGGCCTCATCTTTCCTGCCCTGCGCAAGCAACTCTCCCACCTCGACTATCCAGTACTCCTCAATGAAATTGACCTCCGCTGGGGCGTGCCCGAGGTTTTTTCTCAGTCCGGAGAGAGTCTGCGTTTGTGTCTGGAAAAGGTGGTCACATCTGACTACCTTATTTTGCTTGTCGGTGAAAGGTATATCGCTTAGCTTTCCTCTTTGTTTCATCGCTTTTAACGAGTGTCTCGTTAATTCCACGATATCTTTGCTTTCAAAATCTTGATTAAGCCTGTACTTGAAAAGAACATTGTCTAGTTTTTGAGCTTTTTGCACATTTATTTTACGATTTATTATATTTTTCAATTTAAGTCCATTGTTGTCCGCACACAAACGGAAGGATAATCAATCTTCATAATGTTCATTTCTTTTACCTTCAGTTTTCTAACATTTTAACGATAAAATCAATTATGGAAGTGGCTTTTATGAAATTCCCATTCCAAGTAGTGTTGATATCCAACGTGGGATCGAGTAAAGCTGAAAACTGTCCCATGTTATAGGTATGGCTGGGTACCCAGTGAAGAAGTCGTACAGGCACTTCCTCCAAAGCTTTTGGGACAAGTACTGAAAATTTACAAAGCGGGCATGTCTATTACAGAGATGGAGGCTCGTTTATTTATCCAACAGAATTGGAAGAAAAGGAAAAACCTCCTTTGTTTCTTACGTGATTCCGCTTGTTTGGAGTAAGTTTCTCCTCGTGGTAATGCGAAATGATAATCAAAAAGCCTAGAAATGCATGCTATCATTTACAATTCCTCTCATATTCAGAGGCGTGCCTTCTGATCTCAGAAGTAATTTTACACAGTCTTCACAACGGGATCGTGAAAGACTGTTGGAATTCAAACAATTTCTGAGGGAAAATGGCCTTATTCTGCTGAACACGTAAGTAAATGCTTCATCTTGAAATCTACGCCCACTGCTAATCCACAATTCTGATTTTTGCCGTTTTCTGTAGATACCCTGCTTCGTTCGCAGGTAGAGTCGGTTCCGTGCCCATGATGGGTAACTTGGGAATTTTGGGCGAGGCCATATTCAAAAGTCTCTACACTTTGATTTCCGATTGGGTCAGGTCTCATCCCACTGTCTCGGTAACCGATTTCCTTACCCTTGTGCTCAAAAAATTAATTAATAATACGACGCTTTTTCAACCCCTTGATTAAAACTGATGAAATCTAGGCAAAAAAAAGCTGGCAATCCATTTATTCAAGTTCACTAAATAATTGGGTATTTTTTGCAGCCCAAAACTTCCGATTTAGTATAAAGGGGCGGTTCGCCGAATTCGATGCCGAGGAAGAGCGTTGTTGATGCATGGACTAGAGTGAAGCCGGCAAACCTCGCCTGTAGCCGCGTCAGTAGGAGCGATGCTCAGCCCAGAGGCTGTTTTTCACTGATTACTGCACCATGGGGTGAAATCACACGGAGGATGTGGTCAGATGGTGCAACCTCTCCGCTGCCCTCGCGTCTGTGCCTGCACTCATTAACACGCCTTAGCCGTGCGCTTATCGCCTTAGCCTTTGGGCTTACCCGACTCCCTTGCAAAATGGGCTCTCTGCATCACTGTGCCTTAAAAGCGATCATATCTCAACCGCTGTTTGGGATTATTTGTGTCAAATCACTTGTGGTGCAGGCGTATTCTTTTGAATGGCATGAGTTGATTAGTGTTTGAGCCAAAAAAAACACCGTTTTTATCAATATTTGAAATTATGCAATAGGTAAGAGGACGTGAAAAAGCCGCAGTGATAATCTGGCATTAACTTTATGCGCAATCATGTGACACAAGTAATTGTGCTATTACCTTAATCGGAACGTCAGCAGTTGGCGTATTACTAACTGTGCTATTTTGCTTGTTTTCAAGCCTTCGTTAGAAGATGGTGAGATTCGGCAATGCGGCTCATCCGTACCAACTGCGTATTTGGAAGCGATTGCTGCCTCTGTGGCCCCACGGCATCTCCGAGAGGCCCTTCACGCTCTCTTGGTTGATCTGCCCATGCGTGGCGCTCAAGTTCGACTCTCTCGGCTGGCTGCGACCAGCCAACATCAAACACCTCACCTCACGCAGGTGCTTCCTCTCACGAGCATCAATAGAAGGCACCAAGAGCGTGTTTGTAAGTCTCCTCGATGGGAGCTAGGGCTGTGTGTACGTGATAATTTGAGTTGTGGTAACGCTATACAGAACTTGAATTTGGGGTAGTTTCGTCTATTCCTCATTTCTTGCTTTTGAATGTTTACAAAGAAGTAGCCTATTAGACGGAAACTTCTGTCCAATTCTTATTTATATGACAAGGCTCCTTTTCTCTGTTTTTAATCGTTAGCTCGGGATGGTGGTGTGCTTTGTTTAATCGGTTCTCATGGCAGCGGAAAGACAACTCTTGTCTCGGCTCTGGCAATTGTTCTATCAGACTCAAACTGGACGCCCGACATGGCCTCCTCTCCCTCCCTCACAACCTCCTTTGACTCACGCGCTGCCTCTAAGGCTCAAGTCTCGGAGGCTTTTCGAAATCGCTCGCGAGTATTTGTACACCTCACAATGGGTGCCTACTCTTCCACCACTCGCCATGCCGGCCTCCTTTTGTGTGCTATTCCGCAGATGACCCAGGTGAAGGAACTGCTCGACACCTGGATTGTGAGTGTGTTCAATGAACTGCGAAAACCTGCCAGCGGACCCAACCCTGCCCTCGGGCAACAATTGAACGCTTTGGAGAATGAGCTGCAGTCAGCGGGGATTGTGAACGTCACTCAGGATTCTGATCTTGTGTCAGTAAAGCTCGGTTTTACCCTTAATTTAGATGTAAACCAGAATTTCCACATCTATACAATGTCACATTTCCACCATTGCTTTCCTTTTTTATACAGCAAGAGCACCGAAATATTTCATCATTTATTGCGAATAATTGGAGAGCATGTTAAGAATCACTACATATTCATCGTCGATTCTGTGGATCACCTTGTACCTGCAAATCTGACTTGGATTCCAGAAGTCATTCCAGAGGTGGGTCGCATAATATTCACAGTAGAAATGCCTTTCTTCTCTGAGTCGATTGTGAAAAACTCCACTTTCGATTATCTAATTCGCTTATCTTCATCGGTGGACACTTCAGTCATAGTCATGCATTTCTCTGCCATTCATTTCTGTCGCTGGGGCGAAGTAGACTTTTCTCTGACGACTGCTATCTTTTGTTCCGTATTTTAGAATGTGAAATTCGTTTTAACATTGAGTGGTGAATCAAAGACGGCGCGTACTTTGTCGGTCCGTCCGGACTGCCTTTACCTGCGGATGAGCGAACTCTCACGGAACGAAAAGGCTGCCGCGATCCGATGCTACTTTGCACAATACGGCAAGGCTCTCAGCGACAGTGGATTTGGCAATCAGGTAGCTTGCAAGTTCATCTGTTTAGTCTCACTTAGACTATATTTGCAAAAGGCCTGCACTGACACGCATTCCTGGACTCTTGCGGTGCTTGTTCATGCGCGTAGGCTTCAGAAAACACCCACTTCCACACTATTTGCTAACTATGCACATGGTCATTAAGCTTAAGACAAAGTCCTGCGAATTAATGAAAATTTTAGTGTCTCCCGATTTTTAACAACGAACTTTGGTCATGTGATAATGTTTTCTTAGAGAAAAAATAATAATAAGCTGCCTAAAATCATTATTTCGTTTTAGTTATCAAGACTAATCAGAAAGCGAGACGCTGGGCTTCCCCTGTACTTGAAAATGGCCTGTGATGAATTACGGTTGCATTCTACCTTTCAAAATGTAAGTTATTCTATTATTAACTTTAGTATTTTCATTCACGTTTGTAGTATTTCATTGAGTCATATCTGCGTTCAATGTAGGGTCATCTACCCAATTCAAGGCATTCTGAGCCGCGCAGACTAGGCTATCGTATCTTTAAATTCAAATTCTGTGAGATAGACCTCATGCTCGTGATATCACCATTTGAGTTATCTTTTCCTGCTCAATTTAAATTTTACCCACGAAAAGTCTTCCAACCACCAAGTTCATCTTGGCTTTAAAATCAAGTACACAACAGTGGTATTGATATAACTTCACTAAACTTGATCCAATTATCTCTGCTGTCAGTATTTCATATATTTCTTCTTAAACTGTAAAAACACTTCTGATTTCATATCCTTGCCGTCACTTCAAGCTGGACAGCAATTTGAAAAGCCTACCAGAACATCTGTCTGACCTCGTAGCCCACATTGTGGCGCGGGCATCGGTGTGTTGTGGTGAGAACCTTGTCAAAACTGCACTTGGCTGCATTCTCTGCTCACGCCATCCACCCTATCCGGCCCAGCTCCAGCGCATGATCAATGTCTGGCTCTCTACGAACAGCGAACAAGTCACTCCCCAAACAATTGCTTTTTTCAACGGCGATGGGGACGAACTCCCAAAGGAAGACCCAACGACACATCCTGTCCTTACCACAATGGCTCTGAATGTTCTTCTCTCACAACTTCAACCACTTATCATTGGCGTAGAATCCACTGACGAGAGCAGCCGTGGCCTCGTGGTGTCAGGGGCTGAGCAGGTTGAAGAGACAGATAGTGAGGAGAGGCCTGAACTGAGCCTTTTTACCTCTGGGGGTCTGCGGTTGTGCAGTCTGGAGGTGGCCGATGTGGTTCGACGCCTGTGCTTCTCATCTTGTGGGCCCCTCAATCGATTCTCCGCCTCACGCCGTGTGGGCTACGTCAAAAGCGTAGTTGATAGTAAGGCCGGCAGCGAACCACCTCCACTTAGTTCTACCCCTACAGAATTGCAAACTTACCGGTTGCTGCTTTGCGAAAATTACGACAATTTGGAAGACAAAGTGTACTATGCGGTGAGTATTTTTTGCACGTTACTCAGCTTCGCACCCATGGTTCCATTCCGGTATTCGATATAGCCAACTTAGTGTGCCAAAATCGGTGTCGATGAAGCTGATTAAATGCTGAGTGCCTATGCATGGATGCTTGTTTTGTTAATGAATCAAAACGTGATATTTGGCCTAGGATATGTCCCATTTTCGCACTATTTGTCGGTAAGCTTTTGGCCTTTCACCTATCACCGTGGCGTTCTTATTTGTAATCTAGTTTCGGTGTATTTACTTACAATCACAAAGCAGTAAGTTAGCATCCTCGAACTATTTGTGAACTCCCAAATGCTTTTTTCGTATTGTAGTTTCACGCGAAAAAACTTGGCCTTGCCGTATCAACATTGAGCAGTATTGGCTACATTCAACAAAAAGCCCTGAATAACGACATTCCCGGCGTGATTGAAGAATTTCTCGGGTCCGGTAGGTCTGCTTGTGTTTAGGTGATTACTATGCGGCACAAAAGTTCTTGATTGAAATTAATCGAGTTTGGGCATATCGAAAAAAAATGGTTTTTCGTTATCCTACCACGTTCTGTCCCTATCCCAATTTGACATTGTTCCATGTACCATTGCTGGCGCATACTTTAAAGTGCCACTGTGTGTTAGCTTGCAATGGGTTTGAAACACAGGTCTGGTTATCGTATGTACTAAGCAATTGTATCTTGTAATGTTTATTCCTTGTTGGATGACGAAGGTTGTTATTTTTGTGGATTGACTGTACTATTACACTTAATTACCACGATGATAGTTTCAGGCGCGTTTTGCAAAGCCTATCTGGCTTTTGAAGAATCCAATCGCATGATTTTAAATGCATTTGCAAATACTTTAATCTATTTTTGAAAAAAAGATATCTCCGATCCTGATACAAGAACCGCCTGGTTAGAAGTTATTGACAAGGAGCGGGGTACTATCTTTTCGGTGATTCGCCACCTCGTCCTTCGGTCTGGTCACATCTTGGCTAGGTGCGTCTCAATGGTTGTGGCAGTTGTTTTTTAGCAGTGAATACCCCTCTATATGTAGTCATACAGCAGGGATCGATTGCTTAGGCCAAGACTGACAATATCTCTTGTCAGCCATGATCAGTTAAAAGCTGTTTTACAGTGAATATCACGTTAGTTATATTTCATTTTATCGCGTCCACTAGCATTCCCTTCAGAGTTTTATAATCTAACCCATGGTACTTAATATTCTACTCATCAATGATATTACTCACAAAAGTTGTGGTTTTAACGAGCCCTATCAATAATTCCTAAACAGTGTATCATTTTGTCGTACTTCTTTGTAGATTCCCTCATCTAACGGGGCAACTCCTCTTGAACAGCCTTCCGGTGCATTGCGAAGGCACTCTGAGGGAGGAAATAGAGAGAAGAGTTAGGCTTGAAAGCAGCTCTGCAGTTTCGCGCTGCAATACTTTGAGTACAGATTATCTACATGATGTGGAGATGATTTGGAGGCTGGAGGCCGTCATTTCTCCGACTGGGCTTGCTAGCGATGGCCATCAGATTATCGCTTGTGGTGGCACTAGTGGAAGCATCACTCTCCTGGATGTTTCATCCGGCAAGGTAATCGGTGATGAAGAGTAATTCCTCTTATGAATAATTGTGCATTTCTATTTGTGTCCTTTGCAGGTGTTAAACACTCTTTATGGACACAGCGGTGCCGTGAACGCGATTGTATTCATCTCGCCTGCGACAAATGCTCTAGTGACACGTTGTATGCTGCTTTACTCCGTCTCTGCAGATTCAACAGCGTGCCTGTGGAAACTCGTGCCATCGAGTGTCAGTGGAAAAGGTCTGGTTGGTGTGAGATTGGCGCGTATTTCAGGCCATCACAATCGTGCTATCACAGCCTGTGCTTGGGACTCCCAGCGAAGGCACCTGGTCACTGCAGGACTTGACGGACTGGTGGGCCTCTTTGCTGTCCAACTCTCTCTTAACAGCGATTCAGACGGTGAGACCAACTCCGTCTCTGGCTATGATCTGGAGTCCTTTAAGAAACCTCAGCGCTTCTTCTCCACTCGGCATGAACCGATAAATGCAATGGTTCTTGTGGAGGACAAAATTGTTGTGGGTTGCTGGAACGGCACTCTGTGGATGTTTGAAACAAACAAGTGGGAAGATAGAAAAGTACGTGTTTTCGTCAACTTGTTAAAGTCATCCGGTAGACTGTAGTTCTTAAGCTGGCACATGGATTCCGATACCAAATAAGAGTTGCCGAGGTGAAAGTGGGATGGCGTATTTGATGATTTGTTAAAAATCCTTCCTGAGTCAAGAAACTGAAATGTTTAATGATCACACCAAGGTGCCAGTTGGTTACGATAAAGGCGAATTTCTTCCATTTATGAATTGTTGGTCATTTTTTAAACAAGACTTCCAAAGTTCTGCTCCTGGGCTCTGAATGTAACGCATTGCGAGGCCAGACCCGTGATGGCGCCTACTTTGAGCAATGGGCTGGTGTCCGAGGTCTTCATGCAGCAGTCGTGGCACTCGCCTACTCGGGACCCAAATGCGACGTCATCGCGTGTGCAGATTTTGTCGGTGAGGTGACTCTCATCAATGCCAGCACTTTTGAGTGCATTGTTCACCTGGAGAAGACGTCCCGTCTGATTCCTCGGCACGTTTTCAGTAGGCTGTGCTTCCTCAAACAAAAGGGAAGTGATGACTGCCTACTGGCACACACTGGCTCCTTCACATCAGTCTCCGGAGCAATTTCTCTGTGCAATATTGACCGGCCTCACAAATTTGGTGTGTCGATATTTCTTTTCTACTACTCTCTCTTCCACATGAAAGTGGTGGAATATGTGCATATATATATATATGATTTTCTATGTTCAGATACTTTATTTGAGGAACATGCGAAAAGTTTGGAGATATGCATTGGAGTCAGCTTAACCAAGTCTATAATTGTCTTCGGTACCTACAATGGAGGAGTCGCCTACTTTAATGCCGACGCAGAAAAGGGTCTCATTCAGCTCTGTCCCTCACCCCAAAATAACGCCTCTAGGATTCAGGCTCTCGATTGTTTCCTCCTCAATGACGTGGCCAATTTTGCATTGCTTGCTTACGGCTCTGCTCGTGGCGATGTCACAGTACGCCTTGCTTTTTCTTTTCTGATTCTCATGGTGAGCCTGTGAACGTGCAGACTATTTGCCCTCTCTCTACTATAGTTCGTGATTTTTTCGACAAGAAGAGCTACCAACGGGACTTTGGAATTGAATGGACTAGTTGGGGAGACCCAGCAGCCCTTCTCTGTTTGGCCGCATGCTTACGGCCATCAGGAAGGTGGGGGCGGCGAGGCCGGTGGGACACTCGCCATTGCTATCTCGGCTTCCCAGGGCTTTGCCGTCTCTGGTGGTGGGGATGCTTCGTGTTGCTTCCATATGTTTCAACTACAGGATCTCAGCTCCATGGGTTGCCATTCCCGTACCATCAACAGTGATTCCAGAGTAGTTGCTCACTCTTTAGGCGTTTCTGCACTTGCTTCTGCCAACAATATTGCTGTCTCAGGCGGCAAGGATGGGGTCAGTGTCATTCTACTTATGCATATCATGTTTACTATACCAAGGTATACTTTTCATGCGTCATTCCTTGGTATGTCTCCTTAGTGAATGTGCTTATCTGACTTTCTGGAAAACTCGAGGTGGAATCAGGTACTGCAACGCGTGGCAGTTACCTTACCTTGTAGGTTATCACTAATAAGGCTTTTTAATGTTAAATTCGGTCCATCAATCAATTGTTTAAATTATATAGCTGTTAATTCATCAGTGATAGTTTATTAAGGCTGGTAATCCCACAAGCAACTGAAATGTTTGCGGGGATTTCATTCCAGTGTCAGTCAGAGTTTGCAAAATAAGTCGTAATGCATATTATGCAACCTTCTACTAGTTTAGGAAACCTTTCCATTGCCTAATCCGGTGTCATGATTACCAACAAAACTTGCTTGCTACATTATCTAACCTTGAAAAGACTGTCCCTTTTATGTTTCCTTTTTGTTGCTTCTAGCTCCTTGCCATTTATCAAGTGGATAAACAAAAGTCTTTCCAGCCAGTTACCATCCTTGACTCCGTGCCTCAAGCTCATCGGGACTGGATAACATGCCTCGCGATAGAGCAGAAGGACCCTCAGCACTATTTAATTGCATCGGGAGGAAACGACCATGCCGTCGGGGTTTGGTTGCTCGACACCGAATTGGAGGCTGGGATCAACCCTCTCTCTCAGATCTGGTTTACCACGGAGCATGTTCAACCCTTGACCAACTTTTCTCTTAAGGTATGCATCTTTACCCTAGGCTCATTACCAACTACATTTTTGACCCATCTTAATAATAAGTTGATTTGCAAGTGTTTTGCCAAGAGCCCTATCCCTTCCTCCAATAGGAACGTAAATGTCTTATTTAGACGCAGTTGGCACACATTTGTTCTCAAAAATAAGCTTATTTAATTTATACAGGTTAACGTTCCAAAAAGCGCAAGGTATTTCCTTACCAGCTGTTGACCACACTACTATCCCTTCATGTGTTCCCCCGTGTTGCTGCTGTTTTAGGATGGGCTGCTGATCTCGGCGTCCGCGGATGGAGTGATAGTAGTTTGGGAGGCGACAGCGTCCTCCATGAGAAAATTGCGAAAATTCACACTTTCAGGAGCATCAGAGGGCAGCAAATTGGTGATGATGGACCTTACTGACCCCGAAATCTCGATTTTGAATGATAAGCCCACACCCCTGTCGGATGACTTAGGTGAGATGTTTTGGCTACTGTCTGGGCCTGCGACAATGGTCACTCAAATCAATGAGCACGACGTAATGTGGTCTAAAGGATGTGAGGTGTAAACTAGTTTTATTATTAATGTGCTATAGTTCATTAAATTGGTGGAATTGTAAGGTTTTTTCACTCCGCTACCTGTGGTTAGCTTGAATAAAATTGAGTCTGCTATTTATCGGTGAATGACCGTGATTTGGCTTCCAGTTCCCTAAATAAGTCAGACTAATCCGTGCAAAATTACATGATCCAAACTTACGATAACATCCTAATTCCATGCTTGTTTTCAGACTCTGCCGTCGATTTGGACGCATTGTCTGGGGACGAGGATAGCGATGGGATATCGCCCACCACGGCATCGAAAAGACTCTACCCCGTCACTGTGGCCGAGAAGGTGCTGGATTATCGTGCACTTACCCGTCTCCGCATTGCTTGCCTCCACTCCGACGGCGTCCTTAATGTGAGCATCATTTCGCCATTTTTGCCTCGTGAGGAGCTTGCCTGTGCTGGGCACGCCAGTGTCGCTGACTGTAGTGCGATTCACCTGGTCCCGAGTGCAGAGAGCGGCGCTCTTGTCTCCGCGTGCACCTCTGACTCTCAGGCTGGTGAGGTTTGCCTCTGGCGATTGGACAACGAAGAATCCAAATCTAGTAAACATTTTTGGTTTGTTTTTTTTTGCAGTCTATGCTTTACCCTACTGGCGATGTAAGCTCGTTTTCTTTACTATTAGTTTTGTTTTCCCCTTTATTATTTTCTTTGGTACTCCAACTTGTCCTCTTTATCATGTAGTATTTGACGTCGACTGCGTAATGCAAGAGGTGCCCCGTGCCGAGTAGATCCTGTCTGTTACCGCACTTGAGGCATTTGGCTTATTTTGTAGCCCATAGCAGAGATCTGGAAAGCACTTGTTTTTTTCTGAGCCCTTGATGAAGCCAAAGCTCTTTTGCATAGAAATCATTTTGAAATCAATGATGAGTTGTCACAGTGTTTTTTTCCTTTTCACTTTTCTAATCACGTAGACGTGCCTCGGATTTCACACCACGGCGTAATAACAGTCATCAAGGAGAGCAAGGGCTACATTTTCGCAGGTAGCGATGACGGCCACCTCTTAGCCTGGCGTGTCAAGGATGGACGCCAACTAAACATTGAAAAATTTGTGCCGAGCGGCTGCATAAATGATCTGGATGTAAGCGTATCCTCTCAGGAGAACGGAAGTCTCGAGGTCACAGTAGCTGTCCTCGTCGGTCGATCTGTCCACTTTTTGACTCTCTCTTCATCAACCGAATCAGAACTCGTGTTTGATTGCTCAAGGTGTGTTAGGATTGTCGCGTCAAACTCATCAAGTTATTATCAATTGGAACTCGCTTAATTACTTTGCATCTCTACTTCATGCAACTGTGATGATTCAAACTTATCCAATTTTGCTTATTTGTAGACTCGACCTGCCTACAGAATTGTATTCGATCATTCTAATTCGTCCACTGTCAGACCCCACAGAGTCCACTTTCGTAGTAGGAACGGCTAAACGGACTCTGATCTGCCAACGTTTAGGAAAGATGCCAAAATCTCCTGCTTTGTAAGTCAATAGAACACTTACCAAAATGAGTAAATCGTTAGCGTCATCGTGAACATAAGTGCGTATGACACAATCCCAATTAAAGTATTAATACTTGCGTAAACGGAAACATAGCTGAAGTTTTTGCGCAATCTCACTGCACGGTTTTCGTTGCCTACTTTTTAGGCTTACGGACGGCATCGTAAGCTCCTTGTATGAATATACCTATAGGTGAGTTCCACTAACTCCTAAAGCTCACTCTACATGCAATCGGTGCGTTGCGGATATCTCTTGTTTGCTAAACTGGAAGTGCTCTTGATTCTGCGAAATCCCAATGAGTTGCTTTTTTGAGATTCTAGTCAAATTACGATTTCAAACCTTTGAACTGCTTTGTCTTTTTAACTCGACAAAGTTTTTTTCCTAAACCATTGTTGTTTTTGAGTGGCTCATGGGTTTTAGAGCTTTTATTTAAAACTTACCTCTAATCGATGTTTTTTAGTATCACCTCCAGTGGAACAGCTCATTACATTGGCCTTTGTGATGGCAAAATGGGGTTGTTTGATGTTGAAGGAAAGGTGAGTTTGGTGTAATTCATTAGTAGCTATCCCAGCTGAATATAGGTTGATAGTGAAATCACTCGTCTTCAACGATATTATGGCACTTAATCCCATTATGAAACTAAGACCGTGGCTTATAAACTACCTTATTTGACCAATTCTTGGTACTACATGATCCCATTTCCAATGTCTATTGACAATAGCGCCTTAAGGCTGTACAACGAGAAGATGAGTCTACCTTCACTGGTCTACAGGTGATTCGCCCAAAGAGTTGCTCTACAACGTGAGTTTTTGCCAGTAACACTTGAGGAAATTCATTTCTTTTTTTAAAATAACAAGGTCAGTACTACTTCTCATTGTTTATTCATTGCATATTGCACATTAGTTTCAGGCGGGAATAATGTTTCTCTGTTTTGCTTGAATTTTATATGCATAGTGCGATTAAAACCCACAATTTATTCATATGAAACGAGGTGCCTGTAATGCTCATCTGTGGTTGAGTAAAAAAAGGGATCCTCGTTCTATCTTTGTAGAAAACTACAAGCATTAATGGATGTGGGTGGACTTGCAATCCTTGATAGCATTACTCCCCCAAATGGAAATGAACCGGGAATACAATCCCATGAAATTGTGTTATTAAGTCCCAGTGAACTGTGTTGAAGCTTATTTTCCCGGCACTATTTTTATAGATTTTACGCCTAAAAAGCTTATTGTATACGACAGATCATGCGTTAATTTTGCCCACTGCGTCCTTCTCTCACAGATACCTCTTGGTCTCTGGAACGCGGGAGAATGGGAGAGCTAAAGGCTCACCCGTAGCATCCTTCGTCAGTCTACGTAGTGATCCCTTCACCCCTCTCTCAGAATATGTGGTATGAGATAGTCTACGACGATATTCTATTCTCTGAGGGAGCGCCAGCCAGTCAGATTACTTAATTTTTAACTCAAACCAATTACTGTGGTTAAATGTTTCATATAAACCTTGGAGATTGCGCTTTTTTCAGCTTCCTAGGGGAGAAGTCGTTACGGCGTTTGCCGCAGTTGAGAACAATTCGGAGACGGTACAAACTAGCAGCTACTTAGTTATTGTTGCAGGATCCGACGGAATCCTGCGCTACTTGCGATGGATACCGTCGCAGCCCACTAAGGAGGTAGGTCAGCCCCAAATCAGGATAGAGATGATACGACCACCAATTCGTGCTTAAGTTAGCATCAATCTCCCACACCAGCTAACACTTGTAATGGTTTTTGCTCATTTTAGCCAAAGCTTATTGGTTACCTTCCAACTGGAAGGAAGGTGGTGAAAGTCTGCGCCACGGAGCCCGATCACTTTGCCGTCGGGTACAGCAACGGAGACGTTGGGATGTACCGATTCATCAAAACTTCTGTTCTGTGACAGTCCCCCTATTTAAAGTTCCATATATGGTAAAATGAGTTTTTTTAAAACTAAAACACTTTAATATGTTAATCAGGGAGATCTAGACAAAATAGAATAGTCAACAGATTGTCCAAATCTGGAGGGGTCGCTGCTGTCTGTTTTGAAGCCATTTTTTGCGAAGAAGGCACATGCCGGGGAATTAAACTTAAACACCGTCAAGATGACTTGTGTCATTTGGTTGTCGGCTGCAATTTTGTATAGGATATGCAACAACTTCTGGCCCAGATTTAAACCACGAACCTCCTCCACTAACTGAATTTCGTAGCAGTAGAGTATCGGTCGTCGAGAGTCAACTTCAAAACGAAAGTGAACGAAGGCACAGGGTTCATCGGAACTTGCAAGCGAGGAGGGGGGAACATTGTGTCGACTGAGATCACAGCACGTCTTAAAATTCGCCAAGAAGCATAATAGAAAGTGTGAGTTGGCGGAGAAGAGTTCGTCAAACTTGGTGTCACCATTCCATCCCCATGATGACTTCATATAAAATCCCTAAAAGTGGGCAGAGGAGTATCGGTAACTTCAAGATCCGATTATTATTACACACGACACGAATCCGCAAACCAAATGAGCGATCCCTAGAATTCCCATCCATACCTTCATATTCTGTTCCAAAATCGAGAAAACCTTCGCTTTTTGGTTTGGCGTCATTTCGGAAGGACAAAAACACTTAACAGTGAACGAGCAGCAACAACAGTCCAACGTTATACAAGAGTCAGTGTTGAAACTCCTTCGTATCAGTTCATCGCTTGAAAGTTTTGTCGCAGACATAACTGCCGCACGGGAATCGCCGACACAGCCCATTTTGCGAATGATTCCGCGATCCTGAGAGTCCCCATCGGCCTCATCAAACGACATGGTCGACACCAGGACTGACAGAGAACGAGATAGCAGTACAAGCGTTTGGAACAAATAGGGGCGTTTTTAAAGAGAACTTCCACCTAACACTTGCAATAAACAAGCTTTCAAATTGTGAAAATGAGCTTTGAATCCAGAGCGCCATTATCGTAAGTGCTAATCCATATATAAAGCAAAATTCTTAAATGAATAAAAAAATTTCACTTTTACAAAAGATGAGCATTCCTGACGAAACCCCGAAATATTCGCTAGTTAGGGTACTAGTAGTGACTATCATCGGCATCAAGGTCAACGTGCATTTGGGATGCTGCTCCATCTGAGTGTATAATTTTGTTAAGTAAAATTTAATCTTGTGCACATATTGTAAAAAGGTGGGTTTTTAAACACCCATGCCACATTAAGTGTTTCTGTCGATTTAAAGTTTACGTGAAGAGCCAAAATCTACCTACAAACCCACTGAATGAGTCAGTTGGTTTTGCCATATTATCCATAACGCGATGGCTTTACTAGTTTTTCTCCTTTACATTTAAAACATGAATAGATTGTTTTTAATTGTCTCTCTATTTGTCTGCATTCGATTGCTGTAAATGTGCTCTGTTGAAAATGATGAAGAAGTTGGTCTTTTTAACTGAATGGCAAATTTTCCGCTTTATTTTGATTGCAGGAAAAGTCGACTGTGCGCACTTTGAACGATGTCGGATGTGTCCTCCCCCTCAGGCTCTCTGAGTTCGTCGAATGGAATGCGCAGGTCAAGTTTTTCTTCTCAATTTTCCGTTTAATAGGTTCGCAGAGTAAATCAAGTGAGGGTTCGGTTTCCGCACACTCTCATGTCAATCATCGCGACATATTTGGAAGCGATACCGGTAAGTGATTTTGTGAATTAACCTTGCAGAAAGCGAAAACTCAGAAGTTGTTTCACCTGCCCGAAATCAGAAAACTATGGATGTTTCGTCTGACGACAGTGAGGAGAACACTTATGCGGTATGCCTTCTGCATCCATGAAGTATTATCCATTAGAAGGTGTCTTCGTCCAATCTCCATAATACTGCTGTTAGTACAAGAGACATCTTGGGATCTTCTTCTTCAGAACCAGAGTCTGAAGATGACGTACCACTGGAAAATAATAAAGTCCGGTCCCCACCAACTTCTAGTGATGATTCCATTTGGGGCTCTTCCAAAAAGCGTGGTTTTGCCAACGAAGTCGAAGATCTCAATGGGCGTGAGCAAGACGGTCATCAAGAACCAGTAATAGAGGAAGAAGAATCCGACGAGATTCGTATCGCCGCGGATTTCCCTCCTATTCGTGCTGATCTTGGCAGGTATGTACTTATTCTTTATTTCATTTTATTGTGCACCTTTGAAATGCATCCATTTTGGTTTAGGGAAATGTACTTGGTGAAGATGCCGAATTTTTTGTCAGTTGAAACTCGCCCATTTGATCCTGCCTTCTATGAGGGTGAGCTGGACGAGGATGAGGTTCTTGATGAAGAGGGCCGTACAAGGCTCAAACTAAAGGTTTGTTTTTTTATTACAGCTTATCTCTCGTCTTAGGTCGAAAATACGATTCGTTGGCGCCTTGGTAAAAATGCAAATAATGAAGTCATTCAAGAGTCTAATGCTCGGATGGTTCGATGGTCCGATGGATCGTTGTCCTTACACCTTGGTGATGAGATCTTTGATGTTCATAAAATGGACATTCAGTCCGACTTTAATCATCTTTTTATCAGAGAAGACAGGGGCCTTCAGGGTCAATCTATTTTTCGGAGTAAACTCAGTTTTAGGTAATTGTAGTGTTTGCGTTCGCCGCTTTTGGCTATCTATTTTACTTTCGACTTCTAGTTGCTTGTATTTTTTACCACATAGACCCCACTCAACCGACTCATTCACTCATCGCAAGATGACTCTTTCTCTTGCTGATAAGACAAGCAAATCGCAAAAGGTATGGGCGATAATTTATCTACAATGATAAGCTTTCTGCTTGGATTGTTCAATTGGGTGGAGATGAAGGTGATATCCCAACCATTATGCTGATATCCTTCGGTTATGCTTGTATATACACTTGCAGGTGAAAATCCTACCCGTTGCAGGCGCAGATCCGGAGTCGAATCGGAGTCTGGCAGTGCGCAAGGAGGAAGAACGACTGCGTGTGGCGCTGCGTCGTGAGAGTCAGCAGCGGCGTATGCAGGAGCGCCAGCTTGCGGCAGCCTCGGCACACCGCCAGCGTCGGCCCGCCCCTGGTCCCTCCGGCTACGAGAGTTTCGGTGACAGCGACGCCGACATCGCTGGCAATTCCGTGTCACTGAGCGCAATTAAGAGGAACGCTAGAGCTGGCTTTCTCTCTTCGCAGAAAAATAGGGGTGTGTAATTTATCTCTATTTGTCCTCCTGCCTCGAAGCTGGTTCTGACAGGCTTATTACTACCAATACCCATTTCCTTTCCGTAATTTAGTAGTCCTGTTTAAGGGGCCAATTTTTTCCTGCACCCTAATGCCCAACACTAATGCGTCCATCCTATGGTTCTCATCGTTTGGTAATTTGTGGTAGGTCGGTCCGTCTCTGATTCGGATGATGCCTCCATGAGTGACGTAAGCTGTCATTTGATAATTTACGCAATTTATTGGTATTAATGTTAATTTATTTTCTTGTATTATTGGCTCAAGTAACTTATATGTCTTTTCGTAGCGGCATGCTTTTTTCGGGGATATTTTACTTAAAGCTTGGAGAATAACTTTATTATTAGTTTTATTGGGCTTTTTAAGCCGTATCGCTTTCGCTTATACTGACTTAAACAATTGAGGTTCTTCGCAATTTGAGTTTTCCTATTCTTACTACAGTGTTTTATTTCTTAAGCTTTCTGACGCACCACGGCGGAAAAAGGCGCGGATTAGTGATGAAGACGATTCGGGTTAACTTTTTCATCAATTCCTGTATATATTGTTCCTTTTAAATGACAGTGCCACTTACTCTTTTTTTGTCTTCGTCTTCTCTCGACATTGACACCCCTTTGGCCGATGGCGGGCATGAGATTTCTTCTAGTGCCTTAGGTGAATCCATTGGGTGTGTATTGGGGCGTTGTTATATTCATATTTTTGGGAGGGCGGGTACCTCGAGGTTGGTTTTGCGTCATCTGGCCGTGTGTTGGGGCTTGCCCTTGGGCTTTGTGGGTCGTGTCGACTATATCTGCGGCCTCAAGGCGTGCTCTTCGCACGCTTAGTAGGTTGCATTATTGTACGACAGAAACAGTGGTCGACGTAATTATGTGTTGTGGACTGTTTCAACAGCGGTGGGGGGGGGGGGGGGTCAGGTATCTTATCGGTTCCCCTAGGGTGGAGGGGCACAATGGTAGGGTTGCGCACGTGGTGTTGTGTCTTATTCTGGTAATTCAAATCCTCTGCTGCAGGTTTGCGCATGCATGGGTTCATTGCGTTATCTGTTTTACATGTAGTGCACGACGCTCAAAAATATTTTCGGTTTTGTATTTCTTCTAATCTCATGCGTAATGAGTATAAAATAATCATGGAATCTGGTAATCTTGAGTGTTGCCGTTACTCTTGATGGTTTGCATAGACTATTTGTTAGTCCATTTCTACAAGGATTTTTCTATTGGCTCTCGCGTCTTCGGTCTTAGACCATCGGATCGAAAAGATTGAGGCGGGAAGACACCTTATTGTTTGTATAGTATAGGAGGTTGTCACAGTCTATGGGTGACCAAAGTTCGTCTTCTCTTTGAAGATCGATGACACTCGTCAGCCGTGAGGTTGGGACAAATGAAAAGATTGTCATCGGTAGGTCATATTCGAGCAAACGTGTCCTATACTTCAATTGCTTCCAAAGCCGAAGGCTGACAGGTAGATGTTCAGGGCGACCAGTAGAGTTTCACATAAGACTGGTAGGACTTTAAACTAAACTTAGTCAGACCATGTCAGGAAGGTAAATAAGGTTTCTTTAGGTAAATTCCTAGTACTTTGTGTTCTCATTGTTCACGTACTCGCCTCTAACGAACAACTTGTAGGAAAATGAAACCACTACTTGCCGGCACAAAACGAGGTTACAATTATGGGGAAAGATAAACTCGCGATTTGTCTAACTGCACTGTTAAAGTCGGTACGCTTTTCAACGTTGTTTATTTGCTCTACCCACCCTCATTATGAAGCGTCCTCCCGATATCTTATTATCGTGATTAGGTCCGAGTTATCATGGGTATGCTAGTACTTAATGCAAATTTTGTACTTAAGCAGACACACCTTTCTCCCTGTCTCTACTTGTAAGCAAAGAAAAGACTGGAGAATCATTGCGGCGAACAATCATCCCTGCGGTCGATAACTATATATATAATCAGAATTTACAGAATTTGGTATTTTTAGCGAATTTATCAGCAGCAGATCGTGCATTGATCCGCTTTATTGTAACGTCTGTGTAAGTGTTGTCATAAAGGTCTATTTTGCGCAATATTCTAAGCAGTCTTTGAGTCAATTTTAGTAGTTTACGGTTTTTGATGATCGCATCTTCTAGCCAATCGTAGGTGGTTTGTCTTTATTTGTTTTTAGTAATCTTCCACCATAAGTAAACCCCAGTCTTTCCAAATATGGAATTACCTATCAGGTGTATATTCTTATTACATTTCTATCATGCCTATCCTAAATTTCAACTTAACGATACCGCCATAAAATCGCCTAAACTTGTTCCATGCTGCACATGAATGCCTACAATTATAAACAGCGGAACTAGGCAGGACATTTAAAATGTGTTGGAAAATCAGCACCTTAGCAGTTTTGGATCGTTTTTTAGTACTATTTTGACTGAAATCTCGTCGCTGACCCATGTCTCTTATGCAAAGTTTGGTGGACAAATATGTGTTCTGTAAAGTGTAGCCTTGATCTGTTCTCGAAATCCCAATTAAACGACGACTTAAGTTTGCTTTAACTTCTTCAGACACTGTTCAAGTCGGGAAACAGCTATGAAAAATCCTCCTCTGCAGAATACAGGAGAATATGCACCCCTGATATTGTCACGAAATTGTCGAAATATTATCAAAAACTTGCTTCAAACTAATCCACTATTAGTTAAAGAGCTAGAAGTTCTGGCACCAAATTACGAAAGGAACTGCGAACTTGGTACGAATAGCTTATCATCATTTTACTAAAGTACTTTTTGCGATAAATATGCCGTGAAGAGCGTATGTTATTAACCAATAATCGCTTTGTAGCTCATGAGGAACCTAAAATGTACTTGTACTTAATCGTCGCTTTTACTTGTACGTTTTTATGAACAATAAAATGTTGCTATTTCGCAAATAATGCAGGTTCACTAAATTCCATGAAGCCGTATAACAGGAACTAGTTTATTGTTTGCTTGTTGGTAAATTGTGTTGAAGGTAAAAGGCTAGATTACTATGTTTGAAAGCAGTTTCACCTCTATGCCATGAGGTTCACGGGAGGAGCGCCAAAGATGTATGACTGGGCGGCTAATGGGTGCTGTGCCTCAGGTTCCAAGCGGACCTTTCACCTCAATTCAGAAGCGATCAAATCCTGCCGTGGACTTAGCCAAGAAAGCGAGCTTCCTCCAGCTGCCAATAAGAAAGGACAAAACGCGATTACTTAGGCTTGTAAATGAAAATCGAATAGTAATTGTTGCCGGTCGTCAAGGTTGTGGGAAGTCTACTCAAATACCTCAGGTGAATTGGTGCGCGTTTTTTTCATCCTCTTATAACGATTTGGTCAAATGCTCAGATAATTGTAATAACCAGGACCTTTTGTTGCGGATGCTTTAGGGAACAATTTATCACAAGAAAAGATTTAAAATTGCCTATTTTAAAATGTGCTACTCTATTGACCACTTACCTTGATTGTTTTTACTTTGCACTCCACGCAATCCTATTCAGCCAACAAAAGGTGTTAGCTTTTTAGTCCCTTTTTGTTGAAAATCAGCTACGGTACTTTTTTCACGTGTCTAATTTGTACTGTTGGACCATTACGTCGACTTTCTTTATAAACGACAATTTTTTATTATTGTTGTTGTTGCGACATCAAATTCTTCAATATTCATTGAATTTTAACAGAAATAATTGCAAAATACTCCTTGTTTTAATTCGGATATCTTTCAAAAGCGATCTTTTAGATTAAAGCAAACAGTTTTTATTCGTTCTATTTACAATTCAAAGTAGTAAGGGAATCGTTACTACTTAGTAGAATCGGGCTGTTATTAAAACCGAATAGAATGCTCCACGGTCAGAATAGTCACTATTTTTCTTCCCCATCCCTGGTTATTTACGATTGGCATTTTATTTTTCTCCATAGTTGGCAGTCATTTCCGAGAATTGACTTGATTAAATCGAAGAATAGATGGATGGATGTAAAAGCGTGTGGTTGAGCTTCTTGTGTGATTAACTTAAATGCGCTGACTATAACGTTTTCTCTTGGGCACTTACGACCAGATACTACTTGAAGACTGTCATGCACATTCACAGCGATGTCGCATCATTTGCACGCAGCCGCGCCGCCTTTCCGCCCACGCAAACGCCGACCGCGTTGCTTACGAACGCAGCGAAACTGTCGGCCAATCGGTTGGCTACCAGATTAGACTGGAATCGAAGTAACCGCCTCATCCTTTCGCCATAACTACTGATTCGCACATGCATACTTCTTCTACCCTCCCTTTGTACTAAAATCTTCCACAGCGGAATTATAGCAGGTCTCAAGTACTTTTTCGGGTTGACAGCCCAATGCCTCTCCATATGTAACGTCTGTGTGTAGGTTTGAAGTAATATTTAGAATGACTGTTTTGAGCTGTGTCCGCCTAATTTCCTATTAATACAATTTAAACCAATTGAGTGGTCGTCATAATAAATTATTAAATTGTCTGAAATGGCTTGCATACTTCTGTTTCAGAGTTTCTCCAAAAACGGTACTAACCTTCTGTACATATGGTGTTTTGCTGCGCACAATATTCGCCGACCCGACACTGCTCAATGCCACCACACACATTCTCGTCGATGAGCTTGACGAAGAAGACCTGTTCTCACGGAAACTCACGCCCGATGGTCGAGAGGTCCGGCTACCAGTAACTCGGGACATAAGCAAGCACACTTGCAACCTCCTGCTGGGCACTCTCCACCGCATCCTCGCTCAATATTCCCACCTTAGGCTTGTTTTAATTGTTAATTTAAAATCAACCTCCTACATTTTATCTAACGGACACTACCTTCAATTTCCCACCAACTCGAAGGTTTGAACTCTTTGCATTCTCCACTGTTTAATGAATAGAAATACAACCAGACGGAGGCATGCATCGACATGAAGGAGCCCATTTTACAAACGCAGTTACCGTTGTTTCTCGAGAAAACTACAAAGCGCTCCTATTTAACTACCAACTTCCTGCTTGCATCGCAGTATCGCTCTGCCTCTATGTACTGCTGTAAGTTGGACGATTTTTTCTGTTAATTTGGTTATTGGACTCATTAACTCTCATTTCGGTTGTCATAATACCCTCTTCAGCTTCCGTATTTTAAAAGTAATGTTAAAAAACCACTTTTAGATCTGGTTCCATATTTGTCAATTTTTATTTCCCTTTAAGTAAAAACCGAACAAAAGTCGAACGAAATTTTCTTCCTAGAGGATATCCTCCAGTGGTTGAATTTCAATACACCTGAAATGGAAACTGCAAAGCGTATTATTCGGAGAGGTATTAATTTTAAGTCCATTGCACGATAAACAATTTATCCATGCTTAATCACAGCCCTCTTGAGTAGATGCCGCAAGAGTTTATAAGATGTACTTTTGGCTGACGGGTACATCCGAATGCCCATTGACCCTCTGTGGATTTCATGAATTTTCAACCCCCGACAATGAACAGTTAATGGTAGTTTCAATTACTTTAACTTTATAAGAATATCAAATCTGTTCATAAAGGAATCGGCCGATGTCTCGGCATCAACTGCTTACCGAAACGTCGAGAATCTAATTTGGATCTTATGGGAAAATCTCGTTCTTCGAAGTGTTTACTACAACATTAATAAGGTACTCTGTGTTAATTTTCAAATGCCAACATGTGACAAATGTGTTTGTGTGCCTGTTCTTCGCTAAGAACGCTCGTATGCCGAGATTTTTAACTTTCGCGCATAGTATCAGTGAATTAACAGTTTGAGTTATGTGTTTTGATGTAATAGGAGTGTCAATCACAAATGGAGGTGCAACCGCTCATTTCTGATTTACTTCAATCAATCTCAGTTGAGTGGATTCCTGTTGACTACAAGCACTCGGAGACAGGTGTGTAATTTTCTAATTTCCCCGAAATACAATTTAATACATGCCTAAAAAAGCTTTACTTGGTACTTCAATGTCACCTACTCCAGCTGTGGTCCTTTAAGTTTTTTAATGGTGTTATAAGATCTGGAAATTCGTTACAGTTCTGTGCATTCTTTAAATCAATAGGGATAATTACAAACGCACTTGCCAGGGAATGGAAAAGCTTAGCTCCCTTGAATTTGCAAATGCATTTATAAGCATTTTGACTATATACTAACTTTGTGTAATATTTACTTCTCCACTTCAACTGTTATAAATCCATTTGTATTCAGGTTGTACGTCTTGCACACAGACCTTACAATCCATTATAGCATTGATGCAGTGTCTTCTTTACCATGAAAAGTGCTTGAATTCAATTGCCATGTCTATTTCTGCATATTTAGGCAGCGTTACGCTACCATCAGGCATTTTCCTTTTACCTGTCCTCAAGGTTCGTGCATTCCCATAATCATTTTACTTTAACGCGAATGCACTATTAATGAAATCATGTATACTACCGTACTCCCAAACAGGTGGTTTGCAATGGCCTATTCCCATTTGGCAGGGATAACCCCGTTGATGTTGTTCTCAGCTGCGGGTCATTTGGAGGTGGTTGAGCGGCTGCTGAATCTGGGTGCGGACGTGTTTGAGCGGGTGCCGCTGCCGAGGGCCGCAATGCCTCCAGGTCTGGTAACTCTTGGCACCGACCGCGCCGCACCCACCCACTACTCCGTCCACCACCTCTCCATGATTGGCGCCAACGCTTTTGACCTTGCCCGTCTCTACGGTCACGCGCGCGTCGCCGATCTCCTCAAAGCACACATGCAAGTGTTGCCCCAACACTACTTTCCTACGGCTCAATCACCTTTTGCAAAAAATTATGCCTGATCCCTGTTGTTTTTAATCACGTTGTTCGTTGTTCTGCTTTATTTCTACACCTACTTTTTTAGTTGATTAACCCGCTAATTGCCTATTAGTCTATGAACTTATGACTTGTTTTGCCCGGTGTAGACATATTCTGAAATGCTGCTAACCCATTTCAAATACAATAATTACCAACAATTTTGTTTGATAGATAATCCAAATTGAAGTTTGATTTCATAGGGCTGCTCGTTCCCTCGATCATCCAATGGACGACTGGGAGGGCAATCTGTTGCGCTTTGGTTGCTGGTTTGCTAACCCGATGCTTCGACTGCCAAGCCTCTTGCAGCCAGCAAGGAGTTCGACACTTGAACGAAGTTACAACAATTGGGTTGAACGGCACTTTAGTGGATTGCAGAAGCACAGATTCTATCAAGCTGCTCGGAACTGGGTTGGATCTGGGTCAACAGTCGACTTTGAGCTCCTTGCCCAGCTCATTTTCAAAGTGGACTCTGCTCTGGCACCAGGTGGGTTCTTCCTTACTTAGCTCAACTAGTCTTACAAAGGTGGAATACTCGTTTTTCTGCCCTCATATGAAGCGATCATTACGTTGAAGGAATATCTGACGGCCTCTACAAGCATGACCAAGGAGTTAAGGAGGTAACATCGGCTTTATTTCTGTGCGTTTGCTGATTAGCATGATTCCGATTACGAGCTTTATCACCATTTAAGGCAGCGATGGATATTCGTTCTTCATTCGCGAATGCTTGTAGCAGACCTGAAACAAATATTTATGCAGCCTCCTTCTGATATTCGCAAAATAGTAAGCTCTCCGTTTATTAGCTTTCTATTTGTTACAGATTCTTGCAACAGACATTGCTGAGAGTAGCGTAGCGATTAGTGACATCGCTTACGTCATTGATACGGGTCTCGTCAAGAAGGTAAAAGTGCGTGTCAAGAGGACGCTTTTAGAAAGAAGAGGACCCTAACACTGGTGCACTGATAAGTCAGAATCGTTGGATTAGCTACAACAGCGCCATTCAACGTCAATATGCGTAAACTTCGACTGCCTCGCTTACGCTGCTATCCGCTTGCGAACCATCAAAATATTAATTGTACCTTTCAGTGCACAAATGGGGCGGGAGCCGAAATGCTTCCATCTCTACAGCAGACTTCGGCTAACCTCTCTCGAAACTACCGTGGATGAACCTCGATCTCCAATTGTGCGCCACACTATGGAGGTGAGCATAACTTCATTAATGCTTACTATTACTAGCAATTTATCTTTTTTGTATTTATTCATATGAGTGTACTAGTTTGTTGCTTCTAATTTATCATCTCGTAGTTTTTACTCTCAGAAACGGGACTAATATTTAGAACTTTGTGCCACAATAAAAGTCCGACTACCGTCTTGCATCAACATTGAGCTACTCTTCAACTAATAGCTGAGAGGAAGTTTGCATACACGATGATTTAGTAATGCATTTCCAGTCGAGGCATCCTTACCACTATTTTCAAAGTACCTTTTCCCCTTCGGGTTTGAATAAACGACCCGCCTTATTAATTGCTCATTTTACAATAGCATAAAGTATGGAATATTTTACGAACCCAAATGTGTTTTCATAAGAAGAGCAATAAAGATATTGTTGTTGCTTCTTCTCCCAGGAGGTTTGCCTTCATGCTAAACTGCTTAGCCCCCCTGGAGAAAATTTGAACGCTTGCTTTCAGTCGCTGCCTCATGTGCTTGACCCTATTGCACTGGACCAGAGCATCCGGAGTTTGCGTGTAATTGTCGGCTAGTAATATGGAATATAAAAAGTGGAACATCCTTGAATACCAGTTTGATCCCCCCCCCCCCAGATCATCGATGCGGTGGACGCCTCCGGCGATTTGACCGAGCTTGGCTCTCACATGTGCGATCTCCCACTTCCTCCCAGATATTCAAAAATGGTGCTCGTGAGCATTGCTCTGAAGTGTGTTGATCCCATTCTTACTATCGCGTGCATCCTAGCCAACGAAAATCCCTGTACGTTTTACATTTCACATCCGCCATTTTTGTCTTTGCATGCGTACTTAACTGATTCGACAACAAAGTTTCTTCCACATACTCAGCATTCAAATATCTTCTAGTGGGTAAGTTAGCTACTTGAAAACATACACGGCGGCCCGGGTTTTGTCTGAACAGTAATGACAGAAGGGTTGGCTCATCCTAAATTCTGTTTTCACTTCTTTGATTTCGCACAAGCGAACATAAGCGGGTGCAGTTGATGGTAGGCTAACATTGCAAAATCGTTTAAAACTTTTTGTTCCATTCAAAAATGAAATTCAGGAGCGATGCCAACTTTGCATATGTGATGATTCGCACTCAAATCTTTGAACACATCACTTTTCTTAGGACTGCATAATTTCTTCCATCCGATGAGAGGTAATTTTTTCAGTTACCCTTCCAAGCTCTGCTAAGGAGCGCAAGGAGGCCCAAATCGTGCGAAAGAAGTTTTCTGCAGACTCTCTTAGCGATCACATGGTTTTGTTGAGAGCTTTTCAGGCAAGTTGCTAAGATCTCTCATGCCTTCTTCATGGATCTTAACGGGCCTTTTATTGATTTATGACACTAGCATATCATAGATAAAAACTTCAATAGAATGCTTTTTGGACATTCCAGTTCTGGCAAAAGGCTAGATTCGAGGGATGGGAACAGAGCTTCTGTCGTAAAAACTACATTTCAGCAGCCGTTTTCGATATCGTCACAACTGTGAGGTTAGGTTTTTTCTATTTCAATACTTAATGCATATCTGGTATTCATGTGGACAATTAAACTACAACTTGCAACGTTCTGGCCTTCAAATTAGCAATGATAAGACCGATGTACTGGGAGTTTGCCTTTGCAGAACCCAATTACTAGGTCAGCTACGAGCTTCGGGTTTCGTGAAAGCACGAGGCAGCGGAGATATTCGCGACCTCAATACTCACTCCGAAAATTGGGCAGTTGTCAAGGCCGCTCTAGTTGCAGGCATGTATGACAACTTGGCACAAGTCGACTCGGAATCAGGCAACCTCGTAGTTTCCGGATCCTTCCTCAATGCTTCGAAGGAGATACTCTCTAAAACTCCCTACTGGGTAATATTAGCTGTTTCCACCACTATCTCTGCAATGCCAAGCATGCTTCACGACCAATCGAATAGTTCGCATCCTCCATATTCGCAGTTTGCAGTACAAATTATTCCTCCTATAGATAATTTCCTTGGGGTAGGTAAAGCTAATGCAAGTTCCTTGTGAAGTATTGAAGGTAGCTTAGGAGACTGTCCATGTCCCCCTGTCTGCTTACAGTAAGACGAGTGTGGTATTCACAGCAAAACGCCTGCCCCTTGAATTACCTTTTAGCATCGGGCTCTAATATTTTGCGAACCTTAGGTTGGATGTTAAAACTGTTTTTCCTTATCTGCTTCAAGTTTGGTTTCACAATATTGTTATCCGTCTCAATAAATCCTAGGTACGCCCCAGTCCTTTATCAGTTTTGGCAACAAATCTTACTGATAGCTCCCCGGTGGATCTGAAGCAGCTCCCTTCTCATTGGCTGGTTTATGACAAGCTAATTGGTCAGTGCTCAATGAGGGAACTAAATAGGCATCGGGGCAACTCTGACACGAAGGGGAACTGTGGCAAGGCAAAAAAGTTCAAGTGTCGGGAGAATACATGCAAGGAGCCGGAAAGGAAGTTGCTCCATTGCGTAACAGTCGTCTCGCCCTTCACAACTGCTTTAATTGCTGGGCCTGTGCGCTCTCCCATTATCTGCACTCCGACTGAGGACATCAGTAAGACCACACCTTAAATCATCGTAGTTTATGGTACTGTAACTGCACACCTTCGCGGTTTGGTACGGCTACGTTACATGCTATTTAATGCGGTCTTTCTGCTCCAAGTAATTTTGTGCTTAGGCTTACTCCCACCAATCTCTAACTTGTTTCCGGTTCGTACTCCGTTTACTACCCAGTTAACTCATTTTATTCTGCCCATTTATAATCTTCTGGACACAGCTGATTAACTAAGCCTTTCCTTGTGGGTTTCGCCTACTTTAATGATGCATTTTTCGGGAAAAATATTTAATAACATCCTGAAATTTTTTTACGCTTAAGCTTTATGCAAATCAAACCGTCGTTGCCAAACGCCTTATCTGGAAATACTTTAACCGTCCAAAATTTATTATCCGCCAATTGAGCCTTTTAGTCGCCCCAAGCCACCAGATTAACAGTGACTCACCCGCCTAGAACCTATCTATCACTGGTATGCTAGCGTTATTTCACTGCTACCAATCCTTCGTTTGATTGGATCTGATCATTTTCTAGTCCAACCACTTGAGGTGGAATAATGTTCGTCCTTTTGAACTTGCTGCAAATTTTTTTCTAGATTCAGATTTTCGACAGCCGGGATATGAGTTTCTCAGAAACAGAACCCGATTCCAGCAAAATCAACCACTTACGATGGCGGATATAGAGCGCATTTTGAAGAACTTTAACACAGAGGTTCCACGTCTCGAAGCCTTAGGGCTGCATCAATCGGAAGACAGTGTTATGAAGATTCAGGAAGCAATGTTAGTTGAGCATCAGTCTGTGAAAGAAAAAACTCAGCCCAAGCGCACCGTTGTATTGCGCCTGGATGGACCAGACGGCATCCTTGCTTATGAATGCGAACTTGAAGTGGCTCGGTTGATAAGTGATCTCAGGCAAAAATGGAATTCATTGTTACTGCGTCGCCTGAGGAACCCTGGCAAGCCATCTCAACAGCAGGACGAGGTGAATTTTACTTTACCTCAAACACTTCGTTTTCGGATTCGACCACGCTCAAAGACTTACCATCGACAGTTCCCGCACATTAAGTACTCTATGCCTTGAAAACAATTGTGCAGTGCTTTTTCACTATTGCAAAACACCATGAACAAGCGGTCGTCATCACAAACGAAATCACTTTGCTACTCAGTATTCCTGTCAGATCTCGCATAGTGCCTGGCATACTTATTTAAATTATACCAGCAATCAGGGGTAACGAAGGGACTTCTGACACTGCAGAGATCCATTACAGATGTAACCTCATTTAATCCTATTGTCAGGTTACTGTGTGCATTTTGCAATCCTTACTGAGTCTGTCGAGACATGTACCTGCGTTCCATTGGCCCGAAACTGGTGCGTCTTTCAGGCCCTTCTTTCAACCATTGTGGCAGTCCTGTCGGCAGAAGAGCAGGTGCTGGGCCTTCGCCAGCCAACAGGCGTTGGTGCACGACCCCGCCCCATGGCCACAGAGCTGTGCAATCAAAACGACACAGTTACTGACGCTGCGACAACTGCTTCCAGTGTCACCGGGCCGCTCCCCTCCCCTGCTGCCGCCGATGAGGACGACAACGGCGGTGGCGATAGCGACAGCGAAGGAGCTCCTGTGGAGAGTCCTACCACCCCTGTAGCCGCAGTGCAGCTCCCTCAGACTTTAAAACAGCCAACCCGTCTTTCATCGAATACCTTGGCGACAAACCAACAGGCGAACGATTGGGCGAGCACCTTTGGCGGAGGTGACGATGGGAGTGACACGAGTAAACGTAAACTTCCCCGTGATGCCTCGTGCACCGCCACGCGGCAGGGGCGACCAAGAATGTGGGGCGACAGTCTGACTGATAATCTTGCTCAAGTAAGCCAACGTAACGACAGATTAGCCCCCACTAAAACTATTTAAACCAGCACCTGTACTCCGAATTTACACACTTCCTAACCTGTGACACTTCAGGCGCGCGAAATTAACACCACTAATTTTTAGGTCAAGTTATTTTAATTCCAAAGACAAGTACATTTAGTCCGTACACTTGGGTTATTTAGCTGAAGCTCGCTAATTCGCAGTCACCAATATCAGACCACTCGGTCACGTACTTCAAGTTTGAAAGGGCTCAAACACACCAAAGAATGTGCCAACAGCAAAACCACTGGAGTCAACAGCGCTGCGACCTGTCACTTGCGCTTCAGGTGAATGGCGACGGCGGCGACACATACCCATCTGAGGCTGATGCGCGACCACTAGCGACCCCTGGCACTCATGCTGACAAAAGCAGCACCGACAACTTTCATCTGACAAACCCCAGTATTCCATTCGGATCATTGCAACCTTTGGGACAACGCCATTTGAAATAAACCTCACGTGTTTCGGTCCTTGAGATAGCTGTTCTTATTATCCTTCGACATCTGGTTACAAACCATTAAATTATTGATCTTAAAGCATTTCTCATCTATCCCCTTCACTTACATCCCAATAATGGTGCATCTAGCATTGAGTTGGCCCTTTTGAAATTGGCTTTTTCGCGCAATAACTAGATGAGAACAGAAACTAAGCCCACTTTCCACACAAAAGTACTCATTGTCAGGTTGTCTTGCAGCTAATTGAGATCAAGGTCTGAATCCGCACAACGTATTTCAACTATAACATTCCCCAAGTACCATTCCAGCAGACCACCCGAAATTAATGGTTCGAGGAGCGTCCACATACCCAGTGAACTAGCCATTATCCGCATGAACTCTCAACCCTCACGCAATTACTAAAAAATCGCAAGCCAACACGTTTGATGGATGGATCACAATGCGCATATGAAACTGTTTCACGAGTACGTCATGTGAGGGTGGAATGAAGGCTCGGAAGGTAACTAAATAAGCAGGCACATAACAATGTGAAAACTACTGCTGTTCAATGAAATGCAGGAGGGTCCCTCCAAGCATCACAGAAAGGCCAGCCAAGACGACAGCAGAAATGGCTATCTTGTACCGAGATAGCTGAAAAAGGTTTAGGCAAGATTTAGGCTTAAGCAAAGTACAAAAATGCTCTTGGAATTCATTCGTATTATGCAAAAGGGTGCGTGACATGCAGTGTAGAGTGTAGGGCAGATGCCACTTCACTGTGTACTGATTGGGTAGGATAAGTATGTCATGAGCATGTTCAAAATAAGAAAAGATAATGATATTTTGAAATTACATTATTACTTGACGAGTTTTGAGCAAATTTTTTGCCGTATTAGCATCAATACTTTCACGTAAAAAAGACTATTCATGCGGTCCATACTGCAACGCTGCATGGTACCACGATTGTGTGTGCTACAATAGAACTCTTACATGCCTGAATAAACCCAAAGGTTAACACTTACATTGAAGTCGAGTTAACCTTTAATCAAGGCGGTAGTTGTAGTAAGATGGGCACTTACAATTCCTTTGAGCCTGTCACGGAAATCGGAGGCTTTATTCCCCCCATTCGCATTCACTCTGAAGGCACGCGAAAGAGCCCGGACCTGGCGGTCTCGCTGACTTTTCCAAGCCATCTTGGCCCTTTGCAGCGACTGTCGCAGAAGGGGGGAGGAAGGATCCAAACTAAGCGCCTCCTCGTAGGCCTGTATCGCTTCGGGAAAGTCCCCCATGCCAAACAATGCCTAAGGAAATTTCACCACGAAAACAAAACTTCTTTTGTCGAGGAACAAGTGAAGCCCCTTTAGTAAAGCCAGGTATTACGATACAGTGATCGTACTTCTTCACAACTTGGAAAATCTAGGATCCCTGAACGCCCAAGAAGACTCAAAAACAATGGTTTCAAAGGCCTCTTTTGTGCATAGCACGGCACACCACAAGAGAGAACGCTAACTTTTGTAGTGTATTACAATGGCATAGGCTCTACAATTAACACGTACACTTACATGCCTCAAATGCTTTAAAACAACATCTAACGGAGAACCAAATAGACTTCATAACCATTCAAATCGGAAAGGCAGAGAACTACCAGCGTACTTATTAATACATAACGAAACTCGACCAAACATTTTCGCAACTTTAGATTGTCAAGAAAGTTCAAAAGAATTTCCGGGGGATTTAGACAGCTTACGAAAATTGGACGCTAGGATCAAATGTTTATCCATAAAACTAACAGGTAGTGCAACAAAAGTAAGTACTCAAATTTGCATAAAACCACTATGAATTAGTTCTGGCTTGATTCATAGACCACGCACTCAACTCTGTCATGAGAAACCAAGATCTTTGACCGCCCACAAAGAGAGCCTCGCTACAGTGAGCGTTTCGTCCACTGTCTCAACACGAAATTGAACACATTACCGACACACAATGTATGGTTTTGGGGAAATAAACCAAACAAGTTTATTTTTGGGTTCTTATCATTAGACAATTGTAGAAGAAGACTCTAAAGAGTAAGCCATACAGGGAATGCTTTAGGTTCGAGGATGAGAAACACCTCCAAGCATACCCATTCAAGATATTTTCATCGAAAGAAAGCACAACTTAGGAGCCATTATTAACAGTAACACCCACCAGACAAACAAAAAACTTTGAACTCTCCTCGAACTATAAATTTAGCAGTAACGCTGTTTCAGAACTGTGAAGCTTTGCAAAAAATTGTTGCCAAAAGTTCACGTTTGTGTAAAATTCGGCACTTTGCTTGTTTCTATGAAAGAGCAGTTTTTGAGAAAGGGAAGAAAACTTGCTGTTAGGTCAAAGAAAGCAAAACGACTGAATAACTAGGAGAACCAGAACTACTTCGAATCTGCATTAAATGACTGGTGATAACATTCGCAGTAATGTTAAGAGGTCATCAACAAAAGTGCGATGAAAACCAACTTGCCTGGCCTTTCCGATAGAGAGCCTTGCGGTTAGTGGGGTCGAGCTGGAGAACAGCATCACAGGTCTTGGAAGCGGCCGCAAAAGCTTCAAGCTATTAGATGAAATGACGAAGTTCCCAGTAAATAAATGAAATCAACCGATGCTTCAAACACATTGCACTAGACTTCGAAGATCTCTGGTGTATCAAATGTCTATTAGAAAGTGGACAAAGCGGAAGTAGAATTACATTAAATGGTCGCAAAGCAACGTGTTAAATCGAAACTGCGATTGTGAAAACTAAGATAATAAAAACCCACCTTGAGTTGAGTGGCAGCAACGTTATTCCTTAACTTTATTTCCAAATCCTTGGGCTGGAAGGAGGCAGAAGATGAACCACAAGGAAGAGCTTCGGTGGAGCACAAGGTTGGCGTTAGGGACTTCTTTAGTAAAATTTCCACCCCCTTTGTGTAGCAGGTTAAGGCATATTGATACTCGTTTCGACTTTAAAAGCAAAACGTACAAAATAGCCATATAAGGGCAAAAATCAAGCAGCCTACTGAAAATAGAAGTTTCCACGTTCACGTTTTTTGTTGGATATTTGAAGGCGTTCCTCGATTGGCATATTTTCGTAACATGGAGGATCTCCACATTCATTTAGTGTTATATGGTACGTGAGTTTTGCTTTTCCGGGAATATCAGGCATTCTGAGCACAAAAGACAAGAAGTTAATGAGGCATATGGCACGTGCATGAAGACAAACGAAAAAAAATAATTTTTCTTACTTTCCCATATCCCCGTATGCGAAACGGGCGTCAGTTTTAAGTTCAAATACCTCCTTTAATTCAGCAAGGGGAAGGGCAAGATCAAACGCTATTCACCAAGTTAATGGCATCTAAAAATGAAACGCATACCATGTATGCATTCACCATCTCCAATAACGAGGCTCAAATTCTCAACTTCTTCGACGAGCATCCCATCCTCTAACCATCCTTTGTAACTTATCACGACAGAATCACCATGACCAGGACGACTGCCCTGTCCTAAACCTTTCTTAAGAACCTTGATAAACGTATAAATAAATATTCTGATAGTTTTAAAACATGCCGTGGACAAGTCCTCCGACTGAAGTCTATAAACTATTAATAGGGAAATACATTAATGCATTCAGAAAGTAAATGACAGAAAAGTTGCAGCACATAAGTAGCGTTAAAATGAAATAAGTTAGGTAGTAGAAGGTGTGCAATCGTCAAGTTAAATCAACCGAGATAATTAACAATCTAACGTCTGAAAGGCAACGAGACACCTTTTTCTCCACTAAGCCGTTTCCTAAAATATCGACAATCTCAGATTCATGGATATCGTCCTTCAAGGACTCCGAATCACAGTTTGAAACCTTATCCATAGCACCAGAATCGGCGACAACCATTGTCCGCGGAAAAACGCCACCGATCAATTCGAGAAACGCGCGTAGTGAAGGTAAGCAATAAGTGTAAAAGAATATAAAGGCTTCATTTAGCTAATCGCGAAATCCTAAAGACCCATTGTGTTTCCAAAGATCTTACACACACCTTACCCTAAACGAAGCACCAGGCCCTGTATAATAGAATTTCCGTGTACGAGAAATATCAACCAGGACTTTGCTTTTTTATAAATTACAATATTACTCGCATAATAAAGTTGACACAAGTTAGTTAAGTTCTGACAAAAGGAAAATGAGAAGTTTAAACTAGGGCCATTATGTGCAAAGGATTGCCTGTTTGGAATTTCATTATGGCAGTAGCTGTATCCATAGGAAAAACAACTTATTTCAAGAGAAATAGTGATGACAACTTTGAGCTTATGGGAGCGTAAAGTTTAGTGCTACCTAAGTCGTTGTATTTAAAGAGACGCCCTTAATTCACTGAGTTTTAGAGACAGATTGTTTAATTGGTATGGGAATTCACCCTCTTAGAAAGCACTGGATTTAGGCTAAAATATACGCGCAGATCATACAACCCTAGACCTACAATAAGATTAATCAATGCCCTACCCGACTACAGACGAAAAAAGGAATCACTGTCACCACCCAATCAAGGCATCAAAGCGTAGTTGCCGGGCCCCATGCATTGTGGATCAGCTGCTGACGATACAGTCAGGTACCCAACATAATTCCACCATCTACGCTTCCACTTGATTGCACCTGGGTAAATCACCTGGCTTTGGAAAGGTGGAAACCACTAACAGCTTGAAATCCTCCATAAAATTCTACAAGGCCGGAAAGTATGTGAAATGGAGTGATTGCCGAAAGCGCATCGACAAGATCGTGACTATGGGAACAAAGCCAATCACATGAAATAATTCAAATCAGTGCGTTGAGAACCGCAGCACCGTTGATCGTCCGAAAGAGCTGAGAGGCCATTGGCCTGGCCTAACCACCATTCTGCAGAGCAAAATCACAACCCGCGGAAGCTGAAGCCTTAGCAAGATCACGCACACACCCAACGAGTGTCAAATCATTGTACAGCCCCCCTCCCCCGCTTTTTTTCGAGCGTCAATCCCCCGCATCGACTATTGCAACGCTAATCGAGCCCTTAAAGAGCACTCGCAAACCGGCAGCTCCGGCCGCTGAACCCTCCTACAGGTGGGAAGACATTTGATCCCAAGGCCTTTAATAAGTCATCGAAATTTAACCCCGCCCGAAGTCCCGTCCTGCTTGGGAACCATCCAAGGAGAGAATATGCGCTGACCTCGCACTACTTGAAGCCGGCGACACTCTGTAAAGACAGCACCTCCTTCACCAATCCCTAAACGTAAGAAAGTTGGCTGAACAATAGACTTATTTAATAAAAGATAAGATTTAAAAAAGCCCCACAGGCTAATCCTCTGCATCTATTGCCAATCATCTATTTGGGTTCCATTCAACTAGATGAAACATGAAGGAGGTATCATGCTTTTGCCCAATCGATATCATCACGTAAGTATTCCAAAAAAAACTGCGACAGGGTTCCCCAAATGGTTCCAACATAAGAGGACGTTCTTGAGGAGAGCAAGATTAAACTGCTAAAGTGTAGGGCATTTTCTCTCTTAGGAGAGATCTCTTCGTTTCTGACACTGCTCGGGAATTGAAAACCTGAGTATGTTTGCCGTTGTGGATAGGATTTGCCTGTCATTACACTTAACGCAGGGCTCTACGTTCTACAGAGGCGCCAACAGGACACCGGCGCTGCTACGCGGGACAGAAACACAGTGCGCGGACCGAAGTGCCCGCGTATCCACCAAACTGGCCAAACAAATCCTTTAATTATTGCAAGTAATGTCAAACTTCTAACACCGTTGTTCTTATAAAAAAATTTTTACATCATTGCTGCTTTGTCATTGTATTAAAAGCGTGTGCAAATGATAAAGATGCGTAAAGTTTCTAATTTTACTAAAACATTTATTTGCTCGGAACATTTTTATGTTTTTGCTACTTTTAAAACACACTCAAACGACGCTTTTTTAGTAATTTACCCCAATTCAGACAATACGGTAATCGATAAATATTTTAAATAGGTACGGTGTACCATTAAGCCTTCAGTCCTGTATTTGTGCAGTTTAATTACCAATTTCACAAGGTCGTAAATCGTTGAAACATTCTTTACTATTAATTCCGAGTAGCAGGTATTTAAATCTGCTTTTGTTTTCAGCATATAACTCATTTACGCATTTCTCATTGGTTTATTCCTAAGAAGGGCTGCGCGTGCTAACTCGCTCTAGGATTGAGAATGGACGTTGTTGAAATGAATATCAGTGATGATGCTTTGGCCCTAATTACCAACGCCAACTGTGAGCAGAGCGTTAAGAGGGCACTTTTCGTTCCAAATGTGGTTGTGTCGTTTGTTGGAAAGTTGCCACTACCAAAAGTCACAATTCGCACGAAGCTGCCAAACAGACCCACGGGTGTCGATGCTTGTGTGATTGTGAAGGATTTGAAAGGGACCGATTATAATGCCAGTAATGACATTTGGAGGCGCAAATGGCGAGTCGATGGGGGGAAAGGCTCTCCTACCACAGTCACCTTCTTGCCTTTAAGCGAACTGAAGTTGTGCTATCAATCATATGAATCCCGGAGAAAACTTGCTTCCACTTTTGATGTTTTTCTTGCTGATGAACGGATAGTGCATCATCTCCCGACGAATTTGGGGAAAGCCTTTTATGGTAATGCGCGTGACAAGGTACCGATACCTGTTGCGCTTGATGGGAAGAATCTAGTTAAGGCCATAGACCAGGGCCTTCACTCGTGCTTAGTCCTCATCAGTGGTAAAGGAACCACCGATTCCGTCGTTGTTGGCAACACAAGCATGCCGAAAGAGCATATCAAGGAAAACGTTATTTCAGTGGTGAGTTTCCTCGATTGCTTGGCTTTTCTGCACTTTAAACGATTCTTGACGCATATACTCCTGATGGATTTAAGGTGTGGATATTTTGTTTACTAATTCTGAACATATAGTTTGTTCTATTAGTGACTTCATTTTTTCGGTAAGAAAATGGTGATATTGATCTCCCTTATAGATCCGTGACGTCGTGGATAGATGGCCCGGAGGTTTAAGAACTCTTCGCTCGATTTACGTTCGTGGTGTCGGACCTAGCGTGCCCTTATATTTCGACAATACGGAGATAGACAAGGAAGAAGCTGAGGCCAAACTTCGTGAAGTCAGAATGCAAACTTCCGCATCGATGCATCCTCATCCCAAGCTTCTTACTCAAACCCTTTTAGAAGCAGCGAAAGATCTTCCTATCACAAAAAGCCAAGTGAAAACTATACTAAGGAAAAAGACGCGACAGCAGATCAAGAGGTTACCCCGAAACACGCCCAAATCTGGAAAAACAGGGCGCCTTTCAAATGTTAGAAAAACACCAAAATAAACACCTCTCCCACGTCTTTATTTTTGTCAATCTGTTGTTACGCTACGCCGCACTCACTGGTCCTGGTATACATTTGCTAGGCTTTTAACCAGCTACGTGCAATTAAGCACTCGGAGCCTGTGCGCCACTTCCACCCAAGTGCTGTCTGAATGAGCACATAAGTTGACAACCCCACCAATTTAAATGCGGCACAGATTTGTAGACCAGATGTAGCTGCGTTGGGGTTTATTGAGATACAAATGTTTACACGGGTATACTCACTGGATCGGCCCCCGTTGAGGTGGCATCATCCCCGAGGTTGGCACGGATGGGAGAGCACCAGGCCTGGGAGGGCCCCAGGTGGGAGGCATCGGCGGCCCGGGAGGCACACCGACACCCGGCATCACGTTCTGGGGGCCCATGGGCGGTCTTATCCCCATTGGCGGAGCCGGCATCATCGGAGGAAATTGGGGGGGGAAAGCACCCACAGGCGGGATTCCTGGCATGCCCGGAGGGGGTATACCCATTGCGCCACCAAACATGGGGGGAGGCACCTTTCCTTGTCTGTATGCCTCAGCTTAATCGTGAGATGAAAATATGTAAAATACCTACAGGCGTGATCGACCAGCTTTTGGACCTGCTCTTCGAGCCACTTTTGGTAGTATTCACGGACGCTGTTTTTGTGGGTACGTCCCGTGCAATGTGTTTTACGCACCGAAGGTGAGTCATGTGTCAGGAACTTGTCACAGTAATCACAATAATACCTGCAAGCAAGAGCAAGGATGATTACCACTAACAGCCAACGCCCACAAAACTCACTTTGGCATCGCAGAAAACTGGAAGATTCTAGTTTTTCAAACACACGCTTAAACAAACTAGGCGGACCGGCTAGAATATCGTAGGAAAACGCAAAGTCAAGACCCCCGCGACGTATAGTGTGTTTGGAAGATTGCAGAATTTTGAAATTGCTTGACATAAAGCTGTTTTGTTTAATACTTGGGTGGATGTTAGAATAGCGGTGTCAAGTTAAAACACGCCTTTTGCGCTAGTTTTAATCAGATTACTAGAAATAAGCGTACAGCTATTAGCTGTTTGTTCAAATAAATGTTTTTACCGGTATTTACGGGGTCCTTTTAAATACAGATAAGTTAGGAGAAAGGTGTGTGGATTGTTAACCTTTTTTGCAACTTGGTTCTGTAGTCAAATTAGCTGCGTTAACATAAAGAATTTGTGCACTTTATTTTTTTCAAGTCATGTTGTATGCCAACCATTACAAGCAGCACTTCATATTGCCATTTATTTTCGCAAAAAAGTTCGGCTAATTTTTCTCGAAATTTTCGATCGATCATAAGCAACTGAAATGTCTTTCTTAAAACGTTACCAACTTCCACCACTTTGGTGCAGAGCCTCGTTGTATTGAGCACACCGTCTTCTTTCGTTGAGCTTGATGGCGCAGGGGGAGGTTAATCAGGATGAAGTTGGAAAAATTCCGGTGAACGAAATGACGTCAAAGGATTATTACTTCGATTCTTATGCTCATTTTGGCATTCACGAGGTAGCTCTCTCCAGTAAATTTGTAAATTGTCATGTATAGGAAATGTTAAAAGATGAAACACGAACAGTTACCTACCGTAACGCGCTACTGCACAACAAGCACCTTGTAAAAGGCAAAGTAGTGCTTGATGTTGGTTGCGGGACTGGAATCTTGTGCTTATTCGCTGTTAAAGCTGGTGCGAAGCATGTGGTTGGGGTATGTAGATGTCTACTTTTGCTATTGCTTGACGTCTAGATCGAGTGTTCAAACATTATTGATCATGCGAAGGAAGTTGTCAAAGCTAATGGGATGTTGAGCAGTATGTCTTCCCTTCTCTCGATCAACCTTATTTTGGGCTTTAGAGATAACTCTTATCAAAGGCAAGGTCGAAGAAGTTTCTCTCCCAAATGGTATCGAAAAGGTTGATATTATAATTAGTGAGTGGATGGGTTATTGTTTGTTCTATGAATCAATGCTCAACACTGTCTTATACGCCCGCGATAAGTGGTTGGTAAGTTTGTGGAGAATTCAATTTTCTAGAAATGTCTGTTCGGTTTACCCTGCAATTTTTTTAGGCTCCTGGAGGTCTTATTATGCCAGATCGTGCTACATTATACATTTGTGGTATTGAAGATAGACAGTATAAGGATGAGAAAATCAACTGTAAGTTTGTTTTGGTAATAGTGTAGATTCTTCCTATTGGACCAAAACGTTTATCCCTATTTTAAAATACCTTGGAAACTATACCTTAGTACAAGTTTGGTGTTTTCTTTTGGAATTTAATTGGTTGTCTGTGCTGCCTATAACTGACCCATATATGTTAGAATAAGTTGTCTTCTTTTACTTTGTTTTCTCTTTTTATTTGTTAAACGTGTTCGACAGTGTATTGCTGGGAGTTTTGTCACGTGCATTGGCGTCGTTATTCTTGTCGCTATGGATTTGGCATCGTTTTTCCCTTTACCTACATAGCTGATTACCAAATGGATTCTCTAGTATTTGCTATTAATTCTGAAATTAGACAGACGGGTTTTGTGATGACAGTATGTGTTCGAAAATAGGCTCTAGTTGTCTTCCTTTAAAATGTAATCGCATGGCGGTAATCTGACGGTTTTACCCGTTGTTCAGTGTACCCAGCACAATTTACCAAACTATTCAGAATAATTTTTTATGTAGGGTGGGATAATGTCTATGGATTTGACATGAGTTGTATCCGGAAAGTCGCTCTCACCGAGCCTCTTGTCGATGTTGTCGACCCCAATCAAGTAGTTACCAATTGTTCCCTCGTAAAAGACGTCGATATGTACACAGTTACTGTCGAGGATCTCACCTTTTCGGCGCCTTTTCAGCTGACCTGCAAACGCAACGACTACGTTCATGCTCTGGTCACCTTTTTTAATATCAATTTTTCTTGCTGCCATAAATATGTGGGTTTTTCTACGGGTCCTGATGAAAGAAGGTATACGCACTGGAAACAGACGGTCTTCTACCTTGACTCCGGGGACGGTGATGAGTGTCTAACTGTTAAAAAAAGTGAAGAAATCCGCGGTATCTTTTCCATCACACCCAATAGTCGCAACAACGTAAGTTCGCTATAGCTGCTTCATAGTTCTTCGTTTCAGTGTTTGTAGTTAATTATGCCCAAACTATACAACCCACTATGTTTGTGAGCATTCAGATTTTGTCTTCATCCAATATCTCATTCATTTACTTTGTTTACAGCGTGACTTAGACATCTCTATTAAGCTAAACTTCGTTGGCGAGCTCTCTTCTGCTGACAAAAAATTCAGTTATCGAATGCGTTAGGCGCTCCCTGGAGTCTCTGGTCATTCCTGCAGGTTCCGCATTTTCAATGAACTCCCGTGAACACCGTTGAACTTCTTTATACAATCCATTTCAATGAGATTTTAATATGAAAATAAAGGAAATCATGACAGTGTATTTGCCTCTAAAATATCATTCATAAGCCTTATGCGTCGTGCTTGGGGTACAGTCCAAGTAACCATTGCTTTTGATTATTTGGCTCTCCTCTATACCCTGGCCCGAGGCCGATTAAATGTCTTCATGCCTATACTCAAATGGACGTCCAGAATACCGTTTGGTCTTTCAATATGCACTAGGAACCGTAGTGGACGGGTGATTTCGAGCGTGAATCTGTATCCAGGTTTATTGCGAATTAGAAAACCTCAAATAAGATGGGGGGATGCTGTCATAGCTGGTGCTGAATTTATTTTTGACAAGTTAGTTTGCCTTTATTTACCTCCGCCTTCCCCTTGTCTGTAACGAACAGTTCTGTATCGACTATTCAGGGAGTTTGCGTAGACTTCTCGACATTTGAGTAGCATGGAAAAGGATTTCTGAGTATGAGACTAGTGTGTGGTTCAACAGTTCATATTATCAGTGCCGTGTGACTTCGTGGTGACGGGTCGGCGAATCAGGTACACCAGATCTTCAGTGGAATATTTCTACCTGCAGACCTATTAGCTACTGTCGGTGTTTCCTTTGTGCAGATCCGTCCTAAATGCGCTTCGCGCAACGCTGTCGGTAATACTGTGGTGGTGATTTGCTGAGAAGTGTTGCCTATTTGCATTATTTCATAATATTCCAACCTTTTGGAATGCAGCTCATTGGTTTGACTAAATGGAAGTGCCTTATCGATTCTGGTGTTGCATCCTGAACATTTAGTCAGATTATGGAATCAAACTTGAAACTGTTCATGATTCAGCCAACTTGATTCAACATCAGACATTGCTTTGATAGCCACATGTTAGGAGTTACATGCCGATAAGTACATGCCACGTGCTTCCTACCCTGCTTTGACGTGAATAGATATGAAAGCGGGATAGGAAGGAAAGTTGTTAGGGTTGCGCCTAACTATATCATTCCCAGATGCATTGCTATTGCATTTTAATTTTATTCACGAAAAACACAAACGTTATTCTGCCAAAAACAGGGGAGTTATTGCTCCACCCTATGTCCCTACCAACTTGATTGACTTGTAGAAGCGTCATAACTAGTCAAATATACAATTTCTGAAGAAGTGAGAAAACTTCCTCCACGAGGCGCTCTATTCCCCAGTTGTCTGATATCCTTCCCACTGCCAGCAGCCACTAGATCAAAGAGATGCCGTATGAATAAATATTTCTACATCTCCGCATCACATCTTGTGGTGTCAACAATGGAACCGCTAAGGTCACGGAAACAGTGAGAAGTTCGTCATGGAGGGGAACGCGCGATGTTAAAATTTACACTCCACTCATACGATCGCTGTTAATCTTTTAGAAAAGTTAAAAAGTTAAATCTCGGGCGTGCTACCAAAATTACAGGTATGAATTTAGGACGCAGTTCCGTATATTATGGCTTGATTACACACGGTTCGGCATTCCAGAAGCCTAATGACCACTATGGTGCAGTTAAGGGCGCGCCTAAACCCCCTTCAATTAAAGCTAGCAGCTCCGGGCAGGCGAAATCCCGACAGCGCGCTGAAAGCACACATGTTGAGATCGACTAAAGCACACGGCGGGGAACATGTTTCTAGTCGAAATGGCAAAATCAGATTACGCACTGCCGGTCAAGAGTAGGAGCGTTTGGACCCAGTAAGCAATGGTAACATTGCATCGAACATACCGGTGCATAATCGGGGTAATGATTCAACAACTATTTCCTACTTCTAGCCTTGGGAAACCTTCATTCAATGTCTAAAGAACAGTAAAACTCGCCGAGTAGACACATAAATGCATTGTTTTCGTAATTTTTAAGAAAGATTAGAATGGAGACAGAGTTATGGGTGTATAGTTGGCGTTTGTGTTGTTGATAGGTATCACGAAGAATAGGCTGTACACTACCTACGCTGAGGTGAGTGGGTTGAAAAGGAGGGAGGAGAAAAACGCAGACATAGAGGAAACCAACGGATTTTACAGAAAACCACTCCTAAGGTTGTTATTCCATATGGTAGCAGTCACCGGGGGCTGATTGGAGATGGGGCTGTTGGTGGAGGAGCCAGGAGTAGAAGGCTGGTGCAATGCGGTGTGGATGGAACTGACGGAGGGACTGAAGTAGGCAACAGCAGCCATGGCTAGTGCAGCAGCAGCATCCGAGGTCAACAAGGGATAGCCCGTGGTTGTGGCACTGAGGAGAGCCTGTTGGTGGATTGGTGCGGCTGTTGCTGTTGTTGTGCCGTCAGGGGTGGTTGTGGTGGTGGTGGTAGGCACATGATGTTGCTGAAGTGGTACGATTCCTGGCAAGAGAGTTGATTGGAAGGACGGCGCTGCTACTCCTCCTGTGGCCGATGCAGCTGCTGAGGTGGAAGGACTGAAGAAACAGATTCCAGCACCACCACTATTTCCACTACTGGGCACCGCTTGTACATGTGTGAGTAGAGGAGGATCCGGAGGTGGCAATGGCTCGTTCCGAGGTGTCCACATTGTCGCTGGTCTACGGCCAAGCGAACAATCTAAAAAAGAAGAGTAAATTTTGTTTACATTTGTTTGTGTACTTTGTGTCACAGTCACCAAATGGTATTCTCATCAAGCTTTATTAAACTGGCCAAATCCTTTTTTAAATTCCCCTTTTTTTGGCAAGGCCAGCATCAAGCAAAATCGCGAAAAGCCGCTTTTTGAGACACCTATACGCGAATTTCAAATTTTCGACAAAATCTGGCTTACTTTTTAATTGGGAACCGGTCACTGGGGCTATTGGTATTCCCACCGCATCACATATTTCCGACGACGCTTAATAAGGAAAATCAACGAAGACCTTACGTCAACGAAAAGGAAAAATAACTAACCATTCCAAAAGGAGTCATTGGGATGGGAAGAGACGGTGTGTGTTGCAGAGTTTGGTTTCATAAGGGAACTGTTGCCATAGCTGCCAACTAAATTGGATGTGGCGTCAGACTACAAAACACAAAAACGACAAGATGTTTCATCTAGGGTATTTCAAAAAAATTGGAAGGAAGCATAAGGTTATTCTACTTCTCATTCGGGAAATAAATAAGGAAGAGAATGAGTCTGCCGCATCTGCTTATGGACAGATTCCTGTGTAATATCAACGTAACGAGTGCAAAAGTTTAATCATGTCAAGGCTTCATTCTGAGCTGTCAGAATGTACTGGATGTTATTTGTAGCAGATCTTTAATTGGATTCTTAGGCCATCCCAGCCCATGGCGTGGCATCTTCGTTACGATGTCGGCCCTGAGGTGGTGTTCAACGAAAAGATCGTGTGAATCTGCAGTTCCAACTTCCCGGTTCATGTCACCAAAGAAACACGGGTCGGCGGCAATGAGTCAGTTAGAAAGCGTAGCAGCGGCCTAATGGTGTTGTAGGTAGCAGGACTAGGACTAGCGTTCTACCTTCCAGCGAGTCCCTGACAAATCTGCCATCGAAGGAACTAGTAGTTCGGGGCAAAAATCTTGTGCGCTAAGGTCAAGGTCATGAAATGCAACTTTTCCGTGTAGGATGCCGCGACATAAAGGCGAGATAGCAGGAGCCAAAGCTTACTGTTTGGAGTGAGGAGGAAGACATGACGTTGGGTTGAGGAAGGAGTTGAGTTGAAGCAAACGAAGAATGGCTACCTATGCTTGTGACTTGCTGCAACGAAGACGGTAGACCCATGGTCAAGGCCGGTGCTCCGACTGAGCAGGCAATCACCTAGGAAAGGGAAATTGGAAAGAATTGGGTCTCCCAGAGTCAGGTGGCGATTATTTGGGTCCCCCCACTTACAGATGTGGTAAAAGGCGGGAGAGTCGAATGTTGGTCGTGGACACCAAAAAGAGTCGCTGTTGTGTCTATGGTTGGAAGTGGTGATTGTGGCTGTGGCACCTCGACTCCCAAATCCGGATGGTTCGAAGTAGCCGGATTTAGCTGAAGTGTTGGCTGACCAAGTATCGTAGTCCTTTTGCTACACTCTTGAAAATCCTTACCTAGTGTCAGTCCAACTCCGTTTTCTTCGCCGCTTTGGAAGGGAACGATAAATATTAAAGAACAACGCCTTAAATAACTGTGGGTCAAATTGTAACAAAGTTAATTTAAAAGCAATGATATGTATAGACTTCAATACTGGTGTGACGGATTTAGTAGCACTTTTTAAAGAATGAATATCTTTCGTAGTGCAGTTGTTGAAGTCAAGCATGATCAACCCGGATTGTTTTTCTCAAGAAGATTTTTTGGGTTGGAATGGAACTGCTTATATCGTCTACAATGCGCACCACACCTTATTGATGTGATTTTGTTCAGTTTTTACCATAAGACTAACGTATCATAGTAACTCTGTTATCGTATCTAAGGCATTAACAGATCTATCTTGCCGCATTTCGAGATATTCCCTTCCAACAATCGAGTAAAATAACATTGACCTTCAATGCTTTTGAACATCAGTGTGAATTGCATTTTTTTGCCAGTACATCGGCATTACGAACCATACAACCTCCACAGTGCTCCAGCCTTTGTTCCTACCGCTCTAAGAGTTTTGTAGTGATTTTCAAATAAATGTGGGTAAATTCACAAGCCTACTTTTACTCCCATAAAAATGTTTTATACTACTGAAACAAGGCATTACCAGGGAAAGTTAATACACTTTTCTCCTCTAAAATCGTGAACATCTTCCAATATTTATGCAGCTTCACGTCACGTAAAGAATTCGACCTCACCTGTTCACATGGTCTATCTCTTCTTCAGGCAGTAGAACAGGAGGATCCGGTGAAGGAGAACGTCTTCTTTTCTTTGATGCAGACACGAGACAGCAGGTCTCTTGGGCGTTGCTCACAGGTGACGATGGAAGGGCATAGGGATCATCGGGCTCTGCTAATTTGGCTTCTGCTGTTGTTAATGCTGCAGCAGGCTGGTGTTTCTGATAGACACGACGGTACTGTGATTTCACTCGCACCCGACCGTTTTCCCCTATTGCCAGGGTTAACTTTGGTATCACAGTTCCTTCTTCTCTTGGCATCTTCTTCCCATCTGCTCCTTTATTCACCACCATTTTCAGCGGATTTAAAACTTGTTGATGCTCTATAGTGCAACAGAGCCAATGCATTAACTCATTGCTGCAATAATATATTTTAATCTAATGCATAAAACACTTGCTCTGTTAAGAATAATGGGATTATCAGCAGTCTTATATCGCATAATTACCCGCATCATTCCTTGCCACAAAAGAGGAATCTTCACTTCTCGCTGTAGAGCCCACGTTTTGACAAGTCTTCTTCACTATGGAATTTTTTTCGTATTTTCGTCGACTGCTGGAAACGGCTGAATCGGAAGTGGCCGAGGGGGAGTTTGAGCGCAACCTGTGGGCCCATGTACCACCAGTGCTTACTGTCGTCGCTGAGTCCAATGGTTTCAATGTAGTTACGTTCAAGCACATCTGTAGTATCGCCTCTGACTTAGTCCTCTGAAATTGCGATGTTGTCAGTAGCGTACTTACAAAGTATGAGTAGTAAATTTTGAAAACCTCTATGTTGAACGAGTACCTTCACCCCATTTTGCAACGGCTGTTGTTGAGCATTTCCAACGGGTTTGTGAGTACTCTGCTCCCCTGGAGTGGGATTCGATGAACTAGTACCACGTTTTCGGCGTGACCGCCCTTTTGCAGTAGCGGCAGGTTGTGGTGGAGAGAGCTCCTGCCTTGCGTGGCCTGCATGCTTATTTCGACCGTCGGCTAAACTCTGTGAGTGCAAAAGGGAAGCAGTGAGGTTAAAACTAAGTCTTTTCCAATGTAATCTTTGAGGTAACAAACGTGTTTGTCAGCATTTATAAAAGCTAATTCGGGTAATTAGCAAGCATAGCATACGAAAACATGCACGTGTCCGAAGAGCGCTAGAGCCGAGACATTTTTGCCAGAGGACGTAGCCCACGATCCATGTGCAACTTCGCCCAGACAGTCACTTCCGCCACTCGGTTAGCACAATCTCCACCCACCACAACAACTACAACGTCGACGTCGCAACGCCCAAGTGTGTGCGTGTGTGTAAGAGATGACACTATCAGAAAATGTACATTCACGTCTCAAACACCCACCAACGCATCTTAATCAAACACCTCCTTCCATCTTCAAGTGCATTGGCTGTTGTCAAGCCTTACTAGTTGCGTACAGCGTAAATAGAATACAATGAGAATGTGTAAGTCTGCATCCCTATGAATCCCACCCTATTATGGTGTTGCGTTTTCCAAAATCTTCTCCTTGGCAGGGTGCTGCCTGATCACTAGATAGTGATTGACCGCATAACACCTTATGAATACTAGGCAAATGAATCCGTGCTCACGAAACAAGGTCCTCTAACCATTGCACAAAATCTATAGGTGTAATAGTAAACCTGACATCGGGCTTTACCATCAGGAGACCAAACACCATGAACCAAAGAGGGTCTTTAATGATCACACAGCAGCGCTAGCCTCTTGCGTGCCCCACCGTAGTCATTCACGCCTACACGCCAGATTAATTCCTCGCTTAGCCTTCAGATTTACTTCACTATCACAACAGTAGATTTTGTTTTGAAAGTGTAAAATCCATAATGATTAATAAGACTAGAGGGGTAAATTATGATTACCTTAAGCGTCGTCGATCGGCTTATATAGTGGCCGAAAAACTCGTATCATTAAACAAACAAATAACGTCTCCCATCGTCTTGCCTCTAAATTTACACCGATTCAATATGTAATCAGTTCGCAGGAGTAGTCATTTTAACTAATAAATGTAAATAATGTGAAAGAGAGTGATTGACTCACCCGCATAAATGTATAAACGTGGCTGTTTTCTACCCCAGAAATTGAGGCAAAACACACCCTCAACGGATATTTACGACAAAATATGAGACTCTCAGTAGTGAAATCATGAAGCCTAGTTATTTTATAAGTTAACACTCGGAGAGGGAATGCATAGAAAGATGTCGCCATCAACTTTGGCCCAATTCAGTCTTCAAGTGTGTAATATGCTTCTCTCTGCACGCCATCGCCTTATCCTATTTGTTTAGTGACTGTTTAACTCGTCTTAATGTACGCCTTTTCTTATAAATTAACACTCGATATATGAAACAAAAAAGGTCCGCGTACTCGCTGAAGAGCTTTCTCGAGATCCCTGTCCACAACCTCAAGACGCTGCGGTGGGAGGCACGACCGAGTGGGACGCTGGTGTTGATGCTGTTGTTGATGGTTCTGATGCCACCGCTCCCCAATACTGCGAGTATCCTCCTCATCAGTGCTCGCGTTGGTCACACTGGAGGAGGGAGGAGCCGTAGTGATTGCGGTGTCTCCCAGCATCTCTGGAAGTGGGGAGAGGATGGAACGACCGTTTTCGATGTCGGTTGAAAGTATGGGACCTAGTGCACCACTCCTAACCGGGTTCGATCGGTAATCGCGTGACCAAACATATCGGAAGTTCAGTGTCTCTGTGATTCCCGTGGAAGTAGCATTAGTACTGTGATTGCTGTCTAGTGTTGGGGCACTTCGGTGCTTCACCTCCTCATTCATAAAGTTGGTGCTGGGAGTGGCTGATATCAATTGTTTGACTTTCATGACCAATCGATTCGTGCCCTTCATGCGCGTTCGACGAATTCTGGCCGCTGAAAATGAAAAATAAAACCTTTTATCCCCCCGAAACAGTGTTATGCGCTCTTGTGAGGAGAAACAAAAGTTTGATTGCGATAAGTACCTCCTTAAAATAGCAATTCTGGACTTTAATTACATTATGCACTGGAGCTACATCTTTCAGCTAGGTCGTCATCGCCACTATTAGTTCCCGGTGAGTTAATCAGTGCGGGTACTTCAACTACCGGAATTTTTGCACACGCACACACAAATCTTATCTATCTTCGTTATTTCCGCACAACTCCAAACATTAAAGCATTCAAAAATTGATAACTTTTAATGTTACCAGTGAAGAAATGTCATTATTACGAGTAGTAGATTATAGTTTCTATCAAGTTTATGACTTCTTACATTGCAGTCCCAAGATGGCGTACCGCATGATCTAGTACAACAGAAACGAGTTCGTAAAAACGCTCACATGAGCATAAATGAAAAGGCTTTTCGATTTCCAGATGCAACCATCGAATGTAACCTTCAATTAATTCAACTATCTATTATATCCTCCATTGAAACGCCAAATTTTAGAACCCACGAATTTTACTTTTATAGACCATTTCATTTCCAGCCACCCTTGTTTCCAACTCGCTTCATTTTCCAACTGTTCATTCTATCTCCCATTTGAATGTCTAATTTTAATGCCAAGAGAATGTTTTAATCATCGCTTGGAGAAAGATCGATGGAACACGGAGGATTATGATAAGACAGTACCTCTCTCGAGGAAAAGCCCCTTCACAAGTAAGTTTCGCAGCAGTACGAGGTCTTGAGTTGTCTGGCAAGAGGAAAACGTTCTCCCCACTGATTGACTAGACTCGGTTGCTTCTCAAAAATAAAGTGTTCTAGCAAACCGAGTTAGATCACAGCAGGTAGGTGAATCCCGAGTGTAACAACTTAGCTTTAACCAAGAGGTGAGCTGAAGTGGCGCTCTAGAAGTGTGGGGCGGGCAGACTATTTAGGATAAGCGATGACAAGATCATTTCCATTCACAGGCCAATTAGCAAGTACGTGAAAGTGGAGAATGGAATGAAAGTACCTGAAGGACTATCGTCATCTGTTAGTGCATATGGGTGAAACCCATTTACTTACTTGCCTCGATCACCACTTTTCCTTTCTAATTTATGATCAAACGTATTTTTCACCACTCACCTTGGGTACTACTGAAAATTACTTCTAGATACATTAACCTCGAATTATTTTAATCATGCGTGACACACCATTGGCCATTGCAAAGAATAGGGGGCCATGATGAATGTGGCGGACCTACATTTGAGCAATCCCTACCAGAATCGAAATTTTGCATAATTCCTGAGCCACATTTTCTCCAAGTGCAATATAACTGACGCGAAGCCTTTGTAGTTTCTGAAACGATGTTCTGATATTCCATGCAATGGAAAATAGTGGGGAGCACCCAAAAAGTGCCGTATTGATAGACTGACGCATGTCTGCTTTGTAATGAATACAAGCATTTGCGTTTTGCAAGTCTCTACAGGTTACAGCAAGTCATCGGAGCAAACTACACCGGAAGTGACACGAACTCTTCATAACCTAATATTTCCTTCTTGATTTTGAGATGAAGTTCTCGAGGCTATGGCTAGGATAACCAATGAAGCTATCTCCAATCATTCAGTTGTCTGAGCCAAAATGAAGAGAATTTCATCCAGTAATTACGAGAAGGGCCAATAAACTTGAATTAGTCCTCGCAGAGCTGCATAATTTAATACAAGTTATGGTTGGAAATTTTTGAGGTGTTCTACCCTAAATTTACTTAACATTTCCACCCAATCACCTAACATTGTAGAATCAGGCCCAATAATTCCATTAAAGCGCAATATGTTCGTAAGAAGCCATCTTCTGAGTGCAAAAGTAGGGTTTACTATGGCAGTATTGCAAAAGCCACAGGAAGGCAATTGAATGTATTATGAACCCAAGAACTTTACGGAAAATATCGAGACTGCAGGGAGGGAAATAAATGAATAAAGTGATCAGAGAGAAGTTATTTGCCGGTTAAATTTCGATTGGTAGGTGCAGGACATCCTCAATAGGACTGCACTATTATGCGGAAACGTGCAAACATTACCACTGCAATTTGGTCTCCGTGAAATGGTGAAACTTTAGCATTATTACGTTGGACATAGGTGCAACTTGAGAGTGGGTATTCTTGCAATCGAAATACTCGTGTAATAGTTCAAGGTTAAACTCGACCCATTATTCAGCGTATGCCCGCAACTGAGGTCAATCTGATATGCGTGGTTTATGTTTTCCCCTTTCAGTAAGTTAGCGCAATGCGTAATAATTTGCAGTGCAGGCCGTAAACATTTTCATATACTCAAACTTGCGATCAAATTCTGCTACTATAAACCGATAGGCAGAATGAATCAATGATTTGGTTTGTACTTTTTCCAAAAAAGTACACATAGCCTGGAGACTCCGATCAACTTCAACTTAAGTCATATCACTTATGGAAGTAAAGGTCTTTTATATGCAGTAAATTGCTTTAGAGAGATAGGCCATAGGTAAAAAACTAAAAAAAACCAAGACATCAAACTCACGGCCGAATATGGATTTCCTCAAAGATGGGCAGATGGCATCTCCGCAATCATCAGATTGACGCCGAACGAAAACCATTCTAGTGTTTGATTTCGCCTCTCCGTTTAAAATTTTCGAGATAATCCATGAGGGTGCTGCAATAACATTCTCCAAACCAGTCCACTGGTCCCAACTTGGTGAGTCGAGGTCTGTACCAACTTCTCCCTTTTCGGTGGCCAATTGGGGTATAGCCACGCGCCATCCTATGCCAGGACAGATTGGAGACTTGTAGCCATCCAAAAGCATCCGCTTCATTGAAATGAATCGGTTGTATACACTGACTGGCAAAATCAAGAAGCTTGGAGATTGGTTGGGAAATTTATTTTGATGAATTGATGATACACCTAGAAATTGATCAAGAAAATGTGTACCAAACATTAAACGAGTTTGAGCTCAAGTAATTTATCGGAGGTAGCCATGCCTATATTGAAAGCTAAGTGGTATTCCTTCATGGACATCTAATTTGATGTACACAGGCCAGAAGCAAACCTTTAAATACATAAACAAAACTGGAGTCCTATGCGTTACAGTACGTAATTCGGCTGGAGGACTCGATTCAATTGACTATTAAAAATGAATGAGAAAGGAGGAACGTCGTGCGAACACGAGTCGTTAATTAACGATGGCTAGCCGAATCTGAAGCAAAAAGATTCGTTATTTGCTGATAAGTTGAACTAAATTAATTTATTAGTGATCCGCTCTTTTGGAGAGCATTTGCGGTGTGCCGAACACGCTATCAAGAAATGCAGGATTAGGATGAAGCAGAGGGTTATTGATTATGGAAATTCCACGCTTAATGGTGGTGATAGGGCACTGGAGACTATCAGGGCTTTATCAAAAACACGATGACATTGAAGAAAGGCTGTGTAGGGCGGCGTCCAAGCAGTACAGATAAACTTAATAGCTGGTCAAATAATAACCATATACGACGGGCAAAACTTTTGTGTGGGAGTTCCGCATATTTTGAACTTATATAAAGTATAAAGAGTTCTTTCCCAAAAAAATTAAGCTTTTTACAAAAAGTGGTGATGCTTATAGTAATAGTAGTAGTGGTGGCAGTATTTTTCGTGAAAACAGTTTTCTTTAATTGATAGAGCTACTAGGAGTGTAAACACTGTGGACGGTTTCTCACGTCCCTCCTGCACGTGCCCCAAGCCTTGACAGAGGACACGCATCTGGGTTAGCAGCCTCCTAAGTGGAGCAGCCCCCAATTCCTTTTAAGGCCTCGCTAGAGTAGACGGTAATAATACAGCTCAGAAACCCAAACTTTTTGAAATTCAACGGGTAGTACGACTCGGTACAATTGCATACCTGTTCTGGATTCACAGTCCTCCAATTTGGCGAGTTTGGAGTAAAATGCCGTAGGGAGCTCGGAAGAACAGTCTGTGAGTCTTACAGATCCCGCGACGCCCTTGAGAACACGACTGGCGAACTCACTCACCGGCATCGTGAGAAGGCTTTGGTAGGCAACCACTTCGTCATATTGCTACAAAATAAACACAAGCAATTTTTACAATACTAACGGTGCCGTATTTTCGGTTTATTACAGTGAGTATCAGTTCCACTCCAGTTGACTATGAAGGGTTAGTGCATTGTCACACGTGGGATAACTAAGCATCAGTAAAAGTAAGACTTAAAAAATTTGAGACATAATTGCAACTTTGGCAAAGTGTTTGCAGCAGTGATTATGTATATAACGTTGGGGCTTTGTAATGACGCAATGCAAATTGAAGCCAACTGAAGATCCAGCAAGAAATATGCAATAAGAAGCGAAATTTAAGAGCAGGAAATGACTTATTCCATAATAGCAAACAATGTATGAAAGGCGAGAAGAATGGACGTAATTCATTCGCCAACCCACTACTTGACGCCCACAAAATGAAGCTACGCACCGTCGAGGGAAGGGGCGATAATCAGCAATCCACTTCAATATTCGGCTATTTAAGGTGGTGATGCGTTTACATACCTTTATGAGGACATATGGAGTGCTTATTACGAAAGAACATCAGCATTACCACAACAGAAAGTGTATTTTGACCTAAATAACATGTTTTACACTTTCAAAGAACAATTCAACACAAGCAGTGATCCGTGTTGGGAAAAAAAAAGTATTGCAAGAGTTGAAAAACTTCACGCAAAGCTGTTGAGTTTATCCAAAACACTTTGATAAGCATTGGGGGATGGCCACCGACTGCTCTCCATCTCCCAGCATCCATTAGCAGCCATGGTTTTGTTGACAGCATCAAATAGAAGAGAGACGAATAAGTGAGTGCGGTCGTACAGGTCTGCGCAGCCTGGCATCGTCACTGCTGCGCTGACATCCATCATAGGCGTGGGTACGCAGCTGCAAATCAGCGAGTTGCACTTGTGCCTCTCTTTCACCGTACTTTGCCACTCCGTATACAAGACCTTTCTATGAAAATCACCGCTAATAAGCTAGGGTTCCATCAGTTTCCACCCAAACATTTTAAAGCGAAGCAGTTGACTGCGATGCCATTGATGCAAGCAAAATCTAACAGACCTTTGTCGGAGCTACCGAAATCTATCTTGGATGAACGATGAAACAGGTTCAAAGTGGGCGCGCGCGCAGTCCATCCAGCACGCTTGCACGCACTCAAGGGCGTGAATCACGGTTCTAAGGTAGCAGGGGGGTGACACGCACACCTCTTCCTCCCCCTCCCTCGAGGGATGCGGGTGGGTAAGAAACGGTGGACTAGACTTGTTAAAACAAAAGTATGCCTCGGAAATTTCTATTTTTCGCGATAAACGAAGTTAGGTATACTCCCTTTGCCAACCATTGCACTTAACATTTCTTTTCTTACTAAAGTGGAGACTAAATAATGTCGAAAATCGAAGTAAAGTAGCTTTCCACTTTAACCATAAAGCCGTTAGACCAGACGCTCTGGTAAGTTCATCTGTGGCGTACCAAATAACTGTCAGCATGAAAATAATTTGTGGCATTCACATCCTGTTGGCTGAGTAACTACCCCTTATTGTTTTCAGATAGGCTTATCTACCTAATTGCTGGTCCAGCTGCATACAATGCTCGGGGAATAGATAGTGCATATCAAGAAATTGTTATTATAGGATATAATGCTGGAATTCGAAAGCATCTGATTTAACGTGTACATTGAGAAGACATCGAATAAGAGCTTCCCCAAACTACAATTTTTCCATGTAGTCAATGGATGCTAATATCTCGGATATTGCAGTGCTGCACCAAAGCATAAACGAATGTGAGGGATTGATAGGCAAATTTCTTCAATCTTATCAAATGCTCATACGATATTTACACAGTAACTAGTAGTATCGAAGCCTCGTTGGTAATGTACATTTGTTGTAGAATGACCGATTGAAATACGTTCAATTACCTCAGTGTTAACAATGATATCGCTTTTATGCCAGTATTCTAGTCCGGCAAATGCAGAGTGGAAGTGGGGGAATTCTAGGTTTGCGTAGTTTCGCCTATGTATGGAAAACAACCACTAGAAATTTCAACTTTAATGGAGATAAAGAATGTCTGAAAATGATTGTGAGGCCTAAAATTGGCATACATCACGCTCTGTGCCTACCACAAACCCAGTTATACATGCTGATCATATTACGAGAATCGATGCTGGTTTTACAATTAAGTATCACGAAAGCAGAAACAGTCAATGGCCCTAGCAGCTGTTATGGTTGAAGCACACGTGAAGGCGATACGATTAAAGGATCGTCACACACGCACAACAGACGCTGAGGCCGCCGTGACCACCGTCTCGACAAATCCCATTGTCGCAAGCACTCAAGCTAGACTAATGAGTCATGCAGGCCCGGTGTCACGCCGCGGTAGAGGAGGCAGTGCGCCTCCGGGATCGGCATTACAGCAACTGAAAGTCCATTAGGAAAGCGTAGCGTTTCGACACTACGCCACAGGCGCGCCGCAGTGGTTACAGGCTCGCACGCTGTAGCGCCGTGGGAAAAAAGTGTTCCCAATTTTGCAAGCTGGTAAAAACACATCGCCAAAACCTATTCGATAATCGTGTCCCCCTTGTAAGCTATTATAAACGATCTAGAGGTCTCTAAAAAAAAGACAGGGTGGTAATGATATAGTTCGGCACTTTTCTACATGAAACGCACTCACCAATGCGCCATGCGCATTGGGGTGTGGTGTGTCGTGCATTGTACAAGTGCACAGAAGGCACAACACCTATGCTCTTTTACGAGAAATACGTTCAAGTCACAAATATCGTGTGTAATGCACACGAAGAACTTCCACATCACACTGCTCCTACTGAGCAGAATTAAAGATTGACGCCAACTACGGTGTGCGATACACATGACAGATGCTGAGAGTAAAAGCTGAAAGTGACAAGTTGGTGAGTAAAAAGTTAGCATGATCAATTTCAACGAAGCTATCGAGCTACCTCATCAACGATACCTGAACAGCATCGAACCCGAACACAAAAGATGTCAGCGAAAATGCGATCATATTCATAATCCGGTGAGACGCAACAAGTGGCCAAAATGGAAGGGAGATTCCAGGCGCTGTTTGCTTGCCGCATGAAGAGCGTATCGAAAGCCCACATAATGGAATGTTAGGCCAACATGGTTTTCCAACAAGTTGCATTTCCCTGCGCCTACAGGAGTAGAGTTCCTTCTTTGCTTCCTTTCTCTTCAGGTTTGCGTGTGGAGCGGAGAAACCCAGGTTGACGCGCATGTGCGTACAAGACATCCACGTGGTACACACCCTGACAAAGGAGAGGGTGGGCGAGAGCGCGCGTCTCCGCACGCACGCACGTGCACGTATGCAACGCACTCATGCCATGTATCGCACTTTTATTTGAACTGCAAGGCACGCCGCTTACGAGAGTGAAGGGAATGCGGTGGCGCGGAGTGCAATTGAAACCGCGCCAAGTTGGACTGAGCCAAGTTCAGTTGGCTGCAGTGATCACAGCTCACTGAGGTAGATTTGAGCCCTTCAGCTGAAGCCGAAGCGTTGACTAGCGCAATGACTGAATTCTCCCTCGCCTTACCACTAATGCTATATACGGCCAATTCGTGAATAAGTAAACCTCCATTATAAGCTAGTAAACAAGCCCCGCTAAAGATGCTCAATATTTGAAACCAAGATTTCACCCATGCCAACCATAAAACTCAGAGGAAATGGTTACTCATTGAGGTGAAACTACCGCAGATATGAACATGGTAATCGCCGTCATTTGGACGATAATTATAGGGTGTCACTTTATTAACTTAGGTACTTTAACTATGCCATGAAGCAATTAGTGGAGTTGCTTTTTCCACATAAGCAGGGAAGCAACTTATTACTACACGGTTACATGACAATAAAGCTATAAGTGTGGCTATTTGACGCAGCGAGTCACACCAGGCGCATCGCTTTTCATTACCAAAATCATTTTTCCCACAAACCGACGGAAGATTACACAAAGCGAAGCAGAGGCGACCGAGGCGGGGGAGGTGGTAGAGGACACTTTTTACTGCGCTGTCGCACGCCGTATGTGCGGGCATGCATTCGCGGTGCAAGGATGTGGGTGGGTGCACGCGTACGTGCGGAAATATACAACGCCTCCTCCTTCTCCTCTACGCCAAACCCTTTAAGTAGACGCTACCCCTGAAGTTATCAACCAGAACGATGAATTAGTCGTCCTTTTATTCATTCGGTACCCATGTGACAACCAGATACCTGACGGATAAATTGGTGGTGACGTAGTGTCGGCAAAATTAACTTATGTACCCCTAACAATGGATATACTGCTATTTATTAAAAGTACAAAAAGAAGGAAATAGCCAATTTTAAGACAATACTACCAAGTATACATGGTAACACCATTTTGATGGCTGATTACGTGTTAGGGAAATTAGACGTCTTAGCCACACTTGCATTCAACAACTAGTAATTCTCTCCAGGACATGCAAACAAATAAGCTGAACGAATTCTGAAGCAGCACAAATGAGGGGAGAAGACCGTACAAAACTACACAACGCTTATTCAGTAGTATCAAGCAAAATTAAAAGCTATCTCCATCAAGTGCAAGATGTGTTCCTCGTAATTAACAGCGTACTCGAGAGACATGGCTGTTGGCACTGCAGTAGAGCAGCAGAGATCCTTTTAGAATTTTATGGTCATGTAAACATGGTGGCCTGGTCAAATGTAAATGAGAGGTAGAGGGGTGAAGATGATCACCAAAGCTATCTGGGCTGCATGTGCGCACGCAAGCAGGCCTCGAGATAGATGGATGCTATTATGGCGACGATCATTTGGCTTTTCGTGACCTCAAGTGATGACAAACCACCACTAACTATGCGCACAACTTCGCCATGTAAATATCAGATAGTGCTAATATAATTTTATGGAATTTAGCAGGTTTGATGGAATAGTCATGTTCGAGTGAAATTATTTTTGGTATTAACATTACAAGAAGGACAAATTCTTGAGAGAATATAGTACCAGTGTTAATCACATGTCATTCCCCAATATAGCTAAGTAGCCTAACGCATCTAGCTTGGGGGTGTTGTGATTCACAAACCCGTTGAATTTGCATCATTCTGTAGGTGGTGGCATGAGAGGTAAAGACACGTCACTTGATCGATTGAAAGTTGGGAAAGGAACGAGCATCACTCACGCTAGCACCGCTCAAGGGATAAATACTGAACTCCGCTCGTGAGAGTGGTGGTAAGGTAATGCAAGTAACTCAAGCACAAGCAGAGCTAGCCAACACCATCTGGTGTAAATGATAGCAAAATAATGCATTAAAACATTGAAAATGAATGCAAGTAGTTTAATCGTACAATTTATACGTCCGCACTCATTAAGGTTTTCTAAACGCTTCCCCCCCCCCCCGGATTATACGAAAACTGAACGCTTTTCTCCCCATAAGCAACACTTTTTGCCCTCTTTAATAGTCCTGCGGGTCTTTTAATCTCTTTCGTAGGGCACGAACACACTTTATTGAGGATTTAAAAGGGGAAGGAGAGTGTAGAGGAGAAGGCAAAGGTGGTGGCAATGTTTTAGATGCACACAAGTCCGAGTCCTTGCATTTGATGTAAAAAAGTTACATGAAACTATCACCTGCTGCTCCAGAAGCATGAAAGACGCAGCCATTGCTGATTTTAGAGTCAAATGTGGATGAAACAATTAACTGAGGATAAATGTGTAAAAAGTGTATTCCAATACAATATGAATCATGCTAAACTAGGATACAACTGTGTTAACGCCAAACGTCTATTGTAGAATGAATCCTTTTTACGCACAGTTAACCGACCTCAAATGTTCCACAGAGCGCCCAACCCGGAACCAAAATGCGTTATTTTCCTGATACCTTACTTTGACATTAGGAATGAGACAATAATCGCTTTTACGCATTTAAGGGACCGGTATTTCAGCTCCTTTTGATTGGAAAATATGAAAATAATGAAAGATATAGTGCTAGAATACTCCCAATGTTCCACATATCGTAGTGAAGGCAAAAAAGTCACATTCATGGTGTTCTTTTTTTTCAATTTGTAGCCTCTGCGGCTAATCGCCAGCATAGACACCAAAGGAATTTTCATTCACATAAACACGCAGCACACTCGCGAGTGTTACTGCTGCAGTAAGGCTGTGTGCGCAGATGACCTCAATATGTCCTTAACTGGGATTGCATAATAATAATAATAATCAAAGGAATAACTCCGCTAATGAGCTGTCGCACCCCCGAAATTGTCAACGCGTCAATCCATCTGTTTGACCAAGGTGATATGACTATGGAAGTACTTGGAAAGTATTAACGGAAGCTGCAATTCGACATCAACCTTGGGTAACTAAAAAATAGCGTAATCAAGTCGGTATGTTTGAATTCAGTAGTCCCTTCACCACTTTCAGACCTATTTAAGACAATTTACAGTCGTGGTGTTAACCACACCCTTTACTCCAAAAAATTGCCATATATGGCCGGTGGATCTTGATCAACAACTGATACGACTTGGATAGAGGAATTAACTGCAAACACTTGCTTTGAAAATGGGAGACGACATTTTGATACAATTATGCAAATCAAGAGACAGACAGGTTGCTCGTGTGCTGGGGTGGAACTTAGTCACCTCTCCTCCCGCCCACCACTCTCACCAACTGGGAGAGGCTAAATAACCTAGCAGCCAGCCGCAAGTCCGCATACAGACAAAAAAGGGCCCATGAAACATCACTAAGACGTCTGAAGTAGTTCGCACTAAATGGCCTGTTTAAATACAAACTTACTACCTGAAGGAGACTTATAATTCCCTAAGCTCGCAAAAATGATATGTTTAAATGCATTCCTTCGAACTCACTGGAGGGAAGTGGACCCGCTTGCGGCTTCCGGGGATGGGATGTAACTCGTTGGCGGATTGCATATACTGTACAGGATAGTAGACGCGAAGACTAATCAGAGATAATCCACTTTTCGGTGTCGTTGAGGGGAGTAAAAGGGACGATTTTTCTCCAGTCGGAGGGTAGCTTGCATCACTTTCATCTGGCGATGGAACATCAGTGGAGAGGCCAGTCGCAAGTTTCTTGAGATCACAAGATGCTGACGAGGTAATCCGGTAAACTCGAAATCGCCGAAAAATGTGGGTGGGTACAGCCAAACAGGGCACTGGAGAGAGACCCTCCTCGTGATAATTCTCGCGTAAATCAATGGGAATTGGTTGACCTAACTCCACATTAACATTGCTAGTACTTGGGTGTCTAATTGTTAAGCCTCCATAGAATATTTGCGATTGGTGTTCACCGAGATAATATTGGAAAGTGACCTGAGAAACGCCGTCCAACAAAGGTAGTTGAAAACCAGCTCGTGACTTAAGATGGCACTCCTCAATGGGAGCCTGCCGCTCGCGATTCCTGGCAGCAGCAGCCACCCGACGTCGAGGATGCCCACCGAAACCGCGATTACATCGTTTTTTGACAGCAAAAATATTCGCATCAGTAACTGCCGACGTCAACACCTTTGCATCTTCCGTGGCCATATGAAAATCAGTCAAGCACGGCAGGTCTTGTCAATAGGCAAGCATAAGAATATGACGAGGTCTTGAAGGGCTTCTGTTGTGCGATAGCAGTGACAATGGCGGAGGCGAGCTATGTGGTGAGAAAATAGAGAAAATACAATCTGGTTTATGAATGAGGAGCTGCTGCAGCAGTGCGGTGGTACATACGGCTTAGTTTGCGTGTGCGCGCAAAGACGAAGGGGTGGCTGGATGTGTGTGTGTGTGTATGTGTCTGTGTGTGCGTGCATATACGAGAGTCACAGGATCGCATACACATACGCACGTACGTGGTGCGCACATCACCCTAACGCGCCTGTCAGTCCGCGAGTGTACGTACGCATGCCTGGGTGTGTATATGTGTCTGTGTCTGTCTCACTAATGTGTGCGTGCATCGAGGCTCATGCATGCGTATACGCGCGTGATTGCCGCCGGTTGAATTCACGGAACAACAACGAAGATGACGACGACGAAGACGACGAAGCGTGAGATGCGCGCGTGCGCGCGCGGTCGATAACATCCGCGCTGCCATCGCCATGTCCCCGCTGGCCAAGGAGTAGTTAGGACGGGGGAGATAGGGGGAGAGAGGAGGAAGTGGGGTGTAGGACTGACGGACAGGAGTGAATTCCAGTGTGGGAGACTGGACAAGTTTATTCTCTAATTTCACAGTAAAGTTTGCGAAGGAAACGCTATTCTGACGTCATCCGGCTTTGATGCGGACTGTCAAAGCAAAGTGATTGGCACTGAAGACTAAAATCATCTTGTGTTTATTTGCATTACCTCTAATAAGTCAAAATCGCGTTTTTTTTTCTTTAACGGAACAGTGAGTTGCATTGTTTCACAACGGAAGTTTATAGTGTAGATAGTAGCCAGTTCAGTGTACAGGACCACACATTTAATCCATAATCATGTTATCTGTATACAATGCCAACAAATGCTAGGAGCTGTTCACTAGTTATAAAAATAGACTTTAGATCTTTTAACGTAGACCCGTGTTTACTGAATATAAATACCAAATGGCGAAAAAACAACATTAATGTCATTAACGTTATTAATTTGCCCTACCAGAACTGATTTGCGTCAACTCTCCGCAGGACAATTTGCTAAATTGAAGAATGCCAAACCACAAGCTCTAAGCAAGGACGACTCGGTTGAAGTTATTTTGTCACTCAACATGTTAACTTGGCACTTCGAGATTTGCCCACAAGAGTGCAAGTCGCCGCCAGCAAGACAATCAGCTGACGCATCGGCGAGAAGGACGCCGCAGCGGCAAGATGCTGGTGGTGGCACTAACTAAAGTGAGAATCATTCTGAGTTCTATTCATCGATGTTTCCAGCATTAAAAACACCTCATTTCATAATCAGCCGAAAATCTGCGGTTTATTCACTAAATAATAAATGATTTAACGGACACAAGGGCGGATGGCCGTTTCCTAACGGTGCTGTTTTTTGTAGTGTTTAGTGGAACTTCGATGAAGGGATTTACCAGTCAGTGCCGAGAATTCGCTTAATATTCTACATTGACAAATTCAAACGCTCACTAGGTTAAAATAACTTCCGTCAACAGAAGCACAAACGAGTAATCTTTTTAAAAGGTCACTCAATGGGTCTATATATGCACCAACAGGTAGGGGATCAGGTAAAGGATATGATTTTCTTCTTTGGTGATTCATATTATCTGGATTGGGTAACGTTTGAGCTTATAAGGAGGTAAAATCAGGCGAAGTTAAATTGCAATAATTGGTTCTTAGTTATGCAAAACCTGGGCACTCAATGAAATACGCAAATAGCAGATAGAGGTGTATTCAAGAGGATTGGACTATTTAGTCACTTACACTATGTTTCCACAAAGTTTAGTAAAGGCATTGTTTTCCAAAGAGTTTAAAACTAAACATCCACATAAATATAAAAAAGGCGTCAATGCTATACCTTTGATACAGTTAACTAAGTCATCGAGTCATCTACTTTTAAACATCTATCGAAGGATGAGTGCCTGTAGTCCCAACTGAAGACGTGGCTATCCCTGAACGACAAAGATTGCGTGTGCTCATTGTACTTATTTCTCAATGACCCTTCCTTCGTAATAATGTAACAAAGGATTTAGTTTTAACCGTTTTTTGTGAAAAATTAAACATTTGTTGAATAATGTGGCACTTGACATTTATAATGGCTTAATTTAAAAAATATCCCTCCTCTTGAAATCGTTTGCAGTCCGTTGTGAACGCAAATCTACTCAGTGAAGTAAGAATTCGGCTGTATTAACATTTTAGCATCTTATGATAATGACCGACGAAATGTTAGGTGCCAGTAGCATCTCAATGTAAATGATAAGGGTTGACCATATTTCCATCTTCAGCATCCGACTAGAATGTTATACTGGTCGATTCACATTGAAAAAGAGGAGCATCAACAAACTAGTGAGTAATAGGGTATATGGGAGCTGAGAAATACCACACTCGAATAGTAATTGGGGGCCGTAACGCAAACACTTGAGATCATAACGCCGCGGCGGGAATTTAATTTATCTCAAAGGTAAGGGCTATCGGAGATGGCAACAAAATACGCACGACTTCGTGTAAAAGCATTGGGAAAGCCATGAGGCCATTGAATGGCTGACAGATTTACTTTTCTCCATTACTGAAATTGAGGTCTACCAAAACAGCTCTGCAAGTAAGGCGAATTAAAAGAGATTATGTAGAAACTAATTTATTTGATCTTATGCATGAAACAATTTTGTTAGGAGAATGGTCAAGCATTATGCTGGTAGAATAAAAAAATGCAAATCTCTAGGTAGTAACCCAAAAGAGACTACATTAGGAAACGAATTGGTCACCAGGAAATACAGGTAATAGGTCAAGGTATTAGTCCGAGCAATTAACTGGAAATCACATAATCTAAAGTTACTATGATTCAAATTAGAAGCAAACGAGGCCCACAGCACGCGGAAGCTTGCTTCAAATTTCAGACATGTAAAACCAATGCTCTAGACTACAGAAAACTCTTATTTCTACCACGTATCTAGACACAGATCCCTAATTGCTCATCAGTGAGGCTGTAAATAATGCCTTCTACTGCAGAGCCATCATCAAACCTGGGAAATTGAATTCCCATGAAAGATAGTAGAGAAAAATAGCTTTGTTAACCACGATATCTTTACAATGAAATGAGAAGCATGAGAAAATTCGTTTCGTTGCCATTTTCAAGGGGATTTCTTTATTTGGAATACAAACGATGAGTTAGTGAACGCTTACACATTTAACTTGTGTAACTCAAGTCGGTGAAAAAAATATATTCATTCCAATGGCGAGATTAACAATTTGCCGTTTTTTCATTGTTTTGCCTCCTGAATGTTTCGATTTCATTAAATTAATAATGGAAGTTTCAAAACTGCAGGTGTCAGAGCATTGATACGATTTGGATCATAAAGGTAAGGTGGCGCACTACTTTTGCAAATGTTAGCATTAGCTTTTCAGTTCTGTGTCATCAAAGCAGGAAGTACCACAAATGATGAGATTGTGGATAGGTTTAATTTTCAATGTATATAATTTATGAGCGCCTGATATGAATGAAGACTGTTACAAAAACACTCATACACTATAATTCAAATGACCCTCTTTACATTAAGAGACAGTTCACTTTTAAAATGCAACAGCAGTAATAATATTGTTCAGACCACGATTAAGACAGTAAAGATTTCAATGCCGTTCTTTTTACATATCACCTAAACCATACGATTAATTGGACGTACGACGTTAAGTTGACTGACCATTCAAACCATTTGTTAACATTCAGTGATAAAATGCCATTAAGATAAAAGGCCTCCTGCACTTAAAATATACCATATGATAAATCTTGTAAAGTGTATTTGATCCAACTTGACGAAGACCACGTGAAAGATACTGGGTTGGGTACTAAGGTTTTTTTTCGAGACATGCAAATTCAGTCAATTTAGCATTTTAGGCTTAGATAATAAGGATGTGTGTTTAATTTAGCCCAATTGATTTGCTTAAATTGTTTTGCTGGAACTAGTATCCACAGCAGTCAGAGGCTTAGTTAGCTAACTTGCGAAATGTTTAACATCTTTTCGCAATTTCACCAAAACTACCTATTTTTTCAGGTTCTTGATAATACAAAGCGCGATTTTTTGGACCACTTTGAACCTCCAAGGGAAGTCAACTACCTGTGAGAGGGGGAAAGCTGCTCCGCCGGCACTAAAAATTTCGACTTTCCCACGGAGAGAGGCGTGGCGCCCCTGAGACCGATCGATTAAGGCTGATTCACACCGGGGTTTGGGCAGATTGCACTACCGCAGTCGTAAGCTCATTTATGCTTCGAAGCCTTTAATCAGAGAACGTTGCGGCTTATGCCTTTTGATATGTATTAGGGTTTAACACAAACTGCTTTGCTGTTTTGCAGCGAAGGCAGATACCTAAGCACACTTTTTCAACCAAACAAACACTTTCAATGCTCCTGGAACACTGGCACTAACGGCATTGATATCAATTACCTGGTCGCAATGTGGCTGCTGGTTAAATAATAGCCTATTATTAGTTAAACCAAATTGACGGTTAGACAAAGGCATGTTTTTTTCCGATCTGTTCGCACAGGCACTCACACGCAACCCCTGTCAGGAGCGCGGGTGATGACCTTAGCTGCGCTTGTGACAGTCGTGCCCCCCGATCGATGAAGGGACTGAGTCCATTTATGAGAGCACGGGGAGAAGAATACGGCCACCACGACCTGATTTGAGTACATCCACGTTGCGGAAACAGCATAACCCAGCAAAGGGAAAACATTTCTGATTGCGCTGCCTCGATTGAACACCGAGAGACCAAATTAACTATGAACAATGCAGTAATATCATTATTGGCTGAATAAAGCATGGAGTTAATTCTTTTGGAAAGAATTTTAGACTCTAGAGCGGCCTGGTAATTACTGCTGCGGTGATTAAGGTAAGTCATGACATTTGGAGTTTCGGTTATAAATGATTAGGGTGGATGCCTTATTAAATGACTCAGAGCTCGCTCTGTCGAGAGCTACTACTACCATTTGTAATGTTCCACCAGTCCTACACTCATGTGTGTATATATGACACCCAAATCGTTTGTTGACCAAAGACAATGTTGAAATGAAGTACCTTCAATCCCATTCACCTCGCTGCGGACGCGTGTTCGCGCGCACGCACAAGCCCATCGAAGCAACGCATCGTGTTACCTATCCCACGCACAAACGCGCGCGCGCACTGCCAGCCCACACACACCATAAATCAAGCTCGGTTGCAGTGGCAGCAGCAGTAATATCAAGGGTGGTATGGGAAAGACAGCACGAGACTGCTGTCCCATCCTCACTGGCGCCGACACGCATACACGAGTGCACACTCATTCCATTTCACGGTGCCAATGTTGGAGGCATCTTTGTCTGTCAACTTTACTGGTGGTTTGATCGAATAGTCCTCTCTCAAATTTCCATAGCTCAAAATGGCAGGTGAATGACTCATACGGTGCAGACCTATGGTGAAGTTGAAAGACTCTATGTAAGGGACAGGAGTTACCCAATGCAAACAGCAGGAGACGAAATCATAATGACGTAATGTTAGATCGCAAAATTGTGCTTTTCATAATTCCCAAGCTCTTTTCGTAAGGTTTGGATGGCAAGCGCTGGAGCGTATGATCATTATATTTTTGAAGTAATTACGAAAATGGGGCGACGCTACGGAGTGGTGCGTACTTTCGTCAGAAGATACTTTACTTACTATTGCGTACAATAATACAATAGAGATGAATAAAGTGGGTGGTCATATGTGACGTTAATACCGGACATAAGTAATTTTTGCTTCGGTTAAATATTTGTAAGATCTGAAGTCAGGAAAGAACGAGGAAGCTGCAAAATAAATGTGCTGAAGCCTGTAGAAAAGGTAGCTATGCAAGCTCTGCGTGAGAGTTTTCAAATAGGAGTCTGTTATTGACCCAAATATTTGGGAATAAACAGGTAGTAATTATCTAAAAGCATCATTTGAACACCACAGACACCAGGCCTATCCACTATGAGGAATTATTCGAGCAAAAATGAAAAAAGCAAACAAGGACGGACACTAAGAGGAAAGCTACGGAACCACTTCTGAGTGGAATACAAGGACCCAATTCAAGTAGGCACAGACAACGTAGCATTCCAAGGTGGTCTTGTAAATAACGCTATAGTTTGATGTACACCAATGAAAGGAATGCACACCTAAGTGGTTTGCCCTATTTACTTAAGAAATAAAGGTAAAAATGACACTGACTGGTGGTATTATCTGAGGAAACACGCGTATGAGCTGTGGGATTTACACTCAATTATATACATGGCTAGGTGGAGGAAGTGGGAGTATTTTCTAGCAATTATCATAATTTCACCATGGAATCAACTCATGAATGAACTGTTATGAATGCCCGTGGAGCAGATAGTCAGATAAAATCACTAAAATCTTACCAATATCCTTGAGAAGGCTGAAAAGTTATTGCCACAATCGGGGTGACTAAATCCGCAATTAGCGGTTACAGATGTTTTCCCACTCATCCATGATTTCAGAGACCCTTAGGTACAGTGTTTAGATTACTTGAGCAGTTTAATTTATCCATTGACAGCAAAGAACTCATCATTATGCCAAGAAACAGGTCATGTTTAAGGGACTGGCAAAAGTAATGCACGTGGGGAATGCTTTGAAGTATTAAATCAGTCTGAGCGTTTTAAACATACATTAAGTTGTGTAATGACGTGCCCACTTATGTTAAGCTATATAAGAAGGCATCAATCCTATTAATCCCTTTTCAAATAAACATTTATTTTACAAGGTATTAATGGAAAGAAAGAAAATTATTATTTGTGGGATATCATTTATCATCTCCATCCCATCACCAAAATCTATGCAGCTTGATCACATCAACTTTTGGATTAAGTCACGGCTATCAAACCTAGTAAGCTACGGTGGGTACCCCCTGCGGAGTTAGTGCGTGCATGGTCGGCGGGTGACTGTACCACGGCGAGCACAGGCCAATGTTTCACGCCAGTCTCCGTGTGAATGGAAACATGCATGTAGAACATTGTCAGTGTAGGGATGGTTACTGACGCCCATTCAGGAAAAAAACCCAAGATAATAAGGACAATTTAAACTATTAATTCCCCTGCTGATTAAGTGGTTAACTCTGCTGGCTCACACAGTCTAACATATTGCGCTGTTATTCCCATAGAAAGACTAACATAAACCGGTGAATTCATCGACTTCGTTCAATATTCACACGAACGCTTCCAAATGCTATTCGGACGGTTAATTTGACGGACACCAACAAAGCTAACGCAAATAGTTGTTTTGATAAAACTGTCCAATTACCTGTTGAAAAGGCAACTTTACTAAAATGAAATGTTAGAAAATTCGAAATTCTAGGATAAGGTAGCACAAAGGCTCTGTCTAATCAAACGGCTATCGATATGAGGAACTTTTGATGCCTAAATATTCCCCAAATCATCATTTGGTGGTGGCACTAGGATACAATGTTTGATGCGACAGCACTCAGCAGATGCTGACATTAGGAACAGTCCGTGCATGAAACCCGTCGAATGGCCAAACGTCTAAATGACGTCACCGCTACCTGTGCAGTAAGTTTTAACGATGACCGCGTGTCCGAACACAGCGATGGCATGGCCGTGCCTTTTTAACTATTCCAGCCTAACTATTCCATTTTCAAACTCACCAAAGCCAAACCAATCAAGGCATTGCACATTATAGTTTCTGACATGCACTTACTTTTGCCAATGTGCAAGCTAAATTCCTCATCACCCTATCAACTTTAAATGCCCTTACATTTATGGCTTTGATAATGCTCATTTTTTCATTACTCTCAAGAGCTAGGTAATTCGCAAAAGTACAAGTTGGAATAATGCCAGCATTTACGGTAGAGTAGAGTTGGTCCGGCAGTGCCCGATCATGGATGCATCCCAAACATGCTGATTGTGTCGAGCGCATCGACACCATTCAAGCAGCCGCTTCTCCGAAAGTCGTGGAAATAAGTAAGGAGAGATGGTCAAATATTGTGACACAAACATATATAACGCTTTGCAGGATCTACATACATTTGGGTTGATACTGTTAGATGAGAAAACGCCAAAAAGTATTATCAAAGGTAGTACAGATAGAAAGCAAAAAGGTGAGCAAACATATGTTGTCAAAACTCTAACAGCAGCTCAGGTCACGGTGCCCTGGTAAATTGTATTCGTGTTACTGATCATCATGCGCTTACAAAAATTCTCCACTGGAGTTTCATCCTAAACTGACGTGATAGATAGGGGAGTCAAATTTATGGAAAAGATGCTTTAACTTGATGTACTTTCAGCTGAACTAGGCAAACGCTGGATGTAAGGCTCCCGATTATCCCCTTTAAAACCTAAATTTTAAAGGATTATTTTAAAGTGGGGAAAACCATTCAACGTGTGATTAAAATTCATACACATCTAAGTCATTCTTTCTCCACTCTCTTTTTTCCATGCAAAGCTAGTGATCAGTAAGTTCTGGCAAACGACCTTAAAACCTGAGACAATTTGTAATTTCTGCCTTCGTGTACGCACACCAGAGAGCCTGTGTACTAATTGCACCAGTCCTGTTTTCACCTGTGAATTTTCAAATTTATTTTGCTAATTCTACATTAGATTTACCGCAAGTTTGGGATGGCAGTTTACAGACTGTCACAAAGCACCTACTGACTAACTCATAAATTTATCCATAAGGGGCTATTTTACACTTGGAATGAAATAAAGTTAAGAGCGAGTTTTGTGATTTCAGAAGCTGCTGCATGAATGGAAAATCTGGAGGAAATGTTTAGAAAGTGGGTCTTTGCAGTGAGGGGTGAGGCCTCTTGCAAACCATTCATTTGTTATCAGAGAAGCTACTGTCGAAGCTGAAGGGCAACAATACGCAATGACTTCTCTTGCACAATCGGCGATTGTGAATGTCTTTGGACCTATAAGCATCAGTCTGAATACATGAACGTTTTATACTCGAACGCCCTGATAGCCACTGAAAGGTTCGCATAACAAAACAGGCAGTTAATTGACTACATGCCTGCTGGTGCATAGCATCAGACCAGATCGGGCATCATTCGTGAATTAACAAATGTGCAACATGGAATAATTTAAACTCTAAGTCAATACTTGTCGAACTAGTTGACTTACATTTCCCTTTTTTTAATTTACCATTGGTTACTACGTCCTATACCTTACTTGGGGCCAAAATTGACGTTACGTTCTGATGTTTTTTGTTATTGTCAAATAGGAGCACCGGTTTATTCTAAAGAAGAAAAGACAAAGGTCATGATGTCTAAATATGCCAATCCTGTTGCTAAAATTGATTAATTCGTCGTATCAGCCCAAGCGCATTGATTTATATGGAAAGAATAAACAGCACTTTATAGTCGAATGATGCCATCAAATGCAAATATAAGGGAGGGTGCAAGGAAATAATGTTTCTAATGCAATATCGCTTACGTGGGGTGTGAAAAAGCCCCACCCTTTCCTGCCCTCCTCACCCGGATCCACCGAAGGCGGTGGCGGCTGCCAAACGCAGCTGGACAAATGCTTGCGACCCGAAAGCAGGCCACCCATGAATTCGAATTATTTCACCAAATGGTAGTCTCCTACCTCCTCTAATTATGATTAAGGGAACAATAAAGGGAGATATTCGGAGTAGTAGCCTGGATGGAAAGGATGAGCGTAGTTGGAGAAACAAACGCTTAAATGCTTCATCATTATCATACTTACTGATAGTGCAAAAAGAAGAGCATCTTCTATTATGTAGTTGCTGCCATGGAAGTTATATGCTCGCAGTCTAATAACAACTGAGTTACTTTCAGTAGCTGTAAGCTAAGATTTAGGGAAAGAAAAGTATAAATTCCTACGACACTCGAATTATTATACTGCCCCATAAAACCAGTCAACAACCAGCATAACACTGATTTTGCACAATATTTAATGAATAAAATCACAGAAATCCCTGTTTCTAGTTTATTTGAGCAAGGCGCACTTTTATCTAAACCACCTTAGTCCTGTATGATTGGTAAATCGCCCAACTTTTGGCAATTACCTGTTTTAAGTGCTTACTACTTGAATGCAGGCGTTCCGCCAAACACAATTTTATTAACGGCAATTAGAAGTCACTTCTAGACTATAACGACTAGACCATCATAAAAGCCATGCGTTTTGGCGAACTATGCGTGGATTTAACCTTTCAAGGTCATTGATGTTTAGTGGAGAATTCACACAATGAATAACGCATGACAGAGCTTGACACAAACAATAAACGATTCAGAGTCATGTTCTTCTCCTTTTTTCAGGGACTTCCTACACAAACCGAAACATGAGTGCACAATTTTGCGAACAGCATTATGATACTAATTGCGCCCAATCTGGCATGGTGAATTAATTAAAGAATAACCATAACGCCCTGAGTGTGGTTACCAAGGTGTTTGGAACCGCTTACAATCAGGATTAGGTGGCCAGAGTACGAGTTCCCCCGTACGCAAAGAACACTGAGGTATTAATTTAGAGCTTAGGACTCTACACGAGTTTTTCTGAAGTTGAACACTGTGGCGCCAAAAGCGATTGTTGGAAAAAAACATCACAGCTACTTCAAAGAGCATTTAAGAAATGAAATTGAGACTAGCAAAGCTGAACCTTTCTAAGTATAAATTACAAGAAGACAGGCATCCATCCACAATGAAACCTTAAAGGTTTAGTCATCTTTATAGCAACACAATTGGTGCCTACAAACACTAAAATAGATAAAAAGGTGTCTCGGTAGCTAAGAACAATTATGTATAATTTGAAAATTATTGTCAAGCTTAGAAAGCTTCCACGATTCATGAATCGGTAATTCACATTACACTTTTCGGACTTTAAGTCTTAAAAAACTGTATGCAATCAAGAGCTGCCTGTTCTTGCGTACATACGTGGTTAGTAGCCGACATAGGAGTGCGCCACTTGAGGTCTTTACCAAAGCACACCGGATCTGACTTAGTGTTCAGAAAATGCGCAATCCTTAGGCAATTTTTTATTTTTTAATGCTTTACATCGCTGGTAAATTAAAAAGATTGATTTCTAAAAATTACTGAGTTCTATAGTTGAATGAGGAGCGGCTTGTAAACCACAGTTCTGTGGGAGTTGACTTTCGTAAACATGGCATCTGCACAGGACACAGATAGTGTTCAAAAACGCGAGTATAGAGGATCGGCAATATCCGTTTAAAGAGTGACTTGTCAAGCATTTATCCCACTTACGATAGGTGTAGTAATACCCAACTCAGATTATTTCGGACATAAGACCAATTACGCGCATTATTTGCATGCATAACGTAAAAGGAAAAGTTTGATCTGTTTTTTTTGGTCAGGAGGATGTTTTTTCTCAGTAAGCAAGGGAAAGCACATGGTCCTATTAAAAGTGGTTCTTTTCGCTGTGGCTATAATTAAGTAAAATAATGTAGGAAAGAAAAGTGGTCACCTATTTTGGATAGACCATGATGGCAGCTGAAAGCTTACATTGCTAAAAAGAATTTAATTAATCTAAAAGCATAAATTCATTATGATGATTGGTTGCAATTGTAAATGGTGATGGTAGAGTGAAAGCCTTGCTTTTAACATAAGGGAATAGGAAATATTCTTCAAAGCAAAGCTATAGATGTGCCATCACAATCACACGTTGGAAGCAGTGGTGGCCATTTCGCCTACTATTGGAGTAATCTTCGAAGGGATTAAAATACATTGTAGGTTGCACGAACGTGATATGCCCACATTTAAATCGACTTTTGCGAAACAAAGCAGTGATTACGGAAACTCCATACAAAATGTAAGTAACCAATTTTGAATTGTCATATTTGTGTTGCTTTACCATAATTTATGCCTATTTGATAGATGTATGAATGAATTCAACACAACGTGCAGAGCCTTGTACAAGGGATCTATTTTTAAATACGAGGCCTTCATGAGTGTCAGTACCAGGTAGAGTGGTACGTTATCGACACAAGTTGATAACGGGGAAATGATGATACTCGTAGCTTGTATGGGGGAAGTTGAATGCTCCCAAATAAGAAGAATAATACAAGTTGACATAATATAGACTTTTTAAGCAACTCTATTTTATACTCACTCGGGGGGGAGGATTTGGACTAACTTTAGTCGTTGCGAATCTTTGCGAACGTTAATAGTAAGTGTCAACGCTTAATGAGCAATTAAAGTCAGGGGCACCGCCACCTACGTTAATTTGTTCCAAACCACTTCTATTCATTCAAAGTGGGAGCACTCCCCTGTGGTGCTTCTGATAAACGTGTTCTGGTTGACAGGCGCATCGAGGCCACGTAGACGCGGTAAACCTGCCAGGCAGAAAGTGTATTGCGTGCGCGCAAGTCTGGAATTCAGGTATCATGCGAATCCACAGGTAATCCTAATTCTTCCGGTTTCGCCTCAAAACACCTACCATTTTAATAGAGTTAAATTCTGTCAAAAGTGCTACTGGTAGAAAGTCTAAACGTTTAATCCCATACACGAATCAACTACTACAGGAGCCACTTAATGAAAGATGATGCGAATTTGGTTGGAATGAATGCTTGGCCAGAAGTTTCATTCATAGAAACAGGATAATTGAAGGTATTTAATTTCGCTTGAATTTCCAGAATAAGATGCTTCATACACCCGTGAGAAAAAACATTTCCAATATGGAGATAGCACAAGTGATACTGGAAGCCGCAGCTGATTTGAACCATTTGTGCGGTATTTATATGACAAGGTATATGACTTGGTACACGAAAAACGAGAGAATCAATGGTACAAACACAGCTGAAAAACGGGATAACCATACCGTTTACAATTACGCAGTTGTGCTAATAATTGAAGCTTATCAATGCCTCACCACTACCCAACCGCTAGCTTGAGAGGGGATTATAATATACCTGTAAGAATATAGGTACCGATATATAAATAACTCCTTCATGCCATCCTTCTGCATTAATCCCACCTTATATGTAAGGGAACTCTAGGGGGAATATCATGCTTAGATGGATCGCAAACCAAAATGACGCTCTTTTACTTTACAGTAAGTCATGTACAACAGCGTCTTTAACTGTATGGTATGCTTGTCGACATGCTTTCAGTGGGAAATGGCCAATATTGACTGCCATAGAGATTTCGTTTTAGAAGATAAAAAATATACGTGAAAGAACTGCTGTAATGTAAGCGTCATTCACTTTTGTATGCACCATAAACGCGCAATGGTGATAATAAATGTTTGAGCAGTCCAAACTCAGAAGACTGGATACAGAGTTTTTGGACGTTGAAGAGTCAACAATTGGAGAAAATGTTTTCCGGTATCCGTGATTCCAACTTAAATGATCTCTCACTTCACCAACCCGTCACAAACGTGTACAGCCTTACCAGCACATTTGCAGTAAATGTGGGCATCTAAAATTTATTTAGGTACTAGTATCACTGTACAGTCTCATAGTGCCACGAAATCCAGTTTCTTACATAATGAAACATTAATAAATTAAATTGCTGGATACTTTTCCTTGCAGCAATCGACATCACTATATAGGGATTAATTTGATAAGTGAAAAAATTCCAATCTATATGAAATTCATACGTGGAATCAAAAGTTAATGTATTGAGATCAAGGCAGGAAGCTGTTAAAATCCGTCTCTCAGTGCTTAATTTAAATGGAATCTGTACATTCGCGCTCGCCTGAATAGGAATAACACTTTTTCCAAAATCTTATTAAAAACCAAAGTTAGAAGTGTTCAGCGAAAGGAGTCGTATTTACCGAACACGGATGGTTCCCAATTGAGCGCCCAGGGCCATGTTGGTGTGTTTGAGCGCAGTCTCACTCATCGAGTAGCAGATGTGTGCCCATGCGTGAGAAAGATCCTGGCTCTTGAAGGTTTCCCCATTCCTGGTGCAAACTTATCTCAAAGGATTACTTTATGAATATTGGGTCAGACTCTAGCATTTAAATTGAAAATGATAATATCTACTTTGAAGAAGGCAACCCTAGACGGTAATTAAATGTTAACGTCTTCTGGTAAAAGACTACATTACAGAGACTGGATAGCAGTCGTTGGCAGGAAAGGAAACATTAATGCTTGTGGCAATATCCAAAAAAGGGGTGGTGATCCTCTTTGGGTAGTACCCCATTGTCCACACCATCGAAGTGTACATATTTCTGAATGAGCGTCAAGGGACCTACTACATCTATACTAGGTAAGCTGGGCAATTTTGACAAGGAGAGCACCTCGGTGATTCATTTAAGAAGGGATCAAATGAAATGAAAGGGTATTTTTATACAAGACTTTTGTTATTATTCTGAGTACATGGGGAGGTTAAAGATCAGAAACCTCCTTTTTGCAAGCTTACAAAGTTCCCAGTATTTGGTACATGTTACTTCCACGCAACCACTAAGCACCAACTTCACTTATTAACCTTACATTAGCAAGTAATGCTAGGTTATATATATTGCTTGTAAGCGAACAAAACCACACGGTAATTAAAAGATTTGCTGTTGGTGCCTAATGGATGAAGTACGATAAAGTGGTGCGAAATCATCAATTGGTGCAGTCATGAAAAGTCTAACAGGAGGCCCGGCAACATACGAATGGAAGCGAATGTGCTTTGTTGTTTAGTAATGCCGATTAGCATGAGTCACTCGCGTGCTCGCCAAGGTATTACAATGGTGGAGAAGATGGGTTGATGGCGTGCCTCTCGGTTGCACTAAAGCACCCGCCTTCCTGCAGGTCTGTTGGCACAAACATCAGAGGCGCTGGCACTGAAATGCCTTCAGCTGTCAAGGTATTGGTACTGAAGAAGACTCAACACGCCTGCTTGTATCGATAAGAAACCCCTGTTTGTGATTTCACCTGTGTAAAATAAGCATCACAGATTGTCATAGACTTGAACGCATCAATCGCGCTTAAAGCAAAATGGACCATTTCTGATCGCTCATTCCTTTAGAGTCAGAAACGCCAAAGATTAAGTGGATCTCTTACCGAATGCAGAAATGGTTCACCTTACAGTATTTCAATATGGTGGAATAGACTTGTGAAAAACTAACTTAAGCACAGATTGTAATGGTCATGTGCGAAAAGCAAAAAGGGAAACAAAGATAACCGATAAATTTGAATGTGAGTTGGATGAAATCAAATTCGTTGCGTATCAAAAAGCGCTGTGCTCCTGTGATTGAATCTTGTTAGGTTGCTATCAGATGTAACGCATTAAATAGCAGTTGGTGCCACATAAGCTGGTGATAGCTGCTGCAGTTGCACGAAGGGCCTGCACCAACAAATCACATCCAAAGCATGAAGATAGACTGGAGACACCAACATAGAGTCGTGAGGTTGTGTCAATAATAGAGCATCAGGAAAGTCGTGTCTCAGAGCACATTTGTGACTTAACGGGGAGCTTCAGTGGATTGTGGAACTAGCTTAAAAGGTTCAAAATTGCGGAAAATGAAGCTGAATAGAGAAACTCAAGTGGCGTCTCAACCACATGTGCCTTTCACTACTACCTTAAATCAAGTCTTAGCGTAATTAAGGTAACCAACATCCACCTACATTAACTTTTTTTTAAATTAGAGTTCACTAAAATGTTGCGTACTAAAGTAGGAAGAAATAAAGTCATCAAAAGAAAGGGATAAGTGCAAGTGACGCCACAATTTTTTTGCGCCAGGAGATAAAAGATGCAAAACTTTCAGTCATTTATAAGCACTTTAGTTATGTACTAATAGCTATGGTTATGGAAATGGCTAAAAGGGTGATTCTGTTGAATGTGGATCACACTCCCTATACTTGAAGAAGGGAGTGTTGGAATGTTTGATAAAATTCAGAAAAAAAAAAAAACACAAAGATTGAGAATTCGTGTTCCCTATTTTGCTTTTGTACTACCTCTTTGATACAAAAATCCGCATTAGTAAAATACACAAGGCAAATTGTTTCAGAGTTAAACTATTGTTTATTAACTTATGACTCCAGTTTTGGGTAGCGAATCCGCACTACCGAGGTGTTAGTTTGATGCCGCTAGATTGGAATGCCAACAATCTACAGGTTGACATGGTAAAGTCCAAATGTGGTAATCTCTTAGCGCTCGATATGTTTTTAACTGACAAGTAACAGCTCATATCATGACTGTGCCAAACTACCCAAGTGTAATGACGACTACAGTGCCAGAGTATTTAAGACAAGAACTACGAGTGATGCTAACGTAATCATCGAGTTTAGTAAATAAAATCAACTAGCAGAAGATGCATCACTTTTAAGTGGTGCCCTCCAGCATGTCCGTCCGATGCAAGCATGCCATATTCTAGGAAGCAAATATAAACCATCTGTGGGACAAATTCTTATCATAATTGTTTAATTCTATCAAGATTTTTAAGCACACCTGAAATCAGGAGAGCTGGTGCCTTCGAGAAGATAGCACCATAGCACGCGAATGCAATGAACCCATATATACATATATTACTAAGTTTGCAATTTGAGAATTACACACCATTTCTTTAAATGAATATCGTAGTAGCCTTATTAACATTTTCTACATGAAGCGAAAGTCTACTTGCATAACTATTTATAAGCAATTATTTTGGCTGTCTGTTTGAAATCACAAATAAAATCGCCTCGAGACACTAACTTCGACTGAAATGATTTCCAGGTTGCTGTGTCACATGATCACAATAGAGTAAAGAGGGTTGGCGTTGTCTAGTGACCTTTGGCTCACATTACACCACAAATGGTAAAAGGTCACTAAATAGGGTTTCTTGTTCTCAGAGTCGTCATCATTTAGATTCGAAAGAAAACGAGCAGTGATCTAGACCCCCTACAAATTTAAGGCAGTCAAACGGAGTGGTACACAACTTTTTCTTTTCCACTGTCGTTGCTTCGCCTCAATTCCCACTTGCCGCGTTCGCCACTAGCACTCTAGTCGCACTTCATCCCCCTGCCTACCACTCTGCGTTGCTCTCGCCCTCACCCCTCGGCAAATTCACGAGTTTGACGGTCTCTTGCGCCATGCATGCTTGTGGGACGGGCCAGGACGGGACTAGGCGGGGCCGGTGTGAAAAAGCCTGATGCACTGGTGAGTCAATGCGGTGATGCGCGCAGGTGCGTCGGTGTGCGAGTACGCGTGCGGTGTTCGCCTGCATGCGTATTTGAAGCTAGCTTGCATAACACTGATTGCAATGACACCTTTGGCAGGACATCTGCGCGCGAATCCTGATCACTATGCGGTTGGAAGCATGCCATAAGAAAACAAATGACCACTCCTTCTCACTGAGGCGAGAAATTAAGTAGGAGTGAGTCGGAATTGATTTGAAGGATCAGAAGCTCTTTGACTTGGGAAACAGGTTAGGAATGCACAGATTTAGGTGAAATGGTTTGGCGAACGACATAGTAGTGATCCATTCAGAGCTTTCTACTCATTTATGCAGTCATAATTTTGATTACTACCAGAGGGGGAGAAAAACAGCCTCTACCCATTGGGTCATCAAATTTTGTCAACCAAATCAAACAATGAAACCTTTCAAACGATCAGTTGATGAATTTCCCATTCCCTTTCGTCTTTAGCATCTCACATTTTTCAGAGTCAATAGAGTTGGTGCATTAAATGCCACATCAACAAATTAAAATGTAAATACCAGAATGGGGAATCCCACATCACAACGGTTTTGCAGCTGCTCAGAAATCTGTGGCACTTAAGAACACGATGTGTTCACTAGGCGACAAATGTGCGAAGGGCAAGTCTAGTTTGCTTAAAAAATTTCGTTTTCGGGATTTTAAAAGCAAACAGTTTTGGTGAAATTACCAGTCGCCTTGGGCGGACCTTTAAGCAAGTATTTTTATACTTGATGAGGTCATTCCGGCACACTACACATTCATTAAGCGACCATATGACCTTTCCTTTGCTATGTTGAATGGGAAACCAAGTTATCCACACAAACATCATATGTAAGCGCCGAGCCACTTCGCTTCAAGTTGAAGGCTCAGTGTTTCAAAGGGTAGGAACCGTGGTGCTCACGAAATTAAGATGTCCACAAATTTAAAACTACGCGTCAAAAGCAGGCAGATGCCAAAGGTGTTCCCTTGAGAATTTGTACAATTTCTTTTAATGAAACGTGTTCAACATTATTAACAATGGTAAATTTGATAGAGCAACGACTTGGTACACTGATGTATATCGGTTGGAACACAAACTCCGAACATCCTAGCTGAGTCACTACTAGCAACAGTTGTCGAGTTTTTCATTTAACGCAAGACCATTGTAGTTAATGCGCTGTGAGATGGTTGTCTTTTTGGCTTCTCAAAGATCCCATGAATTGTTGAGAGAACTTAGTCCTTAGGCAAGAAAATAATGGTCTAGGTGTAGGAAAATCCGTTAATTGAAAACTGAATCAAATTCAATCAAGATCAAATTGACAAAAAGTACATGAAAGGAAGAGGAGTCTGACCCTTGGCAAGTCACATGATTGTCTAGTGTATTCAAGTTTCATGAATTCGGCCAATTCATGAGCGTTATAATGACAGCTTGATGGGGAAATTGCACCTTTGTCCCTCGTATATCTTTCACAATACCTAACACAAGTGAATGACTACCGATTCAAGCAAATTAAGGGCAAGTACGCGTGGTATTAGATCAGACGTATGGCCATTGATTCATCTGTATTTGAGGCGAGGTAGTGACATGGTCATGACACTTACGGAAGATCTGACATTTGATGGAGCTTGCTCCTCTGTGCATGACTGGTGTGCGCATTCGCACGAACCAGCTTGGACATTCACACGACGTCTCGGCTACAATGACCCCGACGGGTGGATTCAGTGTGAAGGTATGGGTACAGTCATGAGCAGCGTAAACAACCGTGGACGGCAGCTGTTATTTTTTCACTCTTTCCTCACACCTCAAACCCAAGCCGCGACAAATAGCATAGGTTATTTCACGAACAATTTCTGTACCCTCCCAGTGAGTAAACACAAGCAGATGCCGGAAAACGTACTGAACTAGGAAGGAGGCCGTCAATTACAATATTTAAAAATGACATTTAAGACAATCGTTAAAATGAACGCAGTCCAGAAAGCCCTCCATTTTTTTGATGGAGTGGAAAAAACACATCATCTATAGATGTGGTAAAAATGGGGAATTTAACAATCTCCCGTTTCATGTAAAAGTTGTTTGTACAAACTAATTTAAATTCAGACACTAATTATCTTTTGCAAACTCTACTCATTGCAAGGGTGAGCGTGGAGGATGCATGTTAAGGGAGCAGTAAGCGAGAAATGCCTTTTCAGCTTTCACTCGAGCATTTACAATAAAACGGCTAGGCCTGGGCGTTATAGGCTTGAGACTAGCGCGAACGCCAAGCCCTACCACTGCTACGCGCGTGGATTTATTCACTTAGGCCGATAGTGAACCACATCAACACCCCCGAGCCCTGCTACGTGCGTGCGTACGTGCCTGCGAGGGCGCGCGCGGCAACACCCATGTGCGTATAGGCGCGGGCGGGGTCAGTTCAGTTGCTGCTGCTTCCAGTAGCCAAGGTAGGCTTGCTTCACTTTCATCTGTAAAGTTGTCGACTTCATAACTATTGGTGGTAGATTCCCACACCAATTACTACAAAATAAATGCCATGAGTTTGATCCGTGGATTCTCTAAGCAATTCCACACATCAGATAAGCAGAATGAGAAACGGATGTGTAGTTAAGATAAACTAGCTTGGAAATCGTGAAGCAAAATACTCACATCTAGAATAAGTTTAACTCATTTATTCTCATTCAGATGGTGAATTGGTTAACTTAAAGTCCTGCACTGAGGTGGCCGAGCCATCAGCCAGACAGACTACCTTACCAATGGTCACGACATTTGCACTTAGGTCTAGGCATGCCGCGAGCACATAAAACTATTTCAATTTTTAATAAAATCACATGCAACATATTTATTACTAAAACTAGGCATACAATGAAACACTGCCATTTTGAATAATAAAATTTGCAAAAGCATTTAAGGACAGTGCAGTTTACTTTAAAAATTAAGAGGTCTGTAGGTCTTAGACATTTGACGGCATTCAGATGCTTAGATTACAGAGGAAGTTTTGGGTTTCTTGGTCAGTCACTCGAAATATAAATGACCGAGTTGATCATGACAGGCCTGCAAGGCGATCCCCCATGATTTTCGTGGCAGTGACTATATTAAATTCAAAAATGCCTACTGATCAGTCAGTTAGTTTCACTAAAATATTGATATCCTGCAGAAAACACAAATTTTACATGTTAGCATATCTGAAAATTGGAGAAAATGAGCTGTGAAATGTGTGATGGACTAGCATGAACCCTGTCCCTAGTATTGCAAACTAGAGGCGTAAGAGTGCAAAGTCACACGTCAAAATGCCAAGAATGAAGTTGCCGTTTGTCTTTTAATAATATTAGTAGAAGCCTTAATGTATTAGCTATCCCACTGCATGTAAAATGAAACACTCGTACATGTGTAAGCATTGAGTTTTGGATCTATCGGAAATTTGGGGAGCAAATCTCAACAAGTTAGTATGGAGAGAAGTGACTTATTATTTTGCATAAATGCTAATTCACACGCGTGGAACAACTTGGGGATAATGGGAACCAGATTATGCCCCTGTCACGGCAGTAAATGACTTGGCTGGTAAACTAAACTGGGCGATACACGCACACGCACGCACACACAAATGTGGTAATGACTCATTACTTCAGAGGGTTGTTTTCTTTGTCAGCCCTATTACACACCTTCATTCATTCACATACAACGCGAGCGCCGCTGAGGCGTTCGGTGGGAGAAATGAAGGCAGACTGGCAATAAAAAAGGCAGACCAAAGCGAGCGGAAAGGGTAGAGGGCAAAGACCCATTGTAACCTAGACGCGAGAATTAATCAAATAAGGAAAGTACTAGAAAAGGTAAGTTGCGCCATCGCGTATACATTTTAAGATTCCAGGAGAAGCTACGAATAAATTTGTGCGCAAAAGTCTTGTGATTATGACATGACATGTATCTTGGACGTACGTTCTTTTCATCAAACTGATAGAAATTGCTTTTAACGATGCCTTGACAGTTCGACAGCAAAATACAATGACAAAATTATTTTTCATAAACTTGTATCCGGAATGGTAAAGCTCTTACTCTGTTTGCATTTCGTGTTAAAGCCCTTAGTTCACAGAAATAAGGCAAACTCTAATGACCAACCTAGTATGTCACCTAAAGATGGTTAAACATTTCAAGCGACTGTAGCATGTTCAATGCTAGTACAACCCATATCGGGACCATATGAGATATATGAATTCCACACTTTTATTCATGAACTAGGATCAAAAACACCAGATCGCAACAGCTCGGCACGTGCGTGCTGACACATCCATGATGGGTGGGTGCATCGGATTGTGACACTTGTCTTACTTTTCGTGTGATATCAAGCAGATACTCGCGAAAGCATAGAGGCAAGTAATCAAATGCATAAATGGTGGAATGCTGAAAAGGTTTTCGATTTGAAGAATCCTGATTTGATCTATCAAAGTGTTCTATGGATGTATTTGCATCACTGCAAGGGATATGAATACGTAGATGGTAAATAAATAACTAGGTAAATAAATAAATCAGCTGCAGTTGTTCCAATTTAATGCTTTTGTGCATTTAATGTACTCCCAGCGTGAAGGCTGGACAAAAAAAGTATGAAGCTCAGTGAACACGGACCACAGGACAAACGAAGTGCAAAAAGGGCTGGTGAGTCTTTTGCCTATCTGCTGGTCCAGGTCCCTACAAGCGCCTGTGCGTTCGTGCATGTGCGTGTCGGTGCGGACGTATGCGGACACGGAAATGTTATTTTTCACTGCGCGAGATCGCCTCCTGCTTCCTTTCGACTTACCAGAAGGGGAAAAAATTGAGGGGGACAAGAGAGGCAGAGGTGTGGAAAAAACAACTTTCTCCAACAAACAAATGCCATTAACTTTTCCAACTGATACAAGAAACTAGGCGACTTATTGCCACAAGTATTATCTTTTTGAAATATCACAATTTTTACCATTATCGTGACAATTTTACTTCAAGAAGACATATGCATGAAGTCGATTAAACAAAAATATAACAGGTAACTGGATTGTTTTTAGATTAATATTTCTCAAGGTACGGTCCAAAAATTTTTGTTTTAGGTAGAAGTACCAGGGCCAATTTTCTTCATGAATAATAGGGGTTATAACACCTCACAACTCTTACTTGTGATTTCAGCAACCCTCAGGCGATAGATTGGAACCTCTATAGAAGGACGCTCTTGTAATCTTTCTGCATTGCTTTTACCATTCACCTTTTTCATTTCATCGGTGTTCGAGATTTTGGAGCTCTTCTCAGTGGTACTTGAAAGTGTGATAAATGACTGATATAAAGCAGGCCAAATTTTTTGTGCTTTTTGAGTTGTCTGTTGTGCCTTTAACTGTGTCATGAGTGTTAGCACACGATTTGCCTTTCGACCCAAGTAAGTGTCACTCGGTGCGCTGCCACCTCATTCACCGGCCCCATCACCCCTAATAGATATGCCTATAAGACATCACGCCCATTGTGGCCATGACGGGCCACCATTTAATGTCATAGCTCTCAAGTGTTTCTCCCTTAAACACTTAGGTTACTTTCGGTACACTTAACACCAATTTCTTATCCGCCCAACTGCTGGGATTACGGCCTGAAGGCATACGCCGTTGATTTTGCAATCCACAAAACACTTCATGACGGCACATATTCTAAAGGAGATGAGACAAATTAAATCGCTTGCATAGTGCTGTTGTACTGCTATGGACTGAAGGATTTAAATAACATTTCTTGTGCATCTTTAAGCACTTGAAATTAAAAAGTGGTTTGCCAAAAGCAATTTTCTGAAAATAGATGAACTACAAATCCGGTTTTAAGAATGAAGCTGCCACTAGAAGACTGTTTGCTAGGATTTAAAAAAATCCATGATCATAAAGTAAATCCAGCGTACTTTATAGAATGCGATATTTTTGTTTAATGATAGCAACAAATTACGTTTTAATTCACTTCAATACGTTGTGATTTATTTTTATACAACACTAACCAATCACGGATTTTAAAACCTAAGAACGCCTCAATTATGATGCATGGGTGCCTTAAGCTTCCGCTTACGCCAACAGAGCATTATTCCCCTACGAATCCGGTAGATAAACCAGCACTTGCAAATATCATGTATTTTCCTCCACTACTGAATCGTCGGTTTCGGAGAAGAAACATGCAAATGACATCAGACAAAAAACATCTTGGTGTGACATTGATCGAGGATCAATGGCAGCCGGTGGGTTCACCCACGCACACACGAGGTGCCACGCAGGCATGCGTGCTTCACACAGACACGGTGAAATGAAGACTGAGCTCTGTTGACATCGGGACGCGATTGTCAGCGGCGCGCGGCAAGGCCTTTAGATACTATGAGTGACTGTGTCATTGATAGACACCTTAAGCAGAGCCTAGCCCTTGCTCTGACAAATTCAGCCCGAATCAAAAGTTAATAATGACTTCAGGAAGGGCATTTACTCTATTTGAACGTGAAAAGTATTCAAATGACAGGGATGGTGTATGATTAACCAATAGGAATTTCGCAAACAGATGTGGCGTTTTAGTTATAACATCGCATCAGTGACCATTCCTTTTTAAATTTGAACAAACCTGAGGTGAGAAATTTGTGCTTCCTTCTATCAAGTCATTAACAATATTTGGAAGGGTGATGAATACCAATGACTGAATGTACGATAAAGCAAAATAAGGTATAATCAGCAATTACATATGCTAGCGAAGACTAAGTATCAAAGTAAAGAGGTTTATCGGTCAAAGAAAAGCGAAGTAACGTTCAACTAAGACATCGGCGATCCAAGGGTTCACGTTGCCACAATTTTACACCGCCCTAAAAATCATTATTACAATTACGCGACAAAACGGTTAATCTTAGAATTAAATAACACTATTTTGGAGAATTTATTCACATTGGCCACGTTTACGGGATTTGTCTGGAAATAATAAACCATGGTCAATTATAAGATAATGGCTCATCAAATAGACATGAGTTTCTGGCATCAATATTCCGCATCCCCTAGGTGCATCTTTTACCTGCTTTCATTAAAACCCGAGCAACTAGGTCGCCAATGCTGCAGTCATTGAAGAAGTAAGGACACTGAACCCTCAAAATTATGACAGGTCTAACCTTTCTTTCGCCAGCAGTATTTGTTTCTGGCAAAACTACCCTTATCCCTTGCTTTAATGAGTGTCTTGATGATCAAGGCACACATAATAGCTTATGGTGACTACCCACTGAACTCGGCAATTTAAATAATGTGTTCTATCTCATGTAATGATTTATTTATGCACAAATAAGCAAGTCAACTACACTTCGTTTTCAATAGGGTGATAACGGAATTGAAGCTTTACCTAGCACTTTATTCGAATGGTATTCGGGGGAACGTGACAGATTTTTGTTAGACAAGCTACTTTTGCATTCAATGAAAAATGTGTCAAACAGCATCTGCGTTAAAAATTATTGAGTAAGCTAGCGGGGAAAATCATTTATCATAAAGTGGAATGGAACTTGGCCGACTTGTTTAAGTTACGCTTTGAAGCGCTCTGTAACTCGTTGCCCTGATCTCGGGTCATTTTCGAGTTAACCATTATCGGTTACTCCCCTCGGAAAGGGAGAGATTAGAAGGATAGACTTGGTTGTGAGTGTAAAATGTGAGCAAACTGGAATTAGTCTACTACGTACCTTACTTAAGAGGGGGAAAACGAAAAGGTTTCACGTATCAGGCAGTCAGTGAATAGGGTCTAGAAGTAGACAAGTAAGCCAAAATTTAGCAGCACAGCGTCTTCCTTCTTCGGCAATCGAATCCATCGTACTGCTGGTGCTAGTAAGAGGGCAAGACTCTGTGAGTTCCCTCGATTTTTGAGACCTTAAACAAAATCTAGTGTTTTTGTCATGTGTTGGCCTATTGTACACCTATTAATGGCACAACCTATTCGCATCAGTAGCGAATATGAAGGTTGAGTGGGTCTGAGTCGATATATGAATACTTGCTGTCTGTAACTAGTTGCGAAAACAAAACAGTTAGTGGAAAGTTTATTGCTTCGTTAGCCGCATGTGAATATTGCCAGATTTGGGAATGAAAATAATTTAAGAGCTTAAGTGGCACACATTATTTTTCGCTTTAGGAAAGTGCATCCCATCATCAGTGTTTTTGAATGGGTGAAAAGCAATCTCCAGTAGTCAAAGCTCATGTTTAGCGCAGGGATTCTGTGTCGCATTGTTTCAAGGCCTTGGTAGGTAATCTTTTGTGGAGAGGACACACTTAGCACCGATTGCATTTTGGCCAAATACCATTGAAAAGTCAAGCGCCTTTGGTTAACACGAAGTTGCCACGTTAGTTACCTTGGTGCTAAAGAATCCTTGAATAAGTTAGTTAGGAATTTCAGACTATACGCAAGAAGAGGCAGATGAAACATTGTGCCTCACGCTCAAAATAATTAAAAAAGGTTACCACAGTTAGAACACAGCACTGGACTTTAGACAACTGTCCCGCCATACATTTAAGCAAATTTATAAAATTATAATAATAATAGCATTATATGTGAATAGAACTCACGATAAGTAAATAAGAAAATAGAAACAGCTTAGGTAACAATTAAACGAGGGTAAGCAAGGCAGAGTTTAGGGGAAGCTATTCTGGAATGACGAAGATAAAACCTATGCTTTCGGCAGTTTATTATTTTAAAAAATAGTTATTCGGATGAGCTATGTGGTAAAGAAAGCACACGAAACCATAGCCCACATTATGAGCAAAAATAGAACGCATATCGATGTTTAAACAAAAAAAAAATACCAACTAGGGGTTGATGCAAGAAGACATGATGCGATGTGCCTTCCAGCAGTGTGAGAATGACCGAATTGAAAAATTCCCGATTAATCTGCCTTGGCATTAGCCAAAAAATATTTGAATGCTCAAAATGCTGAAACTGGTGAAGTATACTCTAGATGCGAGGTCAGTTTTATGCCTGGTTAGGTGGGTGAAAGGGAAAGAGAGCGTAAGTCGACTTGCCTTCAGGCGGCCTGGTTGGGGCACAATTGAACGCGGCCGCGTCAGGCTGAGTTAACGCTGATTCGGGGCGCAAATATCGATCGGTCCAGCTGGCGGCCTCGTATTGGCTAGCGAGGTCAACACAAATCGCCTTTTTGAAATTTTCGCTGCTTGCCTATGCGGAGCAGCTTCGGTACTCCGCCTTACCCATCGCAACCACTGTAAGTACACACCAATTGTTGGTGCATTATGTTAAACAGTGAGTTACTAATAGAAGGCATGGTGAAGGCATAGGCTCTGTCGCCCGCCCACTCAAGCCTGCAGTCCTTATTTTTGTAAAGACGTATTTTTTATGGTTCATCATTTTCTATGCTTTCAAACGAATCCGTATTAACAAGCTAATGTTTTAAGAAGTATTAATGTAAACTTTCCCACTAATCCAATTAAAAATTCATTCCATATTCCCTTGATATGCGTATGATCTAAAAACTGAATTTCGCGTGGTTACCTGAAAATATTTTCCTAACAGATGTGAGAAAATACTCCTACCCCCATTTCTAATTGGCTGATCGACGACATATCCATCCTGAGGAATTGTCGTTTTTTAGTCTGTTCTCTGTATATCCCTTGTGCTCACGTACTTGTATCCTACTCAGAATGCCACATAAGTAAGCACATCGGTGGTGTGCATGTTCGGTCCTAAAAACGTGAAGCCCCAATCTCACATTTGTACATGCGACATGTGCCTTTTTAGCCATAGAGATGAGACAAACTAATACAGTTTGGTATAAATCCAGTTAAAACAAACAATTACATTGATGAATGAGCCATGTAAGTCGAGAATGTGTAAGGGGTCTTCATCAGGAACACTGCAGTCCGGAAAATCCGAATAGACTTCCGATTTTCTTAACAGATACTAAAATCAAATAAACAATGATAACCCTAAGCCGGAATCTTCATGAAGTCTAATAGCATGAAAGTGTAGCGAATGAGTCTTTCGCAAGCGAATCGCGTGTAGCACAGAAGACAGTCGGGCACAACGGACAAGTCACAGCATCATAATGATGACCATTAGGCAGAAATTTGAATGGAACTACAGGGTTTCAAATATCTGTCGCGGAAATGGTCACGACTTTCTAGATTTTAGTTATGTCAACATTTTACTTCTAAGTATTATGTATATAACTTTAAGCATGAATATAATGAGCATTCTGATGGGAAGAATATTTGTTTGAATGGCGGAGCCCAGAATCTGAAACAGCTAAGCCTCAAGGCTTAGCGGACAGCGACATCTGAGCAAACTTATTTGGTTTCCTGTTTCATCTGTCTCCGTTTACGTGTGGTGGAGCAGTACACTGCAGCACGCAAAGCCATGTTGAAACCTGCTTGCCGCATTCTCTAACCTACTACAGCGTACTTTTAAGACCAGTTATGACTACAATAAAAACTCAAAGCTTCTTCTGATTCCTATCAAACCATCGTTTGGAATTGGCAGATGCCTTTGCACACGTGAATACACAGGAGAGATTGAGGCCCTCCCAAATAAACACGTACTCAACATCCCATTACCGTCTAAACATAGAGGCATCCTGTTCAAAGTGGTACTTAAAAGGTGAAAAGGCACTTTTAATTTTTGCGTTTATTCGTTCACCAGGGGAAAGTTTAGCAGGAAAGTCCTCCACTTAGCTTCAAGCGCACATTCGAGTTAGTACTGAGATGGAGGAAAGGTAATTGGGAATCCTCAAACCAAGTAGAGGAAATGACTACCTTTGTCTAAGTAGGTTTTGCTTGACCCAAAACAATCCCCTCCCATGGTAATATACTTTAAAAATAAATGCTTCCTCTTTGGCAACTGCTTTCAGCTTGTTCAGAGGAAATCATTTTGCCAATGTGGCGGTTTTCATCTGTTAACTCGGAAAATCATGGGTCAGTCACACAGCATTGGGAACTTCACTGACTACCTTACCACCACTCGAATCGGCTTATATGAGTTTTTCAACAAGATGCTCAAATAACATTCGTAGAGAATATTCCGGTCAGTTAAAGGAACTTTGTGATGCAAAAAGGTACAGTAAGGAAGGGGAGCAGGCAAATTTCCCGTCTTGTGTCACCTTTTCGAGGCAGCCCACTTGACGTCTGATTTGTACAAATATTAGGAATGTGTAAGGCTGTGCTTATTAGCTCTAAGAGATCGCTCCGACAACTTGCATTAATGGTCAGCTAGATGGGCTATTTTCCGCTAAACATAACAATAAGCGACACGATACATCTTACCCACGCCGGATTGTACTTGAACATGCTGGATTGCGTCGCACTACATTAAAATTCCCTGAATTGAGGCGAATGCCACCTCATGAAGTCTAGCTACTATTGTCTCTGCCTGAAAACTTTCCATTATTTTGTCAATAAGGAATCAGCCAAAGCTGGGTAATCAGAATTGGAATCCTGATATTGTCGTTTCCGAAATATGTAATTTGGGTTTATCCATAAGCAGAAACACTATAAGATTAGTTATGAATGACTACAGAAACATAATGGGATTTTTATCAATTTGTCGTCTTTTACATAATTAAAAAATGTACCATCTTTGTGGAAATGTAGAGAATCATCTATTCAGTCGGCTGAAAAGCATGCCTAAATTTGTGCGAGGCTTTTGCCTACTTTGTCTATTCACCCTCTCAAAGGGACCAGGGAGCCAGTGGCACAAGTGCCTCCACCAGAACGCCACTAAACACCTGAATGAACCATCAAATCCCACAGGCTAGATTGGATTGACAACGCGTCAAATTAATTCAAACGCTGTAACAGCATTTCTAACAGCACTGTCCAGTCTGACTTTAGTCGGAAGCATCACATCAATAGGAAATTCAAATAAATAATCTCCTGACTTGGGCTGACGTAAGTTGTTTATCAAATCGCGGAGCGTTTCCTAAAAGAAATTCATTTTTTTCTTTTAAATGAGTTTTCCCGCTAAAGTATATTTGAGTTCCACACTTTTGTAACCTGATGGAAAGCGAGGAGGAAGGTTCATGTTTGTTGATTAATGTGCTTGACTGTAAATATGTGGAAATTTCGATTTAAGTCTACGACAAGACAAACTTGACAAAACCGACTTCCGCTAGATGAGAATAAAATCCTTTCGGACACCAGAATGTGCTGTAATATGTTCTTTTAAAGCCTGATTCGCAATTGTGTATCGAATGGTTTTGTTCATCGCCGTTGACTCTTGTCTGGGGGCAATAAAAGCAGTAGTATTAGGTGAGGGATGAGAATTCAATGATTGAGTATGGAAATGTGTAGAACGCCTTCGAGAGGCACCTAGGACTTTTATCAAGCAACACCGCTTACACTTTTGTAAAAAGCTTATTTTGCTTCAAACGAGATTGTGGTATAAACAGGGCCCAAGTTAGCATTTGAGGTTTAGTTGACACCTTCGGTAGCCATTAATGATGAAATTGAGAGAGTGTTTCGGTGTCACATGATCTTGAGCTGTGAAGCGCCGATTGAAGAGCGCTTTTAACCGCGCATTCACCATCAATTGGCATCTTGATGGGCCTCAGCAGACCAAAGTGACTTTACACGAGAGGCTATTTAGGAGTTCACAAATGCATACAATCTAGCAAAAGTGTGATAGAAAAGATCCTTTCAGTTTGTACAACTTTATTCAATTATCAATCAAAGACATTCAAAAAATAAGTAAGCAACCATCCTCGGGCACGTGGATGGGTGTCGGATGCGTGTTCTGCAGTCTGGACAGCAAGACGCCGAGAACATTGATTCCTCTAACTTCGCATTTGTATGTATTTTTAAATAAGTTTTTTTCCAAGAAGGTATCAAAGGCAACTTTTACAACATTTCTCGAGGCAAGCAAAAAAACCCAGTAAATTTAGTCTTGCAAGATTTAGTCCAAAGAATGGGTATAACAAAAAAATACCTAATTTTTGATTGAACCTGCAAGCTCTAAACTATCCGCCCTTTATGCACGTGATAGATAACTGAACAAAAGTAATTACGAGGAAATTCGATGCAGAGGCCATTGTTGCATTGTGCCCACGTATTCCTTCATGAAGCTGGGCAATACCCATCACAGTTCCTTAACGAGCCACTTAGGCATAGTAACAATAGGGAGGGAATGGGCCTCAAGTAGATTACCTCTTGGTCCATCTTCAGCACTCCACCCAGTACGCGTTTGAACTTGGTGTTGCTGGTTGGCACACCCACATGACACCTGACAGTTTAAAAGTGGGCGCGTCTGAAAGGAGCGTCGCGATGACGCCCTTCAACGCAAAATGAGGTGATGTTTGGGGTCAGCTTCGCCTAATTTCATCTCCTACGCTTGTTTTGGAACGGAGTCGTTAATCGCCGTCCAAAGTCGCCCACATACAACCAACAGTTAGATTTCCTTAGCCTAAAGTGATGTAAGGATTCCAATTTCTACTGCACATAATCAAAGCGACTTGTTGAAAATGGGCATAATTTCAATGGCCAAAACAAGTATGTGAAGTTGCCAAAAGTGGAGTTTGCTTTCTTCAATTAAGAAAATCTGTAATGGTGAAAAATCACCCATTTAGTATTCTTTCAAGAATATTAAGTTCCTGTGTTTAAATTGCAAAAACGGAACAAAAAGCAAGAGACCTTTTGAGTATATTAGCTTAGTAAAGTACATTTGGTCAAAAGGATATGCCCAATGATTTACAGACACGGAAAGTGTTTGTGGTGGTGAAAGGAAAGGTCTTTTACAAAGTGCTCCACCGTCTAAGCATCGTGTCACAGGTAATGGTACAAAATCAAGGCGCCAATTTCACAACGCATATCCTGAACTTGAGGTCTATCGGGGAGTAAGGTCAGGTATACGGGCAGGACCTGATGACTGTATAACACTACATGGAGAGCTGATTCATTCATTAAAACAATTGTGGTGGGCAGCCTTGGGGAGGCGCCAAGACATTTGAAAATACCCACGCACCACCAATGTAACGTTAGCTGGCTGACGGGTGGTCTGTGTTGGTGGATGCGGCTCTAGACGGTCAAATAGATCTTCTGCTAGGAAATCCCACTGAGGCATACCTGAGCACCTGCAGTAATAAAAAAAACGCTCTGGAAAAATGAATTTTACAGCTTTGACAGAGCATTATCCAGTAGCATTTTGCTTTTGCTTGTGCCACAAAAGGCAGGCAAAAATAAGGCATGTTGGAAATCTCTTCAAAAGTTGTGGGGTAAATCACTATGTTTCTCCAAAAGCTTTTATGGGTGCTGGGCAATTTCATGGATGGGTAAGATTATTCGGTACACTGACAAGCACGTGGCCAGATCTGGGGCCCGAGCGCTGCCTTTGGCCTTAATGTGTTGCCCAAACTTTGTTCACTTGAGAAAGTGTGGGACTCACAGAGGAAAGGGGATGCGTAGGGAGGTATGGCTCTGAGAGGTGATGGCAGCTGCGCTTCGGCACGAGTGACGGTGAGCTATGGAAGGGAGAGAGACACCATCCCATCGAACTTGTGCACAGCGCAGGGAGGTAAAGCGGGGCAGGTGAAGTGATACTTATCTGATTCTTGCGCAAAGCAAATTAATACGCACGACATCCTTCGAGGAGGCGTGTACACTACCGCACTAATTACTTGCGCATAAGCGTGTGCCATAAACTGACGTGTCAGCCAGGTGAGGAGAGGACCGTGGTGACGATTGCTGCGCAGACCTTTGTCTCGCTCGCCCCTGCCTCCCCCTCTTGGAAGTTTGATTGGTATGATTACGCTGGATGTTCGTCCTAGTGGCCAGCCAATGGCGCGCGGTAAAGGAGCAAGACCTGAAGCGTACGTAGTCACTGCATGAATTCAGCGAATGAGTGAATAATTTCCACTACTGTCAATTAACTACGTATCTACTTAAGTAAGAGGTGGTTGCTCTAGCTGATGCCCTCCGCCTCAATGTGGATGAAGTTTCAAGGTTGAAGACAATTTCAATGAATGCCTTATCAACGATGCCTACCGCACTCGTACTGTGCACCCTTTAACAATTATATGCCAGCTGGCACGCCTTTGTTTAAATCAAAACCAAATTTCGTGCTTGGCGTGGTTAAGTGCTATTTTGAGCATGGGTTATATAAATCATGCGTGTACTTGATAGGGCATCGAGACCGGTTTCCTTTGTATTCAGAAGACTTGCAAGTACTGAGCTTATTTATTTCGCTGATGACATTTAACTGCAACTTTTGCAGATATGCTTGAAGCACCCCTTTTTGCCATTAAAATGTGCCTTCTCTTCATTTGTCAGTCCTCACCCTTCCCCTGCCATTGTATGGCGCGGTGTTATCAGTCATGCTGAGGGGCACTGAAACCTGTTGGTGAATTGACAAATTCTGAAGAGCAGCGGAGCCGAAATGATGTAGCCTCCAGGTCAAGAAACCCTTCTACAAGTGACTAGGAACCATTGCTAGTAAATTTCAACCCGAAATGCATATCGCTTGTCAAAGACAGTCGAATGCCCAGTTTTAGTATATGTTTCCAAAAATAAATTCAGGGTTTATGAATGCTGGGCTGCTGAAAAACGCCAAGGGTCCAAATCAAAGTAATCAAGTTTTATCTCTTTTAATCAAAATTCCTTAGACTTCTACACGGGTTTTGGTCTTACAGGTATGAAAAGTAAAACAATCAACTAGATGTGCTCATTGTTCGCAACTTGGTTCACCTTTGCTATTTAATGACACTTGTAAAATTCAAAGAAAAAACCATTGCGGCGGCTGCCTTTGCCTGTGTGCCTGCAAGTGGGCGTTCTCGTGCGAGCTGTCCGCACTGTCAGACGGTACTCTCGCTACTTCAGAGCATGGGAAGTTGTATTCCATGTACCCGACTCACAAATGACATTGAGCACGGCAGTAGTGGTGCTCTTAAGCAGCCGCAAAACCAGTTTAGAATTCGCATTTTAAATGAATACGTAAAAACCCAACTTTTTCATCCCTTTATGAACAGATAAGCTGTTGGAAATATCAACAAGATTAAAAAATGGGTAATTTGGACTAGGTATGCATTAACTAGATGAACTAAAAAATCTTTACATTTTGAGGAAATGTACTCCGACGAACTAAACTACATGACACATTCTTCATAATAAAGCGCTTTCTAAGATGGTGCAGACAAGGTAGATATTAAGTAGAATTTACACCTGAATTAGGGCATTTTCTGCCTTCAAAATGGCTCGCAGAAGATTATGATTACGTATCTCTATTTAATGGAGGAAATGTCTCAATACTTACTTATACAAAGGCAGTAGCCTTATTTTGTCGTAAGCTAAAGCAGGTCTAATCGTAGCACTTCCACCCAAGCATATTGGCCAACGGGAGTCAGCTTTCGTAATAAAACACAACTACGATCTAGGGTAGGAATATGCTAAACAAGTTGGAAACGAGTGGTTATAATCACTAACTGATATTTTTTAATAAGCACAACTCTGAACATGACATTTTTACATGCTTCACCAGTAGGTCTACTGACTAAATACATAAAACCTCGTTATAGAAAGCACCAATTCTTTGTTGATATCATGAACTGATGAATTTAGCAGACCGCGAGTGTGCACAGACCTCCTTAATAAACCCTAAATTGATTGATATCACGTACACAATATTTGTTTATTTGTATCAGTATCATATCCTCAGGGTTATTCGCTTCTTCAAACAAATAGATGTTTAATATCATCAGCAGAAGTTAAAACGGCGGGGTGATCGGCGTCATTGCGTCTTAGTCGTGGGAATTGGGATAACCTAAAGACACCCTGCAAAGTGCAAATACGCAAATGTTAATAACTTGCCAAATTTATCAAAAGATTCTTAAATTTAAATAAAGTCACACCACTTCATTGTACATCGTTTAGGGGTCTTGGAAGTAGTCTAGTTTATACGAGGCTTCAGCCGAGTAGATTTGGTAGTTTCCGCGTCTGAGATCGAATACATTGGAGAGTTGTCTGCTTACGTTTAAATCGCTTAGCTAAGGCATCACGTGTGTTCCATTTTATTTGGCGGTCCAGCGCGGCAGTGCTTATGATAATTCAGTATAGAGTAAACGTCTTTCAGTCAAGCTAATTTCAGCATGGTTTGGGGAGTTTTTTTCTGCAAAGCCAATATTCAGTGTGCCTTTTGAGACCAGACAAACATTAATTTATCAGAGCAGCTTAGTCGGTGAGTGCAGGTGAAGTGCAGTTGTGCGGCTTGGGCATTTGCCTCGGTCATACACTCCACTCGCCCTGGTCGCAAGCAAAATGCAGTGGGTAACATCTCAGCGTCTTGTGGGAACAAAAAGATTTCGACACCAAAACTATCGAGCTCATGGTGTTGATTGAGGCTTAGCCATCACTATTTGCTACATTTTGCGTCTGCGCTAATTGCAAACCCTAAGAAGTGATAGAGTGCATTGTTTATTGATACTTTTGAAAGTTGTGTGTTTATTTAATGACTCTGTTCTGCTGTTCACCATGCAGGGTACAAGATAAGTTCATATACCAAGCTGTGAAAGCCTTACGCTTTGCGTCGTTTTGTACTTCATGCCTTATTTAAAACAACTGGAAGTTGTGTAACAATTATTTTCGCTGGCCATGAAGCAGGTGAAATACAATTCGGGCACTTATCTACACAAACAGGCAAACTGCTATACAATGGGATGAAGAATTTAAGATTGTGATGGAAACCTCGTGCTTTCAAGAGGTGATGGGTTGCTTCTATACAGTACTATTATCGTAATACAATCGTTGAAGATCATTCTCTTAGTGATTTACTAATTGTGCAAGGACAATCTGCATGCTTGTGATTGCAGGTCGTAACCTTTTCCCAACACCCACGAAAACTCCGCAAGGCTTGGGCACATTTTACTAACGATAGGGATGTGGGAAAGGGGCACTTGTATATGCATATGTCAAAGCTGTTTTCAGCAACAACTCACTAATACATGTTAAAATTTGGGATATTTGGTAGTAGCTTAATATCAGGAACAGTCGGTACAGTATAATTGTCCCTCAACTCTGGAACGAGGTTCACAAATTTTGTAAATCTGTGCTCTTATCCTTATAATGCCTCCTGAGTAAAACCTTCTTATTAAACAATTAGGAGGTAGGCAAAGTGCTAAAATACAACCTCCAAAGAAAAGTCTTCAGTAATTAAGTAAATAAAGTGCACATTAATTCAAAAACTTTAACAACAACTGATTTAAAAAAGCTGGTGCTATTTGTGCCGGTGAATTTAACATTGCGTTGGGTGTCAGCGACTTTATTTCGCTTGCAGAGGGGATTTAGGTGACTCCATTCCGGTGTAGACTATTGGATGCCAAAAACAACTTGCAATTTTCAGACTCCTCCCAGCGAGCGTGCATCTTTGCTATCACGATCATGTTATAGCGCTGATTTGGCTTTAAAAACCCATGAATTTACTGGAAAGTGCATTGACTTACTAGAAGCCATTCAGAGTTCGTAGCCGGTGTTTAAATCGAGGTTTTTGCATTGCACGCAAGCTGCTTTCTTTCGGCTCCCTCTGTATCCATTTAAGCTAGATTTTAATGTAAGGGGCATATTACGCAAAAGTGGATGAAAAGGATGAAACTAAGTGATTAAAACCATATTAAACAATGCATAGGTATACTAATTTAGGGTTTGAGTATAAGCCATTCAATCACTCAGCACATGGACAGATGACAGGGGTATCCTCAGGCACCGTTGCGCATTAGCATGCTGAATTGACTGGTGATTCGCCGTCACCGCCTCCACCACCACTGCAGTGGTGACAGGGCGAGCACTGGGTTAGGAGGCGTTTGTGTTCGAGGGCCGTTGCGGTCAGAGAAGTAACACACATACACACGTGAAGAGGTGACTAGGCTGGTTGGTTGACAAAAGGTCGAACGGAAAATAAAATGCATTACTTGCTCGTCCACGAGACCGAATACCTACGTGTCATCAGAGGCGTGAAGGGGTCGTCGTCGGGGCACCTTGGTATCACCGATATGTCGCACCCGAATTAACATTGTGAGATTTACGTTGCCTTGCGCGTGCGTTAATTCAAGTGTCAGTTGTAAGTGCGGCATGTCAAAGCAACTCAGTGCATATGTTATTTGGGTAAGCGTTTGTTATCGGGAGAAACTGGCTGTGTTGATAAAGTATTCAGTTTCATAAGTAAACTCCAGCTTCTATTGTTCAGTCAGCAAAATTAATGTTTTTGTAGTTATGTAGGAGTCAATTTTGAGAAGAAAAGTGATTATGATCAAGTTTGTACCTAAAAATTTGTTAAAATTCTGTACTAAAGGGGTCGAATTTCTTCGAAAGCTTCTACAATGTAGTGCATTTGCCTTCATCTTGACTGGAATGATTCCGGACTCTAGAGATAGTTAAATATGGAGATATTAATGGCATTAGTCTTCATTTTCGGATCATGAAGAAAGGAGCCATTTTTTCAAAGAACAACTATACATTTCGAATAGTTATCGTTGATTGGCACAACTGGAGCTCGGGTCTATTCAGTCTGGATTTGACCAACGAGAAATAGGCGATGATGTCAATCGGTGTGGGTACAATGAGGCTGTGTGTAGTCCTCATGCCTTGCTAATCCACGTACCATCTCCCCGATCGGTTGCAGCTCTCTTGGAGCGAGGAGCGAACACAAGATGGATCCATTTGTCACTGTAAGTTGGAACCAAGTGGTACAGATAGCAGAATACTTCATATTTTCCTCCCCGTTTGAACATTTGTATTATGGCGAGTTGACCACAACAAGGGGGCTGTAAAAGCTGCTGCAGAATGTTTAGTGTAAAAATTATTCTCACTGGTCTGTTTCATGAGAGGATGCCAAATGGAAGACGTGTGACGGCATAATTTACCATCACATTGTTGATAGTCTTATTAAATCACGAATTTCAAAATTACAAAATACATGCCTACAGATAGCAAAATACCGCTTATGATACTTGATTGAAAGCGTTTTATGCATTGCTGGGATTGAGTGCCTCAAGAGCTTGGCAATAGGGAAGGCAGGACGTTGAAAATGATAAAAATCTAAATCAAGAAGTACCGACAGAAATTTTACGCACCTTCTCCAGCGGTCGCACATAGCGTCGACTCATTTATGAGTGGGGAGATCTTTTGCATGCATTGATTTCAAACCATGCGTACTGAGGACGCTCACTTCGAAATGCCTCGAATATCACTGTAGGACGGATAGACGGGAAGTAAACACTTACGCACGGCCAAAATATTTTACAAGACGACCTATGTTTTGGAGCGAAAGGAACATCATTGAACAATTCATATCGTCTTTATTACCGCCGTGTGTCAATCCTATGTACATTTTGTGTCGAGATTTTAGTGAATGCACATAGTCAAGTTTTTGAAGTTCTTCGATTTTAATGGGTTATAATAGCCTAGGACACATTAAAGCATCAAGTGGAGGTCATGACTTACCGGTCATATTTTGAAGTAAGCCGCCGATTCTGCGTGTGATACTAAGGAAAAGATTGCTAAAAATACAGCTACTTGGCCCATATATTAATTTAGAGGCAATTCGGCTCCGTTGGGCATGAACTGAAGTGTTTCGCTCTAGTACACCGCGGGCATTTGCCTTAGTAAAGGCACAAGCTGCCTGGGATGCCACTCTGTTGGGAATGCTATGAAGCGAATTGAGTGCTTTACGATGATACGGCCAAATGAAATGCGTTTGGGACACACGTGTAACATTTGCTTAAGCAGTCTTGATTGATGGGACATGCGACGGCCATATTTGCATATGCAACCACGATGACGCATGTGAAGTCAAACCATAACACAAGCGTGGTTTCCATGCCTCGAATGAAAGGGAACATTCAACAAATCCTTGTTGAGTGGGCCATAGCTGATGCAAAAAATGAGTCCTCATAGACGCTAAGCAACATTTACTGGTAATTTGAAGGGAGGTTCGTTCGATACAATTTACTCCCCAAGGGCTTTGGGCCTCGTCCAGAAGCGCTGGCTCACGAGTAAAGTCTGCAACGCCAACCATGTGCGCACTTGTACAGGACTTTGGGGTAACCCGACACTGGCATAGGCATGCGTAACTTCTGACCTGTTTTTGATTACCTTTCTACTATTGTCCAGAAAAAGGTAAGGTGCGTTTACTTCGTAGTCAGAATCTAAATAAAGTATAACATCAAATGAGCTATCGTGGTAGTTATCTCTTCTTTAATTTTTTAATTCAGTCTGTGCAACATACCTCAAAAGATTCAAGGGCTTCAAAGTCCTTCCTACTTTTTATTACTGTAATTTGATTGACACATTGAGTGAAAATTAGCGGATTTTCGTTTCCTTTTTTTCATTATTTTGGAAGGTTATGGGAACAGGGAATTACAACGTGACCAAAAGTTATGACCCAGTCAGAGGCTTGTTAAATCGATGAAACGGCATTGTTGTAACCGGGGGAAACAAAAGAAACTTCTTTCACTATGCTCCGTTCCTCTCTCCTCGTCTCGTCACTGTGGATATGTGGGTAGAATGCCGGGCAAATGTAACAATCACAAAAACAATAGCCACCATCTAGACATGAGGAAAATTTCTCTCGCACATAGACGGCAAAGCACTAGCCTTGAACACACCGTCTTACAATTCTCGCCGTGGCCGTGACAGAAACAGTCCGGTGGCCCGGTTTTCACTTCAGCTATTCATCTTCAACATGGTCAAAACATCAGGAACCCTTCATAGAGAAGATGATAATTCGCATAGATTTTCAAGCATCATCCCATTTCCAAGTACGTACGTATACATATATATATATGTATGTATGTATGTATGTATGTATGTATGTATGTATGTATGTATGTATGTATGTATGTATGTATGTATGTATGTATGTATGTATGTATGTATGTATGTATGTATGTATGTATGTATGTATGTATGTATGTATGTATGTATGTATGTATGTATGTATGTATGTATGTATGTACGTACGTACGTACGTACGATATGCATTCCAATTTGACATTCGCAATTTTAGCCTCTTTCTAAATCAACTTTGCCCATGCTTCCGACTAAAGCGAATGTGTGGGTTGTATGAATGAATAGTTCAAATTAATGGGTTTTATCTCAACACGTCTACTTTTGTTATCCAAATAATTCAAAAAACTCTTTCGAAAAGACTTTCGGCCAACAGGTGGTGCAAAGAAAGCGGTAATTTCGGCACAGGGCAGGGGAAGGCCACAAAAGCTTGCGCAGCGAAAACAACCAGCGCCCTTCCCTTCCCCCCCAACATCTATCGGCTGAAATATTATATTTTAGCTCTCCCTCGTCCGAATCACTAAATCCCTCAAACGGGTCGAAGCGTCTTGGACTTTGAGACCCCAGTGCCATTTTGAAAAGGGAATAAATTGTCACTCGTTTTTACCGTGTATTCAATCGAGCAAGTCCTGTTCACATCACCTACACTGCTTCTCTTTCATTGCTTTGCACGCATTCATAGACAACTGTTACTTCCAGACTCGCTTGCTATATTGGGCCTTCAGAAGTAGCTCGAGCGCTAAAATATGCATAAAATAAGTGGGACTTTGTTGCCAAGATTTGGCGGCCGACTGATTCACAGAGAAATAAACTAATAAGATAATAAAAACTGAGGTCGTTTAATGAGAACCATATGCTTTTAAATCACCAAATCTGGGTGAAATGCTGCTTCTCCTTAATTTGATTCGGTGCATTTGCGAATGGGTCGTCTTTGATTTCAATTTACTGCAAAAAAATAGTAAAATCCACACATCACCAACCTTTGATTACTCCCAATTTTGCAAATAATGCACAATATCAGTTCAGTTTTTGCCTTCGTATTCCTTTGAACTTGCAGCATAGCCTTGCATTTGCCCTCATTATGAATCCACGTGACCTCTCCCCCTGATCTAAGAAGCCAACGTCTTTTCGTCTTAACTGAAAAAAGGTCAAATTCGGCCTAGGGTTGTAATACCTCTCCATAATAAATATGCGGTGGAGCAGAAGTATTTTAACCCAAACATATTGATGCACTATGACACTTGGAGACATCCTTGCGTTCAGTTGACAACACTTGTGGGTGCGAACGCTTTGAGGACGGCATGACAAGGGCAGATTTTGGCCATACTTGTTGCACTTTTACCGTAGGTCATTGATGGATGTAGTAAATTCTGCGAATATAAGGTCATTTTTGATAGCACGCATGATGATTCATAGACGTGATAGCCACAAGAAAAAGCCCTTTACAGTGTGCCCCAGTTGTGAAATCATTGGCATGAAAGACCAGGTAAGGCAATTTTGCAGAAAACATCAACTAGTCTGTTAAAGCCTTGTTTTCACAGCTGCCGCGCGGGATGTGATGATCTTCGACAGTCCTGATGACACACATCTGCCTATCGACTTGATAATAAGCAGCTGCCAAACAGTAGATGAGGTATTCATGCAGCAATCGAAGGAATCATTTAAATACAGAATCACACAAGACACTTAAAGTAGGTTACCGAAGCTCTAATTTTAATCCCACTGGACGCTTTAGGCAAAAATTCGTGTTGGAGAGGCGAATAGCCACGTTTAAAAAGTAAATAGCGGCATGAAATCCCAGCAGTAACAGCAGTTTCGGCGCATACCAGCCCTTGCTGCAATTACGCCGTGAATCATCACAAAGCGGTTTGTCTTATCTGGAAGTTTATGTTTGCAATGCTTAAAGTTCAGTGTCGACTGCAAATCATCACCACAAGGCATATACCTGCAATCAAGGCAAACAATGTGCAGTAAGTGCGAAATCATGCATTTCCGTGCGAGCGTTAACTGACCCTCGGCACTCAGGAGGCCCGAAGTTAGAGGGACTACCTCTGTAGGATGATGGGCAAGGCAAAATTGAGCAAATTTTGCACGGGATGATGTAACCAAATGAACTTCGACTTAAGCAAGAAATTAGCATCCTGCATTTCTCCTTGGAGACAGGGTTGTTTATGGCATTATCTCAAGCATAGGAAGGCAAAAGACCGAGATTCGAAAGGACTACACATTACCAGAAGACATTCTTCTTAGGTACTACATACTAAAGGAATCTTCAAATCGACTTATGTACCTGCCTCAGCACTTTTTGAGCTTAATTTCAAAAGCTCTGGGACGACCTTGAATTGGGATGGGAATGTGATCAGTCCTGTCAACCGTTGACTCACTGGCGACTTGCACGTCACGTGCATGAGAAGATATGGTTCAAATTTATGTGAGAACCTGCCACGTCCCCGCACACCTCTCGAGCCATCTGATCCCTGAAAATTAGGGTAAAACAACGCAAAGCGACTTACAGCTAGCGCGATGTGGTTACGATGATTGACGTGCCTGGTGAAAGTGCACTAAGGTGGGAAATGCCCTCCTATGCACATGGACATCGAGTGGCTGTTTCTACCTTGGCCACAGCTACATTCCGACAGCACTGTAAAGAGAGCTCACACAATAGTTAGAAAGACTTATTTTTCACAAATGTTACAAACGAATGTTCTACAGTCGCCTCCAAAACAAGTCTGTAAAGGGGTGAGTAGAAAAGGCAAAGACACATACTTCGAAGGAGTTGGAAAAAAGGGAAAATGAAGGGGTCAAATACTTTGGCCGATAGATTGTACTCCGTGGGTGCGGAGAGCCACAAGGGAGGTAGAGGTGGAATCAGGGTGTTTGGCACAGTTGTGGTGGTGAGAAATGATGTAGAGCGAGAACGAGAGGGGAGGGAAAAACTGTGGGAGAAGGAAAAAGAGAAGCAGGCACAAACATATCACAGCCAGGCGAGAATACCGGTGGTAATAACACCATCCATAACAACGGTTGCATCAACATCAGTTGGAGATTTCCGACAGAGGGCACAATCTTGGTGTGCGTGTACAAGGCAACAGTTAAAAGGCACAAAAACATCACAGTGTAGCACAAAACAAAAGGAGGAGAGTAGGTGGGCAGAGGGGTGAAAAGCTGGGCAAAAGGAGGGTTGGAGTGGGATGGGACAGGGTAGAGGACTGGAATGTCACTATCGCTCCGCCTTCTTGGCCGGCACAAAGGGCTTTCGATTAATCGACCACCTCTGTCTGTCCGACCCATTGCACTTCTCCATGGTGATCACCTTTCCGTCACCGCTAATAGTCATGCAGAGGCCACTCTGTTTTATCTCATCAGTCTGCAGCAGTAGGGGAAAAGAACAAGATGATCTTCATCTTTTTTATGGCATTAAACATTCAATAACAGTATCATTCAGTTAAGTGGCAAATAATTTATCAAGTGTCCATTGGCATCATTACTTATCAGTTTCATACAAGACCTCTGAAAGGGCCTAAACACTGAATGCCACAGAAAAATCCAGAGCAACGCCAGCAGACTACGTTGATGCATTCGCGCACAAAGTTCTTTTCTCATTCTAATAGAAACGGCTTGGAGACAGGCAACTGAAAAGGTGGCCTTAGCACCGGAGCAACTTGAAGACAGATACTGACGACTTACCTCCGTGTATTCAAAGTGTTGATTGCCCCCTTGTGAGTGACAGTTACTGATAGTGATGTATGGTGGCTCGAACCCAGAATCCAGACAATAATCGTCCCGTCGAATTTCATTTGTCTTACTCACTAACCAGAACTAGAAGGATGGGAAATGTAGGTTAGTTGACACAAATATTCGATTAAAGATTAAAAGCAGCAAAGTAACTCGTCCGACTTCAAAAGTTGGAACTTTTGGAAGAAAATGGTATCAGGTATGAAACAATATGGGTCATTAAACAATATTCAGAATTATTAACTTTCACAACATTGTTAACTACTTTTATTTGAATGCTACGAATCAAATGAAAAAAAGTGCCCTGCGAAACTAGGATTCAATGACCGAACGAGAATTTTGTCACATCCCAGGACATTGGTAGAATTTTAAATAGCAAAACACTGACTAGGGCTTTCTGTATGATTGCGGGCCAGCCTTTATGCCAAGACAAAGTATGCCCAGAGACATAACACATCGATCGTTCCACGGTCTACCAGCTAATCAAACTAGAGCCCATAAAATCTCATCCTTTGAATGACCAGTGATAGTGTTGATGGGCATGTACATGTTTAGTTCAACTTTACACATTGCCTATGACTAGAATGAATATTTGTGGTAAAAGATGTCTAGCCGTGGTGGCATGGGTCTAAAACGGGATCTTTGAGGCGTGGGGAACAGTGAAAGGGTGAATTGATGGGAAAATTAGAAATTTACCTGGTTCCCACCCTGGTTGTGACAGGGGTAGCCGACCAACTTGATCTTCTCCTTGTCGTGCGTTGGTGCGTCCACGCAGTGCTGGGTCAGGACGTTCCGAATCTGTTGAAATAATAGGTTAAAAACGCATGCAGAGGGCTTGGTATTATTTGTTTAAAGAAGATAAGTAACGTATGATCTCGCAACTTCAAGCAATCAAGGACAGTTTGAGAACTCACCTCACCGGAAGCAATTGAATCACCTGGAATAAACAATTCCGGATAAATGTTGTCAATGTACCACTTGAAGGACTTGCATTTTAAATCCTTCAATATCTTCTTCCGATCCGAAACATCGCCCATCTCGGACTGAGAAAAACGAATTACACATCATCGTTAGCGAGCAAGAGTCAATTTCCTTATAACCCCAAAACTTTTCTTGATAGTTTTTTAAAAAACCAAGAGGCAAATGTTCCAGAGGAAATAAAAGATGTAGGGTATGTGAACAAAAAGGCGATTATTTGAAAAAAATCTTTCCGGGATTGTGAACTTCATATGGACTCACCAAGCCTTTTTACAAAAGATACATGCAAGTCCTCTCCCCTGCACAACATCGGCGTCCGTCAAATACCCGGCTTACAAAGGTTACACAAGCTAGTAATAATAATTATTGAATAATACTAAAATTAAGAACAAATTTACTGCGCTACAGGAAGCAGAGTCAGCTCGGAACATCAGCAGGCCATGTCAGAAAACACCTCAATGTTAGTTACTTTGGTAAAAGAACCCAAAGCTGGAAGTGGCATAAGAATAATTTTAGTCATAATAAATGCAGTGTAGAGTGGTGCAAGGCACCAGTGGAGGCGAGGGAATTTTTTGTTCGAAATCGAGGCCCCGAGAGAGTTTCCATTGGAGGACTGATAACAAAAAGAACTCATCACTAATCAAGGAGGAATAAGCGCCGAGGGTTGAAGAGAAAAATGTGGGCAGCAACTTCTCGATATTTCAGAGCGCTGTTGAGCGCGTGGCCTCTTGCCATTCTGTGACTTTTCATGCGGACAATTATTAACCATAGCAACTTCTCGATCTCCGTTCGCTTGGGGTGAGGTTCAATTTCACCCGAATGCACCGTATGCAGCATTAAGATTTGAGCCGGTTGATCAATCCTCCGGCAATGATTACTTTAGATTCCACGAAACGGGTTAAGATAAAATAAAAGCAATGGCATAAGTGAAGTGAAGGCAGGAATACAGTGAGTTGGTAATTGAATATTCACAGCCTTGTTCACACGTAGTAAGCAGTAACACGGGAAGTGAGAGTAGCTTCAGGGATTAAGGCGATGTGAAAAATGCCTCCATATTATTTTACGACCACCTCAAACAACGGGGAAAGCAACTTACTTTATCAACATTCTAAAGCCAAGAAAAGCACGTCTCAATATAGGCGTCCTCGTCACTACTCACAATGACATGTCACGTTGTCTCAGGACTTGGTTGTCCCTGCAGACTAGATTGGATCAACATCCAAATCATGTAAAATAAGGACGAGTTATTTTGTGCTGAATAGTTTCTTTTTTAAAATGGACTCACCTCCCGATAGTTGACACGAGAGAAGTAGTACTGCTTGAATTCGTCCCCAAGGATAACCTCCGCGAGACGTAGGAGGTTGTGCTTCAGAGGATTAGCTTGCTTTACTTTCCAAGAGTAGGGCGAGCGAGTACGAAAGATATGACCAACGTGACTGCAGGGAATCGTCTCTAGTTGCCCCCCGCACATCCACGTCTAGATGACATACACACAGATACATCCATACAGACACGTACAATACGGCAACAAAATACCAGAGCGGCTGATAAAGAACCTCAAAATATTACAACCACCTTATTTAACAACTTCTTTTTATAAGAAACAGGTCTTCACCTAAAAACACGAAGTATCACCCTTTTTAGTGTTAACATTAGAAGAAGTCAGCCATATGGGGAACCGATTCAGTAGGAGATACGTGATTCTTATCATTTGATGGGTGAAAAAAAAAGGGACCAGATAAATTAGCCTGAAACAGGGTTGATAAAAGTCAGGTGTGTGTTTGTAAAATGCGAAGAGGTGGAAGAAAGAAGGATGGAGGGAGGTGGATCCTACCTTGAAGGAGAGCTCAAGATTCTCCGCTCCCCAGACCTCATAGCCCGGGTCATACCAGCCCAGCTTCGCGAAGAAAGCAGTAGAAATGGCAAACAAGCCGCCAGCCATAGTGGGAGTTCTGCGACACAACGACAACACAATCGGGCTCAATGATAATCAAAGCCATGGTTTGCTTGCATTTAAATAAATTCCACAGTGAACAGAGATAACAGTCAACCGATGAATCCATTACAGGTGAATAAGAGAGCAAAAATGTACCAACTATTTGTGAAATTACAACTTCACTCACAGAGCAACAGCACTTATGTCAATTTCGCATAACAAACACTTCCTATAAATGACTTACGACTTTCAGGTGGAAACGGCAACAATACCTCACTGGCGCTCTAATCGCTAAAAGTAATAGCGTGGGCGATGATAGCCACAAAGAATGTCAAATTTCTGTCAATTTCCACCAAAAATCATCAATTTTATAGACATCAGTTAAAGAGCGGTCTTTCAGTAGAAAAAGTAGGCGAGCCCCAAATTGAGCTTTTGGTAATATTGGGAGGTTTTATGCGTCCAGAAAACTACTCAGAATCGACAAAAAAACGATCAAACACAACACTGATAGGTACGTGTATGCTCTGATTTACGCAAAAGTGGTTTGTTAATTTAACTTTCCATGAAGTACAAATACCGTGGCACGCATGGATTGCAATCGTGCTCACTCTTGCCATCCCCAAAGCAAGCCAACCGGAATTCACATGCCGAAAAGTGGAAACAAATGTCGCAAAATTCTTTTCAGCAATATTTTTGTGGCATCAAGTGTTGTATAATTATCAGGGGAATAGAGCTTCTGATTATTATATAGGGTATAAATAACAAGTCTAAGCTAATATGGAGGTTCGGTTAGAAGTCGACTAAACTAATTCAATTTTACGTTATGATGATGAGCAACGAAACTGACAAACAAATAGCGGATTGGAGCTGTGAAAAAGGCGTGTGATATTCAACGGTATCATATTAAATCGAGAAGGCAATCATCATCGCTCCCAAATACACAGAAGGAGGAACAAAAAGTGTGTGCGACGAAAAGACAACGCCTGAACGATTTTCAGTAAGCAAATCAACACCGTCATAATACTGATTTCATCACCCAGAAGCAAACATTTACAAAAAAACAAAGCACTAGCTTTGAAAGTCCGGGTTATTTTCTTCCTTGCCAAAAACGATACTTGATTTGAAATTGGAGCAAAATTTTGGGTTTAGACAAGACCAATACTAAGGCTTGCACTTCACTGATCCTAGAAGGCATATGCACCACTGGACATTTCCTCCGCTCTACTTTTATGATGAACAAACTACTGAGTACCTACCAGAAGCGCGATCCAGAGAAATGACGCAGTCGCTATGAGGAAGTTCTCAAGTAGTAGTAGTAGTAGTAGATGAACAACCATTTCGCCTATTCTTCGTCCCTTCAACTGTCATTTATGCAGCATACACTCATTAGTTCATTCGCTCGCTAATGGAAAAAAATAAATCCAAACACACACACACACACACGTGCAGTGTTAATACCAAATTCCCTGAATTGTGCAGAGGGAGGCGAGTTAGGCTGCATTGAAGCACGGAGAGGGAGACCTACCGAACGGGCGAGTTGGGAGCACCTGGTCGGTTGGCGTCACGCGGCGGGATGGGGTGCCAACGGAAGATGAGGCCCCAGTCAAAGCCACCCACCTGAATGCTCTTTGATGGGGCGTGGTTGTACTGCAGCGTCTCAAAGCTGATGACGTCTATTACCGGCACCACTACATTGGTATTGTTCTCTGCTATCCTGTCCAACAGAGGCTCGAGCCAACCTTGGGTGGGGGTGCAAGAAAAAAGGACGTCAGCTCAATATCCATTTTCAAAACTGCATGATAATAAGAACAAGTAGACTGAATCTTTCCGTCAAAACCTCCTTTTTTGAATCTTTGCCCTACCCGTAAGACAAACACTTTAAGAGGGGTAGCTACACAGTTAGGCAGCTAATAACAACGATCAGTGGGACCACATAAAATAGGAAGATTAGGCGCAGTTTGGAGTAGTTAGACTGACACCTTATCTCGCGTAAAATAGATCTGTTTCCTATTCAGCACTCGTGGCCGTGCAGCATAGATGTGTGGAATATTCCTATAGGCATTTTTTTGCGTACAGCCGCAAAAAATAACCACCTACGTGGCAAAATAGCACCACAGCAGGTTTGCTACCTCAAGACGGGATCCTTTGCGCAACCAATGGGGGAACAACGAACAGTCAAAACAGTCGAGAGAAAGGGATTTTGGTCAGTGAATCAATTTCTCGTGATATTGTATGCGCGGGAAAGAAATCAAGGTTTCGCAAATTTATATTAAAAGTCAACAATGAGCATTGACAATGATGAAAAGGGTTTTTATAGGATCTATTCATTTAAAGCTTCACGGCGCCTCTAAAAGCATTTTTTTTGAAAAGCAGTGGGATAATTCGGTAAATAGAGAAAAAAACTAAACACAAGAATTGTGATAACTTCCTGATTCCCATAGCGACAGATTGGAAGGTAAAAAGGACAAATTAACTTGAGTATTGCGCAGATAACAAGCCACTAGTGGATTGGATTGAGAGGTCCGGACAGAGTGCAAAAAAAAGACTTGTGAATACAAAAGCAGGATTTCATTCGAAAAATAATTGGATACAAGACAATCCCAAGTCTCTATTGCGAAATTTCACATGTAAATAGTGGCATCAGACGAGACCTTTATGATGCAATTTTATTACAAGACCGCATGTCTGAAAACCGTCGAGTTGGTGGGTGGTGATGGAGTTGAGCACGACACATCTCACCAAAAGGGCACCCAAAACAACTGTTAGTGCCATTGATGGGGCGAGAGGGCAGAAACTTGGTCTGCTTCTGCCTCCTCCCGTCGTAGCTTCAAGACGACAACACATTGAAGGCTCACTAAACGAGGTGGAGTGAACGCCAGAAACAACGAGGGTTTGACAACAAAGCACGCACTTTGCCGCCTTAGACGCGCTGCGCAAGCGTCTAAAATGGCATTTGAAATCACGTGTTACGCTGGTATCCAGGACTAAATTCGACTTTTTAGAAGTCGTCGAAGATTGGTACTAGGTTCCTCAGATTAAACCGAAATATGGTAGTGAGGCACAGAACAGAACGTTATGATATACTAAAAACATATCTTTTTAAGAAAAAGTGGATTCCCATGACCTTGAGTAAATTTTTTGGAAGAAGTAAAGTAAGCCAGGAGATGATCATTAGCTCATTCTTTTATTTCGATCACAGCAATAAGTTTCTTACGGTGGTGTTCCTTTTTACAAAGACCCCAAAAATTCAAGGATGACTCTAAAATTCAACTCTGAACTTGATAGTGAAATTCTAAAGCAACCAACCATGCCGTGATTAGCTACTACAATTTCTTCAAATGTGTAAAGTCTGTAGAAGCATACCTACAAGAACTAATGCCAGATTTGTTTCTCAAATTTATTTACTTCATGAGAAATAGGACTAGCTGACCATTGGATTAATTATTTGCCGCAAAAGCGATCAAAGTGACATTCGATAAACATGAGTCCACCACCTTAAGGCTGTTAACGACTCCTTAAGAATGCCATTTTGGAGTTTAACTTACGGATAAAGGAAGACGGCAACCTACCTTAGTCTAGTGTACACACAGTAGCAGCTCTTAAAGCCAGAGTTCGACGAGTTTCCCGAGTTACCTTCTACAGGTGAGGGTTGAATGACTCCGATGAGCAATAATAAGAGAGGTCTTTCAGGTGCCAGAAGAGGACAATCTTAATTAAACGCCATGGTGGGCTAACTTGTAGGTACGCTGGTTTTCTGCGTTTACGGCCTCGACGTATAGTGGCAACTAGTCATGATGTGTACGTGCCTTTAAACTCTTTGGGTGAAACCCAGGAGGACCTGGGTAAGCCCATGAAGGCAGCATTTTACTAAACCATCCAAACTAAACAATTCGTTTTTTAGCTTTACAAATCTTGAGCACTATAATGATATGGTATTTGATAAAATTGATGCCCGTCCATCGGTGGTAGCCAACGATACAAAAAGGTATTCATTGAAAAGCAAGGTATTAATAAATTAAAAGAAGGTAGTAAAAACATCGCATTTAACACATCATACTTGTTGTCATAATAACTTATTTAGAAGCTAAGCAGGTAAGTAAAGATGGCAAGTAATTGTAGAGGAGATACATCCGAATTCACAATTTAAAAATAAAAACTAGAAGTGAAAATATGTTCAGTTTCACGGCTGTACGATCTCTTAGCCTTAATCACGAAACGAATTTCAAGATAAAATTGGGTCGATTGCATGTTGCAGACCTCTAAGTGAAACATTACACGAACATCTACACCGGTGCTGGAATACAGAGCAGTCTGGCGAAGGATGGACGGTGCAGACATATTCAATTCTCAGTTTGTGGTGAAAGACGTACCTTGTTGTTTTCGTTTTTATGTCTCACAAGTGCCCATGAAGCAAAAAATAGCAACAGCGCATATAAATCTTGGGATCGAGCGCGCAAGAGGTGGCACTGAGTAAATGAACCAGACTGCCCGATACAGCCAATAATACAGATACACGAGACTTAGGTGACAGTACTTTTACGACCAAGAGTTTAGAAACCCCGAAAGCAGTAAAATGTCTTAGCGAAAGAAGCGAATGTGACCTTTGTGGCAGTGTGGAAGTACTAAAGGCTGGCAGGTGCATATGACCCCTCATTAGGTGGCTACGTGCGCACGCATAACCCATATGCAAGGCATGAAGAATTTGCGCGATCGTGGTGCTCAGTCCTTCTCCACCAAAGGATCAGTCCGGGCTCAGACAACTGCCGAAGCATATTACAAAAACGCTGCTCACATGACTTAAATTAGCATGTAGATTAAATAGCTATGGACAAGTTTTGGTGAATGAAAGTGAAAGCAATCTCAATGAGGTATAGGTGTCGAAAAGAAAACAGAGCGGAGATAACTGAAATAGCATAGGGACCAGAAAAAAATTAATGATTTCATTGTGCTTATAATGACTTGTTTCTTAAGTGTGACAAGATGTAGGATCATTTCAATGGGATTGAAAGCAACGAGCCGGTCCAAGCGATGGTGTAAGGGAAGTGACAAAATAGCATTAGGATAGTCGGTGCACAAATTACCGGTGGTACATTCGATATGAGAGTCAAGGAAGATGAGAACCTTGCCAGTGGCAGCTTTGGCGCCAAGCATTCGAGCCCGAATCAAACCCTGGCGCTCCTCTGCCCGGACGATCTTCACCTTCTCCAGACCAGCCATGTACACCGCCAGCGGCTCCTTCAGGTGATCTAGGAGAAAAATAGGTTGACATTGTTTTTCAACATCGTGACCGATGGGATTTGCATCAAGGCGTGAAATTATTAATGTACAACACTGAATTAAATTACATAGCTAAAAATATCTCAGTTACTATAACATTTCGATAAACCAGTATGCGTCACAAGCAGAGAATTTCAAAAATAGTAAGAAATGCTTACACCTCGCAACTTTCAGGATTAGCGCATCTAAGACACCACAACCATGCCAAAACGTGGGGGGGATGTCGAAATCGCTGTTACAATTTACATCCTGTAGGGAAAAAATCGGGTACACGAGGCACCACCTACAGCTACACATACAAAAAGCATTCAGGTTTCAAATGCCACGTAAAGTATGTTTTTTAACAAGCTAACTGTACGTACACTGGTATTAACGAACCTGTTTAACAACCAAACAAGTGAACCCCATAATTTGACTACCGCATGCTGAGCTCAGTTAGGATAGGGAGTAATAGAAATGTCTAAAAGCGAAGTCCAAAGAAACTAATCAAAGGGTTAGTTTCATTGCAGTACGACAGGATAATGCTTGTTTTAATACGATCACTTCGTTCTCCAGCGTATCAGCAGCCACACTGATGGCACGATGATGCTTGATTTATCTACACTAAACCCTCTTCTAGATTCGCGTCTTCAGGAGCACCTCAAGTACCACAGTATTATAGCTTTTGCAATTTGAATAAGTACAAATATCGCCTGGGTAGAGAGAAAAAACTTTCAAAGAGGGGGCATGTAGACAAGCATTTGAGGTGTATAAGCCTCTACAATAAGTTAGACACAAACTGGATTCCTTATGTGTAAGTCTCATAGCCTCTTACTGGGACATCATAACAAGAAGTTTATGAAAATTGACACTTTTGAATAGGTCAAAAATATTTGGACCTAGGAGATAACAAAGCAAAGTGAAGGGGAGGGGGGGGGAGGAGAGAGGAAACCACCTACCCATTGTAGAGGCATCGTCGACCAAAATAACCTCTTTGACAAGTTCCTCCTTCGAGCGATCGAAGATGGAGTGGACGGAGCGTAGAAGGACACTCCAAGCCTCGTTGTGGAAGCAGATGATGATGGAGGCCGGATCGTGATGATGATTATACTTGAAGTCGAGACATCTACGTGGGATGTGCGTCAGTGTAATACCAAGTGTCACATTTTACCAAAGCATGTGGGTATTTGCTAGGCCAATGGTACGAAGTTTAAAGGTTAGCCAAAGCGCACAGCGGTGATCTATGAACTTTTGGTCACAATTCAATGGATCCGTAAAAACTTGGAGACTACACTTTACGTACGCTAACTTGTAAAAGAAAAAGTTACCGTGTCAAATGCAATGTTTTAAACTGTTAGCGCAAAGAAATGGTGCAGAAACTGCAGGGATTTGGTGAAGGTACGAATGGTAAGAGCATGGATGAAATGTTGGTGTCTGGAATCAGAAGGGGAGAGAAGAACTACATATGCTTAAGTAAATACTCACATAGAAAATAAGAGCAGTAAAGAGGGTCTAACTTCCGGAGTTGGGTAGTTTTCTCTTGGCTGAGCAGCTACTCGCCCCAGCTAGCTGCATAGAGAATTCGTATCGGTGACAAAAAATGGGGATGAAAGAGAATTTCCCATTCACGCGACTCATGCATCTTTTAGTTGTGAACACGGAGACAAACCTTCGTAAGCTGCTTCAAGGCAGAGTAGAATGAATTGCCCTACCCATTAGATTACAATGAACTGAGAAATAAAAATGCGGCAAAGGGAGTAACTTTGCAATGAGGTAAGGCTTAAATAATTTCAAAATCCATCGATAACGGTACTGGTCTAAAAAACAACAGTAATTTTACATTAAGGGTATAGAGTAGTCTTGAATGCTGTTGAATGATAAAAAGTTACCAATTGCTGGGGAAAAAACTTGCAAAATGCGCCATACTACGGCTAGTATAAATGATAGTCTCCAAAAAGGGGGTTACACGATTCCGCACACCTACATGTCAAATAGGATAGTAAAAATCAAAGTAACATTTCCATTTATGACAAAGTAGAACTGACAAAAACATGACAATCTTTGCCCCTAAAAAGGCCAAAGTTGCCAAGGGACATTTTGTGACAAACTGGTAGACTAGGCGAGGCGAACATGAAACTGCCCACCATACATTTTTGCCTCAGGGTTTCTCGGGTACAGTAGACAAGGCATACGATTAAGGGACTTCATTACATGACTGATGTCTTTTGGCGACAGACTGTAAAATAGCACATACGATCCACTTTTCGGGATCATCCAAATCTTTTATGGATCGAATCGCATTAAAGAGAACCACCGAGGGTGCTGTGTGCAACACTGACTCGCTGTGACATGTCGGGGAGAACAAAGTATATACACCTTTGGATAGGATAGACACCTTTTACGAAATCTAGCGCATCACAGATACAAAATTTGGAATGTTTTATTGCTTGCAACAAAGACTTGGATGGTAAGTGCTTCTCTGGCTCGCTAGAAAGACAATACAAAATGACAGAGGTAACAGATCCATGTGCGAGTACAAGTTCCGACTTGCAAAGGCTTTAACGGTATGCACCTTATGACAACCGAAAGCAGAAGACAAGCTAAATAGTGGCAACAAGTTGACTAAGAGCAGCAGCCATTGGGTGCAATGTATAAGTTCAGAGATCCCTATAATGCGTCAACTTAGATATGATCGCTGGAGAGACCTGAAGAGTACGGATTTGAAGGAGCAATGAAACGAATACGGTTTGCTGAACTTATATAAAGGGCTGGTGATTAACAGCTCGAGTAAGCCACAATAAGGAAAGGCAAATATAATCCAGCAACAGGACGTCCTGCTTTGATACAAAACCACCCACTTAAAATAAGCTCATAAATACATGGGGGTGATCTTGTTGTTGCATGGTAAGCTTTAAAATAAGCCCTTTTAATCAGAAGCTGCTTTAGCCTCCCTGACGATGTATCACTTATCTTTCTGCCTGGTGAGTGCCTGCCTTTCTAGCCTATTTAAAATAATGATTTTTTTGTGTAAAGTGGGCCATTTTTTAAACCAAGTACGAAAGGGAATTCAAATTTAACATCCTCACCACAACTAAGCAATCGAGCGAAGACCCAATTTATTTGGTGCAGATTTAAGGCAGTAAAAAGTTGTGCATAAGATCAAAAAGGGGTCCAGAGAGTGTCAAATATCCTTAAAATCCTTTGACTGACAAGTTTGATGAAAGTGACAGGTCTAATGTAGCGCAAAATTCTAGATCGCAGCAATTGGGCTGTTCATGAGGACGCGTGAAACGAAGTTGGGACTTCTAAATCGACACAAACGTTGCAAGGGGACAAATGCCTCTAAATAGACGATTAAAAAAACTAAACAGCCTTAGCACCGTATCGCTGGACCGGGGGAGTATTAGTGTCAGTTATAAAGCTTAGCAACTGAAATTCGCAGAGGTCCAGTTACCCATGCCAGGATTTTACCTTATAAAGGCCCTTTTGTGGATAAATAGACCAGCCAAGATGGGTCGTGAAAAGTAAGACCATTGTTGCATGAAATGAACTTAATTTCGCCACAATAATTCTTCATAGAGTTCCGATTCTTGGCAGCGTGTGACTGTGTTTATTCAACTCAACCTATTTGCTAGCGCGACCACAGCATAACCTAACAAACACAACAGGTTGCAGGTTGTACATTGTAATTGATTAATTGTAATAACATACAAATTACATACGATCTAAATGGGAAAATTTGTAGTTTCATTTTCATGAGTTTAACTATAAGCTTGAAGGTCTGAATGAAGTCGCTGCAAGGAAGGTGAACCATTTTTAGGGTAGGCATTTCCATGTGGAAGAAGAAAATAATGTGTCTGGACCAACGAGCCAGGAATAACCATAAATATAGATTTAAACTGTTGTATCGGCACCTAGTCTCCTCCGTGGGAAGCCAAAGCAACAATCCACGTGGCACCGCTGAGTGCAGGGTCGCCAATGCGCTTCCGTACTGTCGGTGGAAGGAGAGTGCACACTAACTCTTTCTCGATTTTCTTCCAATTTTTAGATCGAGGTGGATTACCTCCCGACTTCTAGAACTAAATCTATACTACGCATATTTGTCTGCAGCGCACAAAAGCCTTGAAGCGAGGTGAGAGGAAAAAATGGCTTAGGAGGTGAAGAATTTTCTAGAAAAGCCCATCCACAGGTGAATGTTATTAAGAGACGCTGAATGCGCGTCACAAACGCACACGCCTGCACAAATACACATACACACACATACACTAACCTAGAGACATTGTATTTGGGAGCCTATTTAACGTCCATGTTCATGATTTATTGGGGTATGTAATGGGGGTGTGTTCACACAACAGACCTGTCCAAAAGAACGAAACAGGACCCGACGTTGATGGTAGTAACTATGATATCTAGAGCGATAGAACACAGAGTCTCGGCTCTGGTCTGTCGGTGTGCACAGCTATAAATCAGTCTGTTGAAATGGCAGCGCACTGATGCATATACAGACGTGCACAATGGAGATGAACTCACGCGACGTGCCTTCCGAGGTCAGCTTTGAGTCCCCTTAGCAGAGGGTTTAAGGCAATCTGATGGGTGCCTGCACTACGGCATTTGTCTGGATATAAATACCCACCTCAAACTTATACTACTTATTTCACACTACCACTTATGTTGCAAGAAATCGCCCAACAGAATTCAACAGTCACATTGGAATGTCTATTAACGTTACACCTGAGAAGAACCTGTTCTAGAGGGCACCAAGCATGGCAGAACGCGCAAACAGCTAGGTCCTCTATTAATAATAGTTAAAGCGATACCGTTGCGTTCAATTCCGTCGAAATTAGACTTCCGTCATAGCGGAGGGGAGGAGCAGTCGAGATGACGACACAAAAAAGCTATCAATATTCAACAAGTAAATTGCAGGAAAAGAGTATTAACAGCGATTAGATAAAAAAATAGAGACAAAGATGAGCACTCACTGGGATTCCCGCATATCAGGGAGATAGCGCCGGACACTAATCATGCTGCTGGCGTATTCGTTGAATGCATTATTCTTCTCCCCCTCCTCAAACTTTGCTTGTTCTACTGGAGGGAGGCCTTCCTTTTTTATCACCACCGCTTTGCCACCCTCGCCTGAAAATAAGAGAAATAGAAGCAAATAAATTGCCAGTGAATCTAAGGATGTGGCAAGGTAAACGGAACTTGCAACTAAAACTTCACTTTTGAGTGAAACATTTTTATGAAAGCTCTGAACACACACCTAAGGTGTGCAGAGCAGGTATCGAAAATGTAGCATAATTCAATTTATTTGCGAGGAGCTGCTTGAGTAAATTGAGGAAGCTAAGTAACTTATAACTGGCACATTATTCGGAAATGTGTAGGCCTTTTCCACCAATACAAATAGAGTTGACAGGCATAGCAATGGCAACTGGTGAACGAAATGAAACAACGAGATACAAGTCAAAATTCGGCCTCGGGGTAAAACTACCTATCTTGCTTTCGATGAAAAAATAAGTGATAAGACAAATAAATACGAGATTCGCACAATAAATTCGATTTAAAAATAAACTAGGAAGGGACCTGAATATCCAACAAACGAAAGAAGTCCGGTGGAACCTCCTAATCACACACAATATTCTGGAGTATAATGCAAAATACACGCTTACATGTGAGTTTTGAGTTTGTTTTCATGAGTGCAAATATAACATACAATGATTGTGTGCAGATGGAAAGGCCGATTCTCAATTGGTGCAATTTCACAATCTGGTCTGCTCTAGAAATGTATATAGGCCAAGAAAACTGTTAGCTGGTGAATACAAATTCAAAGCACTTTTTCGCTAAAAGTACAGTGCCAGAAGTAGGAAGAAGCACCCATTCAATTTTACTACAAAGCAAATTTGGCGTCATCGTTCAAAATGGGGTAAATAAGGGCTACACGATCACCAATTTATTTGAGGATTAACATAATTCCTTAAAGCGCTATCAAACAATTACCAAAAATATGAGTGAAATCAGGAAATGCATTAGTTACGGCATACCTTTTATGAAGCCAACTTTCGGAGAATACACAGGACGAAAAGTTACATAAGATTGAAAATACAACACATAACGCATGTTCTTCAGTTCGAAAGAGGAAGAAAGGTAACAGTGGATGCAGAGAGCAAACGGCAGTCCAAGCATATAACAGAAATCTTGAGCAAAAGCTGGGTTGATTTACAAACCTTCAGTAAAGGCAAGGTTGAATATTACACTGACCTTAGCATCTGGAAGGTTTTTTGTCAGAAAGCCTCCATTCATTTACACTGAACAGTTTTATAAACTAACAAAATTTTGCTCTTGATAAAATTTTAAACGATGCAACAAAAAATATAATCAAGCTAGATTCAAGCGCCAGAGTTTGCTAGAAAATACGCTAGTTGGACTAAGGCTACGGATTTCCAGTGAAACCAATCAAATTCAGACCGGAAGGCGGTGTTTTATATTTCCTGATCATTATTTCACTTGATCTATAATCGGTCGCAATTGCTTAGTTGAAGTAATTAGGGGACATATTGGGCAAACTCGCCACGTCACAAAAATAAGATTAACTTTGTGAATTCTCTTTGGATAAGAGATCCTTTCCAAACCACTCCGATATGGCACTGAAGGGGATCATTAGTGCTGGTTACCCTGTGACTGTACTTGTCAAACTACCAAAATCAGTCTCTGACATGAGTACGATTAATACTCTTAGATATGCAAACGCACCTATTGATATGAATTCCAAATATTGTTAATGTTTACTTGTCTGCTTCAAATTGTTCAACTATTGAGGAAAATGCTGTATATAATGACAGTTAGAAGTGCATTACCAGGGCCCTTTGAGTAAACTGTTGATTTTTCTGGAGGCCTCCTTGGAATCAAATGGAAGGGAATTCCTTCATCATCGCCAGGACCTTGAGGAAGATTTTTCCCAGGTTCCATAGGTAGATTATTTTGTGGCGGATTTACAAAGGGTCCATTGGGTGGTACAAGATTGGCGGCTTGCTGCTTTTCATCTTCAGCAGCAGCTTCATGAATGGAGTCGAGGGCATTCTGAGCAACCCGCGCATTGTCGGGAAGAGCGCCCGGAACCAGAGCGCCAAAATGGTTATTTTCAAGGTGTTTCTGCACTGCACCAGGCTGGTGAGGGCCCTGAAGTGAATCGATGAAATCCAGAGGGATTTTAACACGAGGACCGTGGGCGGGGGAATCCGCTGCACTATCCGCAGTAAGAAGAGGATGGATCTGGACAGGTGAGTGATAACTTTGGAGAAAATAGAACACAACTATAAACACAAAGAGGCCACCAAAAATTATCACTTTCCTTGATCGTCGAAAAAACACCGTCCGCATGCTACCCTCCTTGAACAATGAGCTGAAATAAATAGCTGATAAGAGTGAGGCAAAGGAAAACCCCATATTCAGCATTTAGATAAAATATTGAATCGGACTAGTAAGATAAATAACTTGCAACTACGTAAATTTGGCAGGTGGTACTTTGAAAATTAAGTCTCTTCGCTAGAACAAGTAGATTATGCACCATCCCCTGCAACTTAGAGCCTAATCATAAGCCCGCACATTTTTGAACATGAGCTGTAGTTAGTCAAGTACTGCTAATACTGAAGCAACCCTTGCATAAAAACGCTCGTAATTAATGGATTGGCACTGAAGTATGGCAAGTGTCGATTTAAATCAGAATCTATGAAACAGTAACAGCAAAATCAAAATATTGCAGCCATGAGGACATTTTGTGCTCAATGAACACGGCAAAAGACAAGATATTGACAGACCGAGAGATAATTCCCAGTTTTGGCTTAAGTCTAACTGTTTTAAAGAAAATATCAGACAGGAGATGACGACTCATTGAACTTGAAGAACAATAGAAGTGAGAGGAAGTGAGCTTTTCAGACGCATTTTGTGAGGAAAAGGACTCACATTTAAGGCACCAAGGTGGGGTGAGAAACAACGGCTACACACGGTTTCGTGCGTGTAGGCAATGAGAGTGAGTAACGACCTTTAGGGACGACCTTTGTATAATAAAACAATCTATTGAAGGTCTAAAAAAAGGAACAAAAAATTAAATTTAGGGTGATAAATACTTTTGTGAACTGGCAACAAATTTACACTGCTGACATTAATTGGTTGTGAACTCCTACTGTGAGGAGTAATGTAATTTTTAAAATAAAATGCAGTTTATAGAGTAAAATGCAGTCTATTTATTGTGTAGTTCCAACACACGTAGATGACGATATGCTTTTAGTGCTCCAATACGCGTTTGTTTGAATGTATTTTTGTGTAAGAAGAGGTCGGCATACGCCAACTTCATGGCTTTGCTGACGCAACTGGCTCCTGAGTGGGAAGCTTACTCTTGCCCTATCTAGCCTTGATTTCATGTACCCCTTCAGAAGTCTTGTCAAATAGAGAGTGTTTTTCTCTATCGAGTCGCCGTATCACGGTTATAAAAAAGGTGGAAGGTGCAGTGCATCTAGTGTTCGCATCTTGCGTAATGCAGCAAAGTTGATGCGTGTTAACAAACCAAAAGCATCAGTGGTAAACATGACTCAAAATAATGTTGTAGTTATTTTGTAAAATGCTAGGAGTTCACCTAGAAAACAAAGTGGGGCGACTTCAGGTGGGGACTAATATCTGTCAATATTGATGTTCCACTCTAGTTGATCCCTAGGCGGAGGAAGAAATCTTGGGAAGACCGTGTAATGTACGCATCCCTCGAGCCGATGTGACGGCACTTACCGTCAATTGTAAAAGTGTGGTTTATTAAACCAGCCCTATTCATATGAACGTCCCTACTTCTGTGAATAAGGATGAGGACAGGGTAAAGGCCGTTGTATGTTTGTTTCACCCCTCTCTTTAAGGAACAGGATAGTGGCAGTAACCAACATTATCACTATTCTCTGAAGAACAATCATAATTTTTAACGGCAATACATCAACTCTCTGGCGTTTATGAGTTGCATTTTGTGTTATCAAAGCACAATGCCATTTCTGCATAAGACTTCTAGCATGGAAAGCACAAAGGCCAAACTGAGAGTGCGCTGTAAAAAGGCATAATCCATTCTGTTGTGAAACATTACGTCAACTAGTAATGGGCATTAGGAGGAATGTTACATAAATCGTTACCATGGCTACAAATGTATAGGTAACCTGATGTCACTAATGCTGCCAGAACTGTTTCATAGGGAAGGTTGAAGTCTCCTTCATTTTGTTTTATTTAGCTTTCTCCTGTGAATTCATCGCTTTGCTGATGCAATGGTACCCTGTAAAGACCTTGTTGATACCCATGCAAAAAAATAAGGGGTGCTAAAACCCTAATCCAAACTTTTTCCTAGGGTGTCACGCACAAAGTGATTCACTTCGCCCCGAGGTATTGGACTCCCAAACGATGCGCCTTACCTGAGCGATAGAGTCGCATAGACGCGCAATTACTTACATGTAGGCCAGTGTGCCCTAACAACGAATATTTGGTTACGAAATCCCTGCATACAAACAGTTAAAATGTTGCATCAGTTAGAATGCTTTGTAAAATCGAAAAAGGATGGGTTTTTTAGCGGTTGTAAGTGATGCCCTCCTGTCTGCCTTTTCAATCGTGCAAGTTTAAACTAGGTCAGGGCCTAAGAAATACAGGAAACACATTCCTTTCAAATAAGTTTATCACAGATCGTTCAGACAATAAATGCAAATTAGTGAACTGATAGGCGTGGCCTCCAAATTTTAGCTGTATCAACGTGTCAAGTTTGTTTACGAGGAAAAGGGTCGTGACTGTGGCCTAGTAAGCAGGCTGAACGGCCTCGCTGCTGTGTGGGCAGACACATAAAAGGGGTCGCTCAACGCACTCAATGTGTATATACAATCTGCATCCGGCCTGTGGTTCTAGTAAATAATTGCAGGTCTTACTGTGAAGGTGAGTGATCGGAGCGATCCAACTACGCTTTCTATTGCTGATAGCGAACAGGACAAAACCAGAAATGATGATGCGATCTATTTGAATTTATTCATACGGAGTATCTGGTATTGTAAATTCTAGTTTAAAAGAACTTTTCTAAAAAAAAGTTTGGTGGTGTTTTAAAGGTTGAAATAACTCGTCATTTAGTTCCCTTTTTGATGATACTATTTTCTTAAGCATTTTGAAATCCACTAGAAACTGCCCAATTGTGGGATATTATTTTCAGGGTAGTTTTCTAAGTATCAGCATTCATTGTATATCCTTTTAACCCCGAAAAAAGCCGGTTTTAGTTCCGGATAGGATATCTAAGATTTATTACTAGAAATTTATTATCATTTGCTTTTCTAACTATCCTGTTTGGTAGTTCGCAAAAATTTCTAAAATTTGCTGAAGCAACAGCGTCTGTGAGTGCGGAGGTGTTTAAAAAAACTACTTGGGCATGATACAAGCAGCCACCGCACCTGAATAATGCCTCCAACAAAAAGCACCTTGACGATCTGGCGGATAGTCTTGACAGTGCACAATTCCACGTTGGGTTGTATTATAATGATTAAGGAATACAGTGATAACCCAACTATTGTATGTAGTCTCGAGTGAAGTTATTTCAGCATGCTGAAATGCACAGAAGTTAATGCAGTTCTTGATTTCCTTCTGTCTATTTAAGCAGTAAAATGATTGGACTCGGTCGCCTTTCTACGTCCCTGGCACGAGGACTGACCGCTGCGTACCGTTGCCAGCACCATCTTGCGCTTAAACTGTCTACCGCTGCATCACCTTTCGTGTGTGTCTCAGAAGAGGTGCAGGAGGCGCTGGCGAATAGACGAGGAGTGGTGGCGCTAGAGAGCACTATATTAACTCACGGCCTTCCCGCCGACCGCGCCCACCGCCTAGGCGTGGACGTGGAGGCGGCAGTACGCACTCACGGGGCCGTGCCGGCCACTGTCGCTATCTTCGACGGATGCCTCCATGTCGGACTGGCCCGATCCGATCTTGATCGTCTTATCGACGCGGCTAGCCAGGGCAACGCCCGAAAGGCTGCCATTCGCGATCTGCCTTTCGCACTAACCTGCTCGGACCCCAGTCGCGTCTTCGGCACCACCGTCTCCTCCACCTCCTTTGCCGCCCATTTCGCTGGCATTCATGTGTTTGCCACTGGCGGCACTGGCGGCGTGCATCTCGGTGCAGAGGTCAGCATGGACGTCTCCTCGGATCTGCTGACTCTCGAGTCAATCCCTATTGCAGTTGTCTCCGCCGGTGTTAAGTCCATTCTCGACATTCCGAAAACACTTGAGGTGCTAGAATCAAGGGGTGTGACTGTAGCCAGTGTTGGAACAGACATCTTTCCTGCCTTCTTTACGAGGAACTCCGGTGTCACGTCACCTGGAAGAGTTGATAGCCCTGAAGAAGCTGCACGACTCTTTGCTACAAGCCTTGCTATACGACCTTCATCAGGAATGTTACTTGCCGTTCCGATCCCCGAGCACATGCAAGCTGTCGGTGAAACAGTAGCCAGAGCAATTGAGAAGGCTCATAAGGAGGCTGAGCAGGCTAACATTACTGGCTCCAATGTAACACCTTTCATGCTAGAAAGAGTTAGACAGCTTACCGATGATGCGTCTCTGGAGGCAAATATTCGTCTCGTCCTCAATAATGCCAAATTTGCTGCCCAGACCGCCGTCAACCTCGCCGTTCACATGAACGCACTCAGTGGCAGAAATGCACCTGTTGGAAACCCAGAAATTGTAGTTGTTGGTGGCTCCAATGTGGACATGACAGTCAAGTTGCGACCTGAGAAACTAAAAACTACGAAGGACATTTACCCTCCTGCAAGTTATTTGGGAACAGTTGAGGTTCTCGGGGGTGGTGGAGTTGGAAGAAATGTCGCTGATGCGGTGGGGAGACTCTCTTCGTCACACATTTTCCTAACGGCTGTCTCGAATGATGCTGATGGTCAAAGCCTACTTTATAGCCGGCCCTTTATTTCATGGAAAACGGCTCCTATTTTGGAATTTTCTCCACATACAGCAAAATATATAGGAGTGCTGAATTCAACTGGTGAGTTATTGTTTGGAGTTGCAGATATGGACATTCACAAACTGGTGACTCCAGCATTCGTTGAAAGTGAACTCAAAAAGCTGGCACTATCTCACATTAAGGTTATCTGCGCCGACGGAAATGTGGACACGAATACTCTAAAAGTGCTCATCAATATCGCCAAGTTCCACAAGGTTCCATTCTGGTACGAGCCAACAGACCTACATAAGTGTACCAAAATTATTGATGCAATAACTCGGAACCAGCCGATTGATGCGATTTCCCCAAATCTAACTGAGCTCAAAGGTATTTACCTGAAGGTCACCAACAAGCAGTTGCAAATCAATCCCAGCTCCCATCAATCCCTGGTGGAATGTGCCGGTATGATACGTCGAGATTTGATCCCTCTGGCTGCCAACTGGTTTGTAAAAATGGGAAAAGACGGTGTGGTGCTCGTCAATCAAGCAGAAGCGTACCATTTTACATCCCCAGTTGTAAACCAGGCATCCATAGCAAGTGTTTCGGGTGCAGGTGACACTTCTGTAGGTGTTATACTTTATCTTCGATACATGAAAAAGTGGTCGTGGAAGAGAGCCGTCCTGGGAGGATTGAAAGCTGCAGAGCTCTCATTAGCATGCAAAAATCCCGTGCCAGATGCACTTAAGCCGGAACTTTTTGATAATGAAGGAAACTTGAATTTCTGGGCAAAGAAGATTCAAGTGAATGCTTTGTGATGTTGTACACCGACAATCTTTACATTTCTATATAAATGGAATTAAAATTTAGTTAATCTAGGTGCATTTTATGCTATTCTTTAGATTAGGCGTTAATACAACTTTCGTGTGAATAAAACGGGAACACGAATAAGAAACAATCCACAAGATCAAATAAATAAGGTTCACACAAAGCACTCCAACTCTTCCTCAGAGTCGTAATAAGCCAACTTGGCATGAAAGGGCATGCGCTACTTACGTAGGTGGGGTCTGCTCGGAAATTCGACTCGCTGCGACTAAATTGCTTCCTCCAGTAAATACATAATCCCGCAAAATGTCAAATCACTGTACGAAACTTTTGAGCATCGCTTCCGACCGTGGCGGTCATCATGAAGTGGTCGGGGGCTTAAGAATCAATCGCGAACCAGGAACCATAATAGTGAAAGCCATTTGCATAGGAGAAGGCATTTGATTCCTTCTTCACTGATGCATCTCTGCAATTCCGGTGTATCCAAAGCTTTTTGTACTGTATCAGGGAATGGAAATGCATTGAAATCATGCTGTTCAAGATTGGACAATGCTCTATAACGGCAGGAAATCGGCCTAACGACAGAGCCATTTAGTAAAAAACAGGATTTAAAATAGTTTAATGGGGCAAATTTTTCGAATCTATTCCTCCTATCCGCATTGTTCCCATTTCAGTTCTTCCCAGCCATGCATTCTTGACCCATTTTGCTGACAGAGAGGTGGAGGAGGTATCGCTTGTTCACTTAAGCAAACTCTTTATGTAGGTACTGTAGATAGCTCCATATTGGACTTGTCCAAAAAATCCCAATTTTGGTGTCGTTCCAGGTGTTAATATCACTGTTGCAAAACACGGGGTTAGGGTAATTGCCAAAGGTAGGTGACATTTCGCACCTATTAGGAGTCTTAACAGATTCATACGTCTGCTCTAGATGCCCTACCTACGCTTAAGTTTAATGTTCCGACATCAAAATCAAGGTGACTGTGCTTTTGGAACAGGTTGATTTTCCGCCATCACCAACGAAGTGTCCCAAGTCTTCACTAAGGTCGTAGCAAACCAATGAAGAATGCATCACATATCAGTATAGTGTGATGGTGCATGGGCCGGAGGTCATGCTGCAGAGTGGAAGAGCAACCTATCGTCGCGTAGCAGAGTGCACTTCTATCAAAATGTAGAACCATTATAGTTATTGCGCTAAATGCTTATAGACACAAGGTTCATCTGAAGTTAAATACAAGCTTCCAAACTTAGTATCAAGAAACGGCTGTGCAACATTTGCGCCCATTGTGGCGATTGCAAATCAGGTTTGAGTGCATGTTTAAACATGGGGACATTTTAATCTCCACAGATTGTACACGGCCCCTTGTCTATGTCCTCATCCGTTCCAAGTAGTCTTCCTGCTCCTGCTCAATGTATTATCATCCACATTGCATTGGGCCATTACAACCCCATGAGGGGCTCGGGGCACTACACTAAAAAACAACTTACGAAATGCAAAATGAAACATAACAAGCAACTTTCGGAAATTTTTGAATACATTTCATAGCACCCGAGGGCAGGATGCCACCCACGAAGGTACCAATGACGGTTTGTCAGAATTACGTACAGTGGTACTGGGGGAAACATCTATTAACGACGTATGCAAAGATAATAGACCAATACAAACAAACGTTTGGATTATAGGCCGTTAATTATAAGGTTATGAGGGTCAAACATATTATTGTAAAGACGAATAGAATTAAAAAGTGCCTTGCTTAAGGTTTTAAACTTACGATTAATTCCGCATTAAGCAAATAATTTAAAAAAACTTGCGTAACGTTTTTCAGTTATTACACTTCAAAATTACGTAAAAAAGTCACCTTTTTGCACTAAACACGGAGCAAATAAAATCAAAGCAAAATTGCAGTCTTTAGCCCTAACTGTCAGCCAATAATTTCAAGATAATTGTTTAAATTCTCCGGCTGCTCGTGCGTGTGGCGGACTTCTGGACACTTCGCGTGATGTCCCATATTCGCAAGTATTCAGTTTGTGTTGGTCCGGAGCGAGGTTATCGACGAACGAAGAATGTCAAGCGTGTGAAGCCATCAAACTCCAATGGTGTAGGTCCGCGTTTATAAAGGCTTAACTTTGCTATAGCACTCTGGGAAACAATCGAAGTTTATACGGAGCCTCGTTCGTGAAATTGTTGGATTCGCTCCATTTGAGAGACGTGCTTTGGAGTTACTGAAAAACGACAGGGAGAAGCGTGCCTTGAAGTTCCTTAAGACCCGAATTGGCGGACATCGGCGTGGAAAAAAGAAGAGGGAAGAGCTCATGAGTGTGGTGAAGAGTCTTCGTCATAAGTAATTTTTGAAGATAAATCGTTAATGGTTGCAGTACGGTAGACTTGTTTGGTATTTCGTAGCGGTTTGGGGTTTCGTCATGTTTTGTTGGGTTGGTCGTATTTGATGTAAATGAGAGGGATAGTTCCTTCTACTGTCTTCGCTTTCGACATCCCATGTGCGTGCCTATCTGCATCGCATACAGGTTCATTAATCTTTGGGAGGTGGAACAGGTGTTATGTGGCCATGCTTGGAGGGCAACAACCTAATGGAACCTTTTTTGCGGTTGTGGTGGCGAATCAATGAATACGTCACTGTGTTACCCCCGTGCCTATGCTTAACGTGTGCGCTTCCGAGTAGGTTTTTCTATAGTGGGACTTGGGGAGGTCAGTCCTCAGCGGCTTGTGTACTTGAGGAGCGCTCGAGGCCTGGCTTCGAGTACCGGGGCTTGGTGGCACTTAGCGTGTGGATTCCTTCCGTAGTACATGAGGCTCGGTCGCGTCACCGCCAGGTCGTCTCGGCGCTGGGTGTTGGGTGGCTTTGGGATTGGTTACACATTCATAGGCATGTGTGGGGTGCCCGATGCTTGTTTACAAAGGGAGCTTCAATACTGGGGGCTCGTGTCGTATGCGTGCTTGGGTTATAGAGCGGGGGTCCGAGCTCGTGTCGGATCTTAGTCTTTACAGAGTGGGAAGCATTAAGGATGCCTTAGCGTGCAGGGATGTCACGGCAATCTTGACTCAGTTCCTATCCCGATGTGGATAGGATAGATTGACTTGGGGGGTGTGCCGGAGTAGTTGACTGTTGCGCGAGTTTTGTTAGAGCCCGACAGATCTGATATCAGAATTGTGATAACGTGGCCAGGTGGCGTCAGCATACGCGTTTAAGCACAATAGACCAGTAGCTTCTTCGTTTATTTGGGCTAGAATAAAAAAAACACGTAAAGTCCAAGTAAATATTCGCTCAAATTTAATTTGAGTGGTAACACGGTGATGATATCACACCCCACATTCGGTTATTCGCATTTTGGTATCGTATTGTTAGTCTTGAACGTTAATTAAGTGAGGGTTCATGAAGGCCCGCGGCTGAATCATTGTCCCATTGACACTAGACACGGCTTCAGTAAAGATTCTGTGGCTGTTTTTATAATCACATTCTATCCTAAACTAGGAAACTGTATGCATTGCTTTATGTGACCGATTCTTTGCAGTCACGCCCAAGTCTAATTTGACTATTATGTGCTATCAAAAAATTGTTTATTGACGGATGCTTATTGTTTAACCTTGATACTTTATTATGATTCTAGCTAACCAAAAATAATTCTTTCTTTGCTGTGTTTGTTTACAATGGTCTAGAACGGTACATTGACCCGCCCATTGTCCCTTGGAATGGGCGAATACGTGACCCTTTCTTGGCTAAAAAAAGACAATACGAACTGCATGTCAGATCTTTTAGCTAATCCTTTTCTGATTGGATCGACACTACTGCCTACGTGCATTCTGCGCCACATCCTGGCTTGGGGTTGCACGTTAGGGGCGCGCAACCCTAAACCATTGTTATTCACTAGAAATTAGGATTTATCCCATTTTTTCTAACTAATTTTTGAGACAATCTAAGCTCCATGTTTGCCATATTTCACTTCACTGTGTTTCATGTTTGTTGTTCCAAATCCATGCAGTGATATGGACACATTCTTCAAAATGAGACTTATTGGGGCAATAGCCCGCAATAAACCAGTAGAACTATCTGGAATGTGAATTGACGAAGATAGACCCAATCGCAGGCTTACCAGTCTCAAGAGATCTTCCTGCGCCATCAGATACAGACTCCTCTCATCGATGTTATCATTGCATTTAAAAAAAACACCATAGGAAGGTGGATTTAGCGGCGGAATGGAGGACCTAGGACTGATTTAGAAGTTCACTTTAAGGGATCCATTGTCTATGTTCTTCACGATGCGATCTGTGTGTTTATACATTACATGTTTTCGGTTACTAGATATTCGTGATCGAGTAGTCGGTCTCTAAAGTTTTAGTGTACAATAAGATATCAATAGAAAGGCTTTGCTTCATTTGTTTGTAGGGCTTACTTGAGCAAGCAAACCCAAGTATACTTTCTACCCGTCTGTGATTTATTTCAGTTCAGAACGATTGGGAAATTAAAAGGCGAGATAAATTGTCAGTCCTGCAAAAACGTGTCTTGAAAAATATGCAAACCTTTTCCTGCAACTGTGGTGGGATTGCGCAGCTGCTACAATTGTATTGAGACCGTCGCACCTAACCTAAGGCAAGCCTCTGAACTCATGCATTGATAGGTTGATAATAAAGCAATTGCGATTGTACCTGAAGGAAGGATCGCAGGCGGCAAAATCGCAAAACGCCTCAAGAATTGTATTGCGTGGACCGATAAGCCGTAGGCGGGGGATGCGAATGTTCCCTCTTCCGGGAGATGGAGCGGAAAAAGGCCAATTGATTCCTTCTAGGGAAAGGTAACTAAGATTTTCATCAATGATATCTTTACTCGCCTTCACAAGTAATAATTATTCTAGTTTAAATTACTCGCTTTCCAGCTTTTCCACGTTAGTCTTTAGAAATGACTACGGTAGTTTATGCCTTTGGTTTTGGAAGCTAAGTTCAGGAGTCAAATATGCTTGGGCCTCCAGGCATTTGCCTAAGTTTTAAATAAGTAAATGTGCCCATTGGCCGGTGTCAGGCTGAATATGGACGTGAATTTGTTTCTTTCCAGCAATACAAAACGCTTTAAGAGAATCGGGAAAGTAAAGGAATGGGATAATTGGGTGTGTTCCATAAGAACTTTTCGAATGCTTGAGGAAAATTCGCCTCCTCGGAGTATCAATGTCACGATAATCAAGACGAATCACATGATTGCCTCACATGTTACTGATTCGGCATCACACCTACTTTATTTCACCAACAGATGCCCTGAAACATTGGTATTAAGTCGAAAAACTCATGAGCATCAAGTTTGTGCTTCAGCGCCTGCATTATGCTCAAAAAACTTTGTAAAAATCTGCCAAACTAGTTACAGTGGATGTCAAATACAGGTCAGCAAACTGTTGAGACTGAGCACTGTGGGGAGAATAGATACACGAAGCGATTAAAATAGGTGATTTGCCAGCAAACCACTGGGTGGACCAACTGCATACTGCATTTTCCAGCCTGTTAAGAGCAAATCCTGGCGCATTATCCAGAGTACCTTTCGTGATCGTATCACATCTGAACCTCCGGGCTTTATCCTGCCAGTCGGTGTCAAACACGTTTCATCATGGTGACAACAATGAGTGAGTTTTTAAGGCGCACATCGTACCGCGTCTTGTGTGAGGTCGAACTAAGACCATGCATCCTAAATACACTGGCCTATTGGCACCTGGACCATATAAAAGAGCACGAATGGACAAAGATGTCTAGATGACTTTAATGCACAAAAGAGAAACCTTATAAACATGTATGTGGGTAATGTTCCAAGTTGGAACACTGACGGAAAAAGCAATATGACTTCTAAAACAATAACCCAGTAAACTGAGGTCCATAAACACATTATGTGTAATGAGACGGAAAACTCGAGCAGGAGATGCCACCTTCCACACGTTATTTAGCTAAAAAATCAATCATGGACCAAAATGCGTAATACACAATAGTCTACATCTAGGGAATCCAGAGACCTACAAGTGATTTGTTTATGCTACAGTTTGAAAATATTTTAAGCGGTATTCTGTTCCTTGGTCTACGCTAAACACAAAACCCATCACTTATTTACACCTTTATCAAGGAGGCAGCATGGACGAATGAACATATATATTCCCTTTTTTTAAGGGATGAGTTCTGTAATATAATCGTCCATTGAAATGCGAATAGGATGAAATTGCAAGCGTGATGGAATGAGTAAAGTTCAGTGATTGTCTGACGGGCATCAAAATGGGGTGATAATTAAAGGGCTGTCAGACAGGGTAAGATTGCAGGCCTACTGAGTAAGACAAGGTAGCTGAGAGGAAATTTACTGTGAGAGAGCCGTGAAAGTAAGACGAATAAGTGTGAATAATGAGAGTAGAGTGTGTACGTGTGTGAACACCTACAAGGGCACGCGAATATCATTGATGCCACCAAAGCTACTTTTATTGCTACTTAGCATAACGGAGAAGCGAGGACGGCGCGAGCGAGCACCCTGAATCAGTCGGATTTCCTCTAGCGCATCCAACTCCTCCTCATCCTTCTGCTCATTCTGCTGTTGCTCCGTCGTGCGGTCTGCCAGGTTTAGCAGGCCTTCCTGGGCGCCTGTAGCCGCAACCTCATGTGATGAGCCCACGATACGCAGTTTCGAGTGCTCTTCCTCTAGCGTGAAGATATGCATGGTGTTGGTACTACCGCTGGTAGCCACAGAGCCCGTTACTACAATGATGCGATCGCCGCCCTTCACGAGGCCCGTAATGCGCGAGTGCTCGATGGCTGCGTTAATCCGATTGTCTATGTCCAATGCCCAATCGTCTTCGCTCTTTCCTATACGTATTCGTTTGTTTTTGTCCAGCACGGAGAAAAAGGAAATGCAAATGAAACTTGACAACGTAAAGGAAACTCAATCCCTTAGGCTAATTACGAAAAATTCCCTTGTCAGGAGTGTATAAAAAAACCTCCTTTTAGGAAAAAGTCTTACATAACACAACCTAAAGTAAACAACCCACAGACTAAAGCACACTTTTCCGACCTACCAGAACTATTTCGGGTTAAAAAGCAAAGAAATTGGTTACTAATTATGTCGGTGCCCTAAAATAATCACATCTTTTGCTTTTTAGAGGGTCGTAATTGGTTCTACGAAAGGATTTTCTAGTGCAATTAATCAGATTTTGGGATTTCAAATTAAAGTACCCGTGTAAACGTAGCTATGGAGACCGCGATAGGCAAGACAATGACGTGCCACTGACACATCGAGGGTGATGGCGATCACGGAACACGGTGGCCGCAACATCGCAATTGATGTAGCTGATCTATAGAAACGAGGGTATGTAAAAGATAATAGGCGATTGCATTATTTACTTGTAGACAAATAGTCAAAATATTTCGCGAGCATTCAGACCTTAGTTTTAAACAAGTCAAGTATAGAGTAGACAAGCAGATTTTTAGCAAAAAGGACTTACAACCCTGATTTAAAATAATTTTAATATTTCACTACAATAGTACCACAGGAGTGTGATTTATGGTATTGGACAAACACATTCTTCGAAACCTTAAAGGCGCAATGACTAAGAGTGTTAAAATTGAATGAGCTTATGTTGAGCAGACATAAGATTGACTCACGCGCCAGTAGTCGTAATTACGAAAATAGCAGTTGCATTGCAGCTAGCAGCGGCCTCAGCAGCCGAGGCACCAGTAACGCTACGAATATCAAAGGAGCCTTGCTCCATTTGCAGTCGGCATTGCTTCAACTCCTCGCGAGTCTCAAAGTGAAAGACCGCGCGTTCTGCCTCACGGCATATCTGCAGAGGGCAAAGCAACGTGAGACACCTCTTCACCTACCAATCCAGACACTTACATTGTCGACAACGTGGACGGAATCCAGTGCATACATGCCCCACGAAGTCTCCATGGTCAGAACGAGGCCGTCTGCTCCATCTAGAACAGCGTTTGCAATATCCGATGATTCGGCTCGTGTAGGTCTTGGTTTTGAAACCATAGATTCCAACAACTGCTCGATAATAAAAACCGGTTTCTCTGCGATATTGCAATGAGCAACTATGTACTTTTGTAACTTGAATATTTTCTCAGGAGTGTATTGCATGGCCAAGTCACTGCGACGTATGACAAGACCGTCAGAAGCCGCAATCAAATCGTGAAGACTAGAACCAAATTTTATTAAAAAAAATTACTTTTTAATCGTCACCCGTGTTTCTAATTTGGCAAATACTTTTGTTGAGCCAGGCAAATGATTGCGTGCTAGGTGAATCATTATGCTGTCTTCAGCAAAACTAGTAAAAACATAATCGACCTACAAATTATAAAAAGTTAAAACCCACTTCGCACTCAGCCGCGAATTTTAAGTCATTAATGTAATTTAACTGCACCGATTCCTGATACAAACGATCCCTTGGCAAAGTTACGCGTTTATAGCTTCCAATTATACCTAAAAAAATACAAAATGATCTGTACGAGGTACCTCCCTCTTCTACCATGCAATTAACACCATCCAGGCCCACATCCTTCACAATGAGCGACACTTGCCCATCATCAAGATAAACCTTATCGCCCTTGCGCAGACAGTTAATAAGCTGAGGGAAATATTTCGTATTTATAAAAATCATTTCGGGTGTGCATTGAAATTTGTAATGGTCATCCAGAGTCAGCGTTACACGAGCACCCTCTTTCAAATTCGCTTCATAAGAATGACCCTAAACAAAATACTTGAAAATGTTCAAAAAATACCCCTTCAAAAATCCCGGTCCGTACAGGTGCGGCTGTCATATCCATTGCAATGCCCAGAAGACGAGCATAGCCCGATTCCTTCTCAATTTCTCGAGCGTATTGTATAACCTCTTTACAAATATCCCGAGGGGTCATACTAAGATTAATCAGCATTATGTTCATCCCAGCGTCCATCATTTTTAGAATTCCTTCTTTTGTCTTCCACGATTTACCAAGGGTGCACACAATAGAGGTTTGTCGCACATTGTCTGCAACCTGATCGATATCTAGGTTGCATGTGTATTGCAGATGTGATATTTGTCTAGGTGCCGTAAAAAGATCATTAAAGGCATTGTGTCTTTCACCTATCCCTGTTTCAGAATGAGTTTGCAGGGTGGTGGCAGAAAAATTCATCCTCACCAATTCGGAGGAAAAAGTGAAGTAGGCGGTCGTCCTTCAAAAGTCCATCTTTTGTATTAAGTAAAAGCACCAGTACTAAAGCACAAACTCAGAATAATTGGCATTAATACTATATGTTTTGCAAAAATATTAATTTTTTTAATATCAAAAGCAAAGTTTAACAGGAAAATTGCTATGCTTATTTATTACAAGGGTTTGTGTTGGGTTGATACAAGCCCAAATGCAATGCTTACCTAACTGTCCGTAATGTATCAGTGTTACCGCAGTTGAGCTGATATCGCCGCCCATAGTTTCTATTAGGCTTCCATGTACTATACATCCTCAAGCCTAGATGTACTAACATAAGTTGGTGTTTAACCCCCCGTACTGGTATAAGAGCCACTTTGGTTCTTCGCCGTGTAAGCTGGCCTCCGGGCCATGGTAATAACCTCTAGCCCTGCTGTATGTCGAAAATATACATTCTGCCTAAGTACTGTGTTTTATTTAGTCTTTAAGGAAGTTTTGGGGCTCCCCAATACCTCTTACCATCTGAATTACTACTTCTAATTTTAATTGTCATCGAGGTTTCACCTACACGTGACACATACAATCCTAGTTTTGAATTTCATGATTAACGATTTGGATAAAGATGCTGATAAATATCATCGGACTTTTGTGACTACTCATCCGATCAGTTTTTAAATTAAGGAACGTTCCCAAACGACCATGTACTATAAAAGAAGAAACGTTTCTAGACGAATTGGCACATTTGGACAAAGCGATTAAGGCACGCTGTTCGAGCTCTTTTTGAGTAGATCGTTACATATGCCAGTATATTTCCTCACTGATCACAAGGTTCATGATTGTACTCGGGCTTGATTTCAAAACCACTCCTGCTAAACCCCGTGCTATACATAATGTACGCATCTTCCCCGCGCTGCCCAAGATGAAGGAGGAAACGTCCGGGGGTCAACCTTACAGACAATCACGTTTATTTTGGCAACAAAGCATGATTTAGGAGCGCGAACCGGCTCAAAACGATTGTACAGGTCACGGCATGATTAAATCAGATGACTGCATTGAAAACCGCAAGAGGAATCCGGTTGGCGAACGATTGCGCCCAGCCATAAGCAGTCCATACACACTATGACATATGGACCGGGACACGGGGTAGGAGGAAGAGGAAGACGCTCCAACTGCCCCGACTTGACATAAAAATACCCTAGGAAATTCAAATTTAAACGGGAAGGTGTTAAGGAAGACCAAGTGCTAGACTTTTGAAGTGCCCAAAAACTAAATGAGGCAGGTTTTAATACCATTTCCGTATTGTATCTCATTAGAGGTAGTCAACAACCAACAGCTGCTTGATGTTGTTTCGAAAAATAGTCCCGCCTCAATCCGCGCCGAATGAGAGGAACCAATGAGGTACTTGCGGCCCGATGGCATCACTCAGGCGATTGATACATCAAGGAAAGTAGATAAATCCAAATCAATGTAGCTGAGGCAAGCATAACCGTGACTCCTGACGGTCAGGGTTGCGTCGGTGTCTTAAAAAATAAAGCAAAACTAGGTCTTCGACTCGAATGGACCTAGCAGGCTGCAAATCACATGAAAGGACTAGCGCCACACAATAATACGACACTGTGACTGTTACTCCAAGCCTGGGAACCGTATAAATTATGCGGCTAGAAGCCGTGAACTTCCAGTCTCTAATCAATCAGTATCTTGCAGCACTTGGACGGTAACACAGTGGACTTCGCGTAACAGACGACAAATTAATTATTATTAACCAAATTAGTTACTGACCAGTAGCAATTAATTATGAATTGAGTTACTTATTCAGTGCAAAAGCAATTAATAAAAACCGGGTATAGATCAATCACAGAATCCACATGCAGGAAGGAGCATGTGAGTGAAGGAGGCGAGGAATGATCCACTAAAGGGGTGGAAGCATGTCGTTAACACCGCCATAGACGCTGTTACCATGGCTCAGCATCACGGAGTAGCGCGGCCCAGCACCGGACACCTGTTGCGCCCTAATCGCGCCAACCGTGGAGGGAAAGGGAAAGGCAGTGGAGGTGTTTCCTATCGACCAGGGGCTTTCCACTTGCGACAGCTCATGGGAGGAACCGACAATGCGGAGTTTTGAGTGCTCCCCCTCAAGCGTGAAGATGTGGATGGTGTTGGTGCTGCCACTGGTGCCCACCGAGCCTGTCACCACGATGATGCGATCGCCGCCTTTCACCAGACCCGTGAGCCGCGTGTGCTTGATGGCAGCGTTAATCCGATTGTCAACGTCCTCACACCATTCGGCCACACGCTCACCTACCAATCACAAGTGTGCTCTGTAGCCCATTCGTATTGCCTGGTACCTCGGAAATTACGTCCTACTTCCAAACGTGCATGTAATTTACATGGAAAGTGGTGCTTTTTACCAAAAGTTTGAAGTGGTTTCTGCTCGTTGCCCAACAGATAAGAAAGGGCGCGAACGAGAGTGTCCAGTCTTGATTTCATTTACGCATTAGTGAAATAAGGGTGCATTACTAACACAGCCTGCATCTAAAGTGACAAGTGTAAAAATAATGCGAACGAAGAGGTGACACTTACGCCACTTACGATGTGAACTTTGCACGTTAAGATGGCTAGATGTTTTAGAAATACAGTAGACAAAAATAAACACTAGGCATTGTAAGGTGATTCATGTTCCTAAAAAATTTCTAAATAAAAATCGAAGGAAAATTTTTCCTTGTTACTTCCACCGTGATGAAAAATCCCGTGTTTTGGAGTATATAATGGCAAGTTTACTGGGCAATAAGCAGGTTAGTGTGCAAAACAAACAGAAGTAGTACTTTTCGACGGTAGATTTATACGCCGAGCGTCGCCGCCTTTACTCAACGCAGTCAGGCGGTTGATGCGCCCTGACGCGTCGGCGCGCCACCTTGTGCAAGCGTAGGTTGAATACGCGAAAAACTCCAATACCGCACAATCTACCCAGTCATCTAATTCGCACACGTCATTCACTGGCTTTAGCGTTGAAAAGCGAAATTACTTAAGCTGGAAGTAGGGGACCCAATAAACTGGAAAATACACCCAAATTTACTGCTTAACCTTAAAAGATGCATCGGGTGGGATTCTGTGCCGGGGCCTGGCGATTCGTCAAGACGCACGGCACGGAGGGCTTCTCGCACTTAAGCCGTAGACATAGTCGAGTGTGAGGGGCCACAACCAGACGTTTAACACATACTAATCCTGATTGGCTATTTCTTACGCCTTCTAGATATAAACAATCAAGTGTCACTTGAATGAAAAAAGAGCACTGCGAACGCCCAGGTCCCATGATTTTTTCATAGCTCTTTTATCCATAGCGATTGATTCTTTTTGCAAAACAACTCTGACACTAGGATTTGATTTTGCAGATTAAAAATACTTTGAACGCCATTCGTTTTGTGAGGAGATTGACTTTACCTTTTGAATGAATACTGGGTCTAGGCCACCCGATGCAGTGAGATTAAGGCGTAGCTACGCCAAAACAAAAGTGGCATTGTTACAGAGGGGCTCGAAAACACAAAACAATTAGTAAAGTTCACAGGAATCCCAAAATCAGGACAATATGAGAAGTTGTTTTTAATAATTTTAGTGGCGCCACACAGGATTCAGTGCAAATTCGTGGCACTTAAATCGAGTGTGCAGAAAAATTGGCATTGTGAGGAGCAAGAAGTTTGACCATGAACCGACGAATTACCCTCCAATTACACAAACTCCTAATGGTCCCCGGATAAAAATAAGGTATTTAGAAATAATGAGGTAGTTTTAAAGCGGCTTGACTGTTTGTTTGTGGAAAGGACATACGCTTCACAAGAAAATATTCCACTATCTAATAAATAGCCACAAATGCTTGAGAATATCTGCGGACACTTGAGTCCCAACTCCAATTTTATTTATAAATAACATTTCTTTTATGTGCCGCATAATTTTTGATAGATAAATTAACTCAACTCTCACCAGTATAGAGAAACGGGTGGAGGCCTCGATAAGCCAAACAATGATGGGCCACTGCGATATCAACCGTAATTGCAATCACGATACAGGAGGGTCTTGACATTGCAATGGACATTGCCGAACTAGAAACAGAGAAAAATGCAACAATAAACCGTATAGTAAAGAAAATACCGGTATAATTAAAGATTACTTCACTGAACAGAGTACAGTTCAGATGATATAAGAAACGTATAGTTTACGCATTATTTTCTAACAAAGAAGCTTACGCTCCGGTTGTGGTTATAACGAATATCGCAGATGCACCGCAACTGTCGGCTGCCTCCACGGCAGAAGCGCCGGTGACATTCTTGATCGCCTCATTGACTTGGCCACGCAGCAATCGGCAATAGTTCAGTTCAGCCCGAGATATCTCGTAACAAATTGCACGCTCAGCTTCACGACAAACCTTAAAGTAGATGATAGGATTAACTCGTCCTAACATAAAACCAAATTTTGCTTGAAAAGACCCAGAACTTACGTTATCAACAACGCTGACAGTATCGAACGGATACATACCCCAAGAGGTTTCGACTGTTAACAAAAGGCCATCAACTCCATCAAGCACTGCATTTGCAATATCCGAGGCCTCGGCACGTGTCGGTCTCGGTTTGGAAATCATTGATTCGGCCAACTGCCCTGTTACATAGACAGGTTTATCAGCCACATTACAATGACCAACAATGTATTTCTGAATCTTGAATATGTTCTCCGGCGTATAATACATAGCCAGACCACTACGGCAAATCAAAATGCCATCAGAGACAGCTATAAGCTCCCGAAGACTAAATTTTACGATGAAAGCGATTATTCCCTACTTTTTAACCGACTCCCGAGTTTCTATTTTAGTAAATACCTTTGCTGTTTTTGGAAGGATGCGCCGGGCTTCCTCAATCACGCTACCACTGTCCACAAACTTTGTTAAAACGAAGTCAGCCTAGAAAAATAGCACAATTAGCATTCGCTTACGCCACATTCAGCAGCAAACTCAAGATCCTTCATATAAGTTGAGTAAAGAATCTCCTGATTGAGTCTGTTTGGCGGAACCGTAACACACTTAAAACTCCCAAGCAGACCTATGACTAGGCAAATTCTATAATACCTAGCTACCTCCTTCCTCCACTATGCAGTTGATGCAGTCGAAACCAATATTTCTAACCACGAGAGTGACTTGGCCCTCGTCCAGATAAATGCGATCCCCCTTACGAAGGTAATGAATTAGTTTGGGAAAGAATTGGGTATCAATGAATATTAAATCCTCCGTGCAACAGAATTTGTACTCCTCATCTAAAGTCAATGTAATGCGACTTCCTTCCTCTATTCTGGCTTCATATGAAAGTCCCTTAATGGAGAGTTACATATTCATTCTTAACAAACTTCCTTAAATGTTCCTGTTCGAACTGGCGCCCCAGTTACGTCAATCGTGATCCCTATGAGACGCTCATAGTTGTGTGATTCTTCGAGCTCGCGGATGCACTTCACAACATCCTTGCAAACATCTCTGGTTACCATGCTTAGGTTGATAACTAAAATATTCATTCCGGCACCAATCATTTTAGCAAGCTGATCCTTCGATGCCCACGATTTCCCTAATACAATTATTTTGCATAATCGCACAAACCTAATGTACACCCAACTGACGTCTGCCGAATATTGTTTGCCACCTGATCAATATCCAGTTGGGACATATAACTTAAGTGGGAATTTGGCTTTGCAGGCATCACGTAGATATTTTGGTTATTGTTCATGGTATCTGTACAATAATCAAACCCGTCTTCAAAGCCTACTTTTACCGTTATAAACGTCGCACCGCTAAAGGCCAAAGCCCCCAACGCAAACAAAGTCAGCGCTATATCTTCGCGTGGTGTGAACAAAGCACTTGAAGGTCAATAAGGCAAACTAAGTAGAGCGAATTATCATTTGATTTAAGTGTGTTTTTTAGGAAATGGAAAGATTAGTTGCAAATTTAAAAGCTTTTACAATTAGAATGGCACCAAATGACTAGTATTTTTTGGAGTCCTGTAATGACTAAAATATTTAATCCAAAACTAGTCTAGCGACACTGCCTTTTTAGAAGACAGGTTGACACTCTGAGAGAACCATTAACTTAATACCAATTCTAGACTATATAAATAATTCTCCCATGGTAGCCTAGAATATTAGGTCTTTAAAGAATCCTAAAGGTCGTAATACTTTAGGTTTTAGCATTCCGATAAAAATGTGGTTGATTTCACCAGACCGCCTCTGTTTGGGTTTATTTGAAATATTTTTAGACAGGTTTGTTAACGGCAATTCTTTTAAATCGAACGCACATTTTGATATCAAGAGGTGATGATTATGTCGGGCTGGACGAACAAGAAAAAAACCATAATTCTCGCCATCATTATAAACTGCAACAAACTGATTAGTCATCGTCGATACACTCCCAAAGGACATTTTAAATTTCCTAGAAGGGCACGAAACCCGCTAAACTTGGATTTTTATCGACTTATGCAGTTCGAACAGAGTTTGACGAGTGGTGTCATTTACTTTTTGCGTCGAGAAGTCAAAACCTAATTGTTTTCCATGAGAGGGTTGCAGTACGATCTCATTTAACGAAAAGCAGCCGAAAACTGGTCATCGTTTTGGTGATTCGTTCACGCTAACTTTACCCGTGTTGTTCGTTGTGCTCTCTACGGTTACGACTGTACAGAACCAGTTGCAGAATCCGGTGGGAATATTCATTACCTTAGACATTAGTGGTTGCTGAACGATGCAGCGCCTTGAGACTGCCCTAGCGACGGAAGAGGCCACAATAGTTGGTCAGAATACACATATTCGACATGGAGAAAACATTAGGGCTAACGACATGGCACAAGGTTAACCCACCTGAGATCAACAGCCGAGACAAGGCGGCACCCTACCAGAGACGACTGTTAAACAAACAGTGTCCTTTTTGTGTGTGTAGCGTCTCAGGACTTCCCTGAAGACGAAAGAAGACATAATACTCGGGCAGCATATGCATATTCAGCACGGAAGAGGTATTTGAGCTAGTGGCACGGCCCGAAGGCCACCCCACCCGACGTGGTACAAAGGCCACTTCAAAGGTGGCTCCTCACCAATACCGAGGGATACACGGCCATCATATTGCATGTGCAATTACATAGCAATCGCGTAAATTAGGTTTCCCTATCGATACCTACTCCGCATTTTCACCAGTAAGGATAGTTTTAGCTTTCTAGAAATGGATGTAATAATGAGTAATGTATTTACCAATACACAAACCTAAGAATATAACTTATTTACTCAGCCTTGCCTGTTAAAAGTAATCGTGATGACACTGGATACGAATCTGCTGCAGCTTTACAACTATGTATTGCCTGTTTTATTCAAAAATTTTGTAAGATATTAATGATAGTAGCAAATCTCCCGTTAAATCAGTATGGGAATTGACTGAGTCCTACAATTTGCGTCCCTTAGTTTATTAAGAGTCCGCCCTATATTTTCTCAATCGCCTTTGTTAACCATCAGGCAGTTTGAAGTTGCTGCATGGAATGAATTGTTGAGCATTAATTTACGGACTCTACTACCTCCACCCTACTGGACAAGATCTAATATCGCCTTGTCTGGCGGTTTCATTAAACGTTTTGGAGCCCTTATCCTCGAATAGTGTATATTTCATCGCGCGGCGTGTTTGTTCCCTGCGATCGTGATTATGCATTAAATGTAGCCAATGGCGACCGCAAGACGCTTGGCCTACACCTCGAAGAATTTGGTCTGGTCTATTACTGGCATGGAGGGTGAGGTACTTTTTGTTTGGCTTTTATTCTTGGGAATGTCTAGTTTGATAGCGTTTTAAAGTCAACGTGGGCAACGGCTGCTGATGGTGGACACCTGAACTATAGGCTCGATGGTGCTTCAAAAACAAAAATTGTTTATGCAGGTTCGATGAATATATTGGTCTTGGTAATGCACGCCGCCCCCTTTCACTTCAGATCCTAATGAATCGTTTTAATAAGCGCAGAGAACCCTCCTCATTTGAGGCCCTCGACGAGCCCTGCCCTGTGAACGAGTTCAATTTCACAAAATTGAAGTCCTCAGAGAAACTCTTTCAGATAAGCTTCCAGGAATTGGGTACCTGTGTAGGTATGAATCACTCCTAATTAGTATTTTCAGTACGGCCTTGTTGTTGCGAACGCAAGCCCCTTCATGCTCGGCCACTCACTCATCGTCCCTAATCCTGAGGATCTACTAAACCAAGTAGTTCTATACTTACCTATTAGTTCCTACTTTAAGGTTTTAAGAAGGTCTCCTCTCCAGTTAGCCTTGCAAACAATCCTCCTGTCCACTGACGAGTGAGTCCCATCAAAAGCGCTGACAGTACATCCTGCAGGTGCTTATGCCTCGGATTCAATAGTCTGCTTGCCTATGCATCTGTAAACCACTTGCATTTCCATCTATGGTACTCCACTCATCGCTTATTTGCATCCATTTGCGTGAGTGCTAAAATAAATTACCTTGAAACTTTAGCCCACCCGAAAAAAATCCTCCCTCCCCTTCTACGATGAACTTGATTCGCATCCTGTGGACAATTTCGTCTTTGAGTTTCGTACGCTGGACGAACTTCAAATGTCATTTGGGTAAGAGTTAGGAACTATGGGAATGATAATGCTCTTTAGAAGGCTTTGGGACCTCGTGGAGCGGTGCCAGGAGATGAAGATAGCTCACAACCTCTTTGCAGCGCGTAACGCCACGGGTGCACTGCGGGTGGTGGTGTGGCCGCGACGGTCAGTGTACGGAGCCAAAGCCTGCCAGCACCACCCCGTTAAGTCGGATGAGTGCGTTTTCAACGTCGCGGTGGCTGAATTGGCTGGCATGTTCGTAGTCCCCGATGAAGCGACAGCTCACCCACTTTCCCTACCTAGCGGTCTCCATGAGGTCTACATCAGCGCAAGACTCGATCGCCAGGAAATAACGCAGCTGGAGACCCTGCTACTCCCTCAAGTAATTTGAAACACTGCTCCTCCCTTGCTAAATAAATGCCAATTCAACCTTTACAAGCTTTCGAATGTGCCATCATGATGGTTCAGTTTTTTATGCTTATCTGATCACCGTAACTCTTAATTCAAGTTTACTACTAGGACTGCTGAATATCCCTCAACCAATTTGATGTCCTCAGACTAACTGTTATGAAGCAGTTGGGTGGATAAATTTTCGGAATTACCACTGCGCACAAACGCGTGTTAACGTCTCGGAAACAACCTTGTAGTCGTTTTCAGATCAATTCAATGCCCTTGCAACGAGTTCCCCACCGCGACGGGGTCGTGGCTTGTGCAGGGTTCCGCCGTTGGTGCGTCTTTTACGCGCGCACAGGCTTTGACAGGTCTGACGTTCCCAGCTTGAATGTCGGTACGCATATTAGAGGGTGAGGCCTTAAAGATATTTTCATCGAATGACAATGAAATCGCATGAAAGCGAGGTCGGAAGGCACTTGGCGATGGGGAAAACAGGCGAAAACCACAAACATTGTCGTTAGACAACACAAAAGCACATTATAAAAGTGGTAGACGTAGTGATACAAAATGCTGAAACGCTGGGATTACTGCACCAAGGACGATGGTGTAGGCATGACACGCAAAATATGGACTGTCTTAAAGACTGTTATCGAATGCTTCACGCAGACGTGAGGGTGAGGAAACTCGAAATCTACTGGTAGCACTAGCTTGCTCTGCATTATAGAACCCAAAGGTGTCGCCAAAGGGCGAGGAGGCTGAGTCGGCTAAGGTGCGGAATTTCGGTGGGATATGGGTCGGTGGGGCGAGGCTCCCTCTGCCATGCAGCCCAAAGCCCTGGCTCCACAGTCGAGGGCTTCCACGGCTGGACGCATCTTCGGTGTTGGACAGTGGGGGTAGATTCTTCTGCTCATCGGCACCTCCAAGTCCAGAACCGCTGAGGCTGCGTGTTACCACATGGGCTGTAAGCACGAAATGAGACACAAGTCTACATTAGCTGCAGGCGCTCATTATTCACTCGTGTTTTGCGAGGCTCACATGCAAGTAGGAGGAGAATAGTGAGGAAGACGAGGAGAAGGAGATTGAGCCAAGAGAGATTAGCCCAAAAGACCTCACGAAATAGGCCGTAGCCCGCCTCATTCTCCCCATCGCCCTCGATCTCAGGTAGCTCACCGGCCCGAAGACCGCGCGTATGGACGTGAATCGGCACCGATATGTGCTGACCTGTCACCTTCAGACTCAACACGACCTCCACTGTCGTGTCCACGGCTAATTACACAGCAAGTCAAAATAAGAGTTAAAATTAGAAACGGTCTTTCACTTCGCAGTCTTGTGTAATGTTTTCCAGGCGAAGTATTCCAAAAAGGAAACAAAATAAGCAGGGAACATTGTTTTGCTTCGCTTTGAAACATTAAAATATCCATTCTTCCAAAAAAATACCTTTACTACAATCTTTAAAAGAATAACTACTACATATTGAAACAAAACGCTTTTGCTAAATCGTAAACAGTGTTCAAACTTCCAGTTGACCACTGACTTTACCTGCTTTGGTGGGAAGCGACTTGATACCAATGATCCAGATAAGTCCATTACCGAAAGCCTGCTCGGGGGAGGCCTGAGCCTCATTCTCCATCATGAGGCTTAGGTTGTGAAACAGACCCCCCATCCCACTGGAATGGCCGTATTCACCAGCCATGTGCTCAAGAGCAGTCTTTACCTGGCTGGCGGAGTAGACGGGTCGCGGAGCAGAAGCTATTGCCAGCAAATCGGGTCGCTGTGAGCGCGCTTTCAGTGCTTGCTCCGCATTAGCCCCGGACTCCATTTGTGTCAGGGTGGCCGGAGGGATGAAGACAAGTAAGTTTGCAACTGGTACCCGCGGAGTAAGTTTCAGAGGTACTGAGAACATTCAAAAAGCATTCCACTCATGGGCGAGTTATTTGAAAAGGCCAAAAGCTTTGACTTAAGTAACAGCTACAAACATACCGGCATTGCTCAAATGCATTAACGGAACGAGAACTCGAAAGGCGGGAGCCAAAGTCAATTCGGACCTGGTAATGACTTCTTTAGTTGCACTGTCTGATGCCGCTCCGCAGCTCCCCTTAACCTCAACTACAAGACGCGAGTCGTGAGGAAGAACCGCCAGCCGAGAATAGTCGCTCGAGTCGCCAGCTCGAACGACACATGTCCATGCTCCCTCTTCCAAGGCCGAAGGTATTAGTTGGGTGTAGAAATCGGCAGATTGTGCGACGGGATTCGCTAATGCAGCCATGAGATCTGGCTCAACCACCAAACTCAGTGTAGTGGCGTAGCGTTCAGCCAAGAGGAAACCGCGTAACCAATTTGGAAGCGACACCCACCGTGTCTGATGCCGTTCGCTGCCACCACTACCGCTGTCACCCAGCTCCAGGCGAGCCGAGCACGTCAGGGGAGAAATTTCAGAGAGGGCAGACGTCGCCACGGCGCTGACACACGAACTAAAAAGGAAAAAGTTGAGGATGTCAACCGATAACGCGAAACCAGAGGACAGACCTTGCATTTAAGTGACTTCACAATGGTGTGCCAAAATGAGAAAATTTGTACAGCATAAGCTTTTACCTTCAGCAAATTAGTGTGCCAGGTATTAAAACGGTAAATCATACCTATTACCGGCAGAAGCGAAAGGAGCAAGCGCAAAGTGAATATGAACCTCCTGAGCCAAGTCCAACCCAACAGGCATGATTGACGATGAGGAGGACCTAGATCGTAGATGAATACTCGATTTTGAGCAAACATTCTTCAAGGTCAACTTGCCCAACAGGGAGACCTGCACTCCTGTCTTAGTCTTTGGGGTGAATTGCAAATGCACGTGACCTCCTCGCAAAGGAAGCATGAACTTTGACTGATTATCGATCCACAGGAGATTTGGATCACTCGAGGACCAAACTCCATCTCCTAGAGGGAAATATGAAAAGATCTCAGGATTTTAGACGTCCCTCTCTGTGTAATCTGTAGCCGATTTAGAATGAAAATACAAATCATTAAACCTAGGTCACGAATGCAAATATGATTTGTCGGTAAATTCGTTCACGTTTTTGTTACACCGATTGTAAATTGATTGCACGGACAAGGGTATAGTCCATTGCATAAGTGTAAGTAGCCGGTAGTTGTAAAGGTGTCTGGTTAAAGCCATTAAAATGAGGTCAAAAAACGAAGTCAAAATAGAACAAACCTTGTGGAAGGAGAGGCAAGCAAGCCCACTGACCGACAGTAAATTCCAAAATACCGTGAACGTCTAATAAGGAACCAATGGGAACAGTGAGGTAAGTTGGTGTAAGGATAGCTGATTCCTCCGTTCCCGACAGCAGATCATGTGCCAATTTCAGAGTAGTTGTAGCCTGTAGTGTGCTCAAGTCGGTGTGAAGTGGTGGAATGAGTCGCAGCATTAATCGCCCAGCCGAGAATTGCGAACCGCTCCCACCGGTTTCGACGAAGTAGTCGAGGAGAGCGGAGCGATGCGTGCTCAAGCGTATGGAGAGTAGATCCTCTACAATCAGTCAGTCACGTTGTTAGCGAATTTTAGGCGAATAGAAAGATGACTGAAGTGTTACCTGAGACAGCATCAAATACTTCTCCGAGTTCATCATGGAAGGATAACGTAATGGGGTAAGGTCCACCAAAAGGGAGGCCACTGCTGCCTTTTGGCAGGCTATAGTGTCCAGGTTGTGCACGGGCAAGTGTGTAGAGAGGCGCTTTGACAACTACATCGAGAGCGAGAGACTGGCGAACGTGCTCGTTGCCCTCTGTGCTGCTTGCAGAGGCGGGGTTGTAGTTGACACGCAGGTGGCAAAGGCAATGGCTCAATCGCCAATCAGACCAAGCACCACAACGACTGCAGACACCGGACTCAAGGAGGCCACTGGAGGTAACCCGAAGCATATCCGTGGGCGAATCACTAGGACATTTGATAGAGTAGTGAGCACCTCCATCTGCAAGGCTGAAGTAACAGGAAACATGATCAAATACAATCATACAGAAGCCGGAAGTATTGATTAGAGACTAAACAAACATATGGGATGGAATAGTCAGTTGAAGGCGGCTGTTGGGGGAGACGAGGATGCGCGGATTTTGACGAAATGGATTGAGCAAGGTCAGACGAGACACGACGGAAAAGGTTATCTCGGCAGAGAGTTGTTCAACTGGTTGTGGAGTACCATGAGAATTTGGCGATGTCAGCTGACCAGTCTTCAAACCACCCTCCGTGAAGACAGTCAAGTGCAGCTTTACCTGTCCAGCTGCAACACCGACGACCAAAACACCAGAAGAAAGGCTCGTCTAAAATGAAATGAAATACTCCGTAAAGGTATGACCCTTCGTGAAATTACAACGGACAAAGTGCTCACATCGTCGGGCTCAACGTTAAGATGACCGAGCCAGTGGAAAAGGTGAGCGGGTGAGTTTGGCATTGGAGGCGAAAGACGCCAGGAAAAGTGCAGTGGCGGTTGGATATCGGCTAGCCCCATGGGTGTGACTGCGACTCCGTTTTCGCCGACGGCAGCGACACCCTCTGCCCAAACGGGAACACCACCGACGCTGGAGTTGCCATTGGCCGAGGCAACCAAAATGCGCCCTTCGTCACTACGGCTTGGAGTTGGAAGAGGACAACCAATCCGAATACCCGAAAGAGCGACGACGTTCACTTGACAGGATGCCTGGGATTTTAAAAAATCTGCGTCATCCAACGGATACGATTTGCGGTATTTGTGCATTGTCAAAACGACTCGAAAAGCCCACCATACCTTGGAAGACAAAATTGTAGGTGGCGGCGTGAGACCCCAAGCGTCAAAGTCGAGAGTATCTAATCCCGCATAGCCAGTGGGACTGGTGGCGTTGGCTAACACTGTAGCGCTGCCTGCGCGACCTAATTCAGCACGCACGAGGATTCCATTCTTATCGCCCTCTTCACCAACTTGCTTAACGCTCAGTTTGGGTCGTCCAGGATACTGAGAAGTAATTTGAAAAGTCACAGAGCTTGAAGATGGACCACCGGTAGTTACTATTTGATGCGCAGCTCCCAGCAGCAGATTTATGTTGCAAGGCTTCAAGCTTAATGGAGCGTAGACCTGTATATTAAACATGAAGAGGCTGTAACAGAAGGAATCCCAAGAAGCATTCGTACAACTGAATAAACTTTCAGAAGATTCCAGACTTTCTCAAATTAGGGAATATAATGCCCGTGACTTGGATAAAATTATCAGCCTAATATTTAAACAAATCAGAAGAATTTTGACAAGGGCATGCGTACATTGACTCTTTCAACATTACTAGTCACAGAGCCAGAGACGACTTTCAACTTTGAGGGACCGAGTTCTTGGCCACAAAGATTCAGCTTAGCAAGACCAGGAAGAGCACCAAGGTGTCCAATGGGCTTGGAGAGCCAAAACTGAGTCCCAGAAACACCTTTTGATGCAAGTCCCAGGCCATTAGAGCCAGGCGGAGAGTCTGGACATGTTGCAACCATGACAAGGTTGGTTTCAGATGGGTGGCCACCAGAGGAGGAAATCACTTCCAAATCCAGGAAATTTACAAAATGAGCAGGAAGCACGTTTCTTTCCGTGTCGAAAGCACGAACATAAGCATGTGCCTGGAACAATGATGGCAAAATAATAAGAAATATGAGCTGATACATGTAGAAAACACTAAGAATACCTACAATATTAATTTGAATAATTACTGGCATTTTGGGCCACAATAGCATGATATACCCATACCAATATCGATAATTTATACTTAAAAAGGCCGGCAGAATAAGGAGTAAGTGCAAACCTTTGATAAAAACTCTAGTTGAGAAGGAGCATAAAGGCGAAGTGACCCAAGGCCAACCACAGATACCACACGATCATCAAAGGAGGGTCCAATTTTCATTAACTTCTTCCCACCATCTTCAGGAAAGGTGGATCCTCCAGAAAAGCACAGATCGGTCGCCCGGATCGTTACCTTGCCAAGACATTTTGGGCTCAAAAGAAAGTCCCGTTGTGATTTCTGAACATCACCCTCGTAACGGGAGGAGGGCAGAACCAAAAGGCAGGGTTGACTCGGGAGCTTAGATGTAGAATCGTGCAATACAATGTTGAAATGGAAGAATCCCGAACCGTAAGAAAGGTGGACATTTGCAAAGGCCTGAAAACGCATGAGTAGATACACAATAAACCAAATGTCCGCTGTAGCCAAAGAACATACCTTCGGGTGTAATAGAAGCTGAAAGTCATCAATTGGTTCGATAGTAACTTTGGGAGCCATTTTGAGAGTAAGAACAGATTCGAGAATAGAAGATCGCTCTCCTGGCCACTGATATTCAGCCACTACGTGCACATGTAGTAGCCCCGCTGACTCCCCCAAAATGCGTGGTGTTACAAAAAAGTGGGGTTTAGCGGATCTGTCAGGACCACTGATCTGCTTGAGTCCAAGAACGACGGGCTCGGGCGTGGAGACAATTTCACTTATTTTACTCGTGTCCGAGGTAATACGCGTGCGTACTCCAATTGAATCCACCCCGCTTAGTTCGTAACCAGCAAAGCCTTTGAAAGCAACCTCCACATTTAGCGGAACATTGTTGGAAATAGGAATCTTGTTGGAAGAAAAGCAATAAAATGGATGTGTAAGATTAATGTGCTGTTCGACATTTAAACTTCACTTCCGAAAAAACGACTTACAATGTCATCTGAACTCCCTAAGGAACGGTTGACGATGGGGCACGGAGGAAGATCGGCGGATAACGTTGGAAGATCCAAATGTGGAATAAGCTCGATTTTGGACGGAACATCACAAATCAGTCTGAAAATGAACCATGTATGCTAGTCAAAATTAAACTTTCTCTAAAGTGTCAGACGTTCAAACTAGGATTTCGCCGCATCTTGAGACAACAGAGATTTTTACTCATGTTGGCGTCAAATTTTACCCCGAAATTCGTTGCTTCTAACTATCGAGGGGATGTTTATTATAATCGTATCAGACTCACGAAAGGGTAGCCGACAATACGGCGGGAAAAGGATTGGTTGAGGATGGACGATTTCCAACAGTAACAGTGACTTCGAAATTGCCCGAAGACTCACAACGTAGCACAAAGTTATGTCCTGGTGTGCTACTGTTTTCTTGCAAAACGAAGGGTTGCGGCTGTTGAAGTACAGAAGGACTTCTTTTTCCATGTGGAGGTTCGGAGAGATCCAGCTTAACAAAATGCGAACCCGCATCCAGGTGCCACGGAATAGGACCATTTATATGCTGAATTCAATTGTAAGAATAGCGAAATTGGGTGAAACAATAGGATAATGATAAACCACCGTTCCACAAATCACAAACGGCTCGAATCACTTTCACATTTCTTTAGGAAATTAACGAGATACGGTAATTGAAATAGGATAAAATCGCCCAGTTCAAATAGCACATGAATACGAATCCCTCGCTTTTCGCAGTACAAAGTACAGTATTTCTAAATCAATGGGATGTTTTACAGTCTTCAGTCAATTATGAAGAGAAGCAGAAGTGAATAACAATAAGATCAACCCGTGTCAAGACGAAATAATAATCATATTTGGATTTGTAACATACGGACATGCCAAATACGTTACGTAAAATACATCCCATGAGAATAAGAAATCAGTGGAGACTTATTCTCACACTATTTGTACACAAAACTAAATGGCTACTGAAACATACAGAAATGCGCCCCGATGAGCCAACAGCAAGGGCCAAGACAGCAGCATTATGCAGGAAGGTAATATCCTGGTAAACAGCGATCGGGGACCGTGCTTGTACCTCATGTTCTTCTGAATTCAACCCTGAGGTGTAAAATACCTCAAGCTCCGTAATGCCCCCACGTAGGCCGACAACACGGACAAACGCGCAAACACTGCTGCGGTCGAACCTCCCTGCAGAGGGTGGGAGGTAGTGAACACCTAGGGGAGAAAAAATGATCCTAGAAACAAAAGCAAGGGAAAAGATAGTTCAAGTCGATTCAGCACACCAGGGAGCACTTTGATAATTGACGGATCCTTTGGTCGTACTTGAATTGGCAAGTTATGACAGTAAGTTAATAGATTTCCTTCAACATCCTGAGCCTTTAACCCCACGGATAGAATGGCGTTGTCCGTCTTTTCGTGCTGATCCAGTGGCACTTGACCAGCTAGAGGATCGGGTACCAGGTCCTTTAAGTCCAAGGAGATGGAGCGAGCACTTAATAAGGATGAAAGTCGGCCTTCATCGTCGAACAACGGCCGTCTGGGGAGATAAACCTCCGCGCGACCGGGTGAGAAATTCATGCTTGCCAGATTGCTTATTCGAATTGCGGAATGGGAGCACATGCTCGGGTTTCGCAGATCAGAGACAACAACCAAGGCAGTGCCTATTCCCTATTAAAATACATCTAGGTGAGATTTTATCGGGTCGAACAAAATACGATGAGGAAAGTAACCTTTGCAAATAAAACTCCTTCGTTTGATACGGTGACAACCTCGTTTGCCCTGCTGGCTTGGAACTCCGAGGAAGAAAAACCGGATGCAGGCAGCACCGTCCACACGTAGTCATTACTGCCACCCTCCGCCGTTAGGGCATATCCTTCGCTGACATTCACCGATACGTCCCAGGCAATGTTCACTTGGTTGGGAAAGACATTGAGTGATGAGTAAACAATCATCTCTTGGCTTCCAGTAACTGGGTGGCTCAACAGTTTCATTTCTCCTGTCTAAAAGTAATCATAATTCGGTGAAAGCATAATCTTATCTTCCCATACCTTCGTTATCACACCCTCCAGAGTTGATTTTATGGTAAACATTCCCGTCTTACGCGGTACGATGGTGTGTGTAGTTCCATTCGGCGCACTGTCCGATACGTTAAAAGCACCATTCGGAAATACGACTGAAATGCGAATATTGTCAGCTGGGAAAATGCGGTGATTATTTTGATCATAAAGGTCGAGAGACAATTCGTATGTTTTCCCGATCTCCAAAGTCCAGTGGTTGTGTGGACTCTGGCTGGGAACTTGTGAAAGAGACTGACGAGCCGCCGCAACACACAACCGTGCATCTTCGTCAATGGGTTGGATGGTAAATCGGAAATATGCAGGCTCAACAACGTAAGCTATCGAGGTTGGGCGCCGATAATGGGTCAACATTTGGGCTTCCGTGTCACTTCCATCGGGATTACTAGATTCCAGCACTTTGATGGCTTCTTCAACGTCTAGATTTGAAAAAAGTCATCCCATTTGGGGATTAAGCATACTTCTGTCCAAAAGAGTCACTGTTGTTTGTCCATATTTCTGAGCCGTTATAGTTGAGCCAGTATCACTGTCCAGTTCGATTATTGTTCCATCCGCGACGGAAAGATAATATTGCATTGACGGCATTACAACCTCTAGAAGAAATTTACGACACCCTATGGGCAAACCTTTGTCTGTATCTTGTCGCACGACGTTCACTTGAAAACGTGCAAGTGAATTGGGGATTAGGTAAAGAACTGGCGGATTAAGTTGTGCTTTCGCCATAACAAGCAAACGCACTTTAGCAGACGGCACATGACTGTAAGCAGATTCACGTAGCATCGCACTTACAACAGCGGAACCAGTCCTAAGCCCACTAACAAGTTGCATATAACCCTTCACAAATGAAATAAGGTATGAAGTGAATACTTACTTGCATGCCCTCAGCTTCAAGAAGGCCAATACGACTTGGCGTGGTGTACTCAGACTCCGTCCAAGTAAGGAAGCGAAGTACACCATCACCCGTCGTTTTTAGATCTTCTTCACTCCCAGAATGAATTTTCCATTCAAATGGAATGCCATCAAGACTGGAGAATGTGTTGCCGAATTCATCATAACCAATAACGACTAGTGATGCTGGCGTGTTATGCAAATAAAGTTCCTGCGTAGTTGTGTCAATCTTGATGGTGTGAATGTCGTCAACAATCACGTCACACTCTAGCACATGTCTCGTAACTAGCATATAAAAAGCTAAGTTATCTTACCGGACTCACGGGCGTATATTGTCGAGGTACGGCGCAAAGCGGATTGCCAAACAGCCGTGACCGACGCTCTGTCAGTGCATTTCTTCCCTATTTCCCCAAGAGGTACAACTGCGACCACTTCAGGAGAACCCGACCACCTAATAGTTTGGGAAGGGGTAGTGACCGTATTACCATTCGTAGCACGAATGACCCGAACCAGTAATTGTGTAATTAACGCTAACGGTACTGAAATATGGCAGGAGGAGTTTAGAATCGCTTAGTTTAAAGTCAGGTGCAGAGGAGATTCCAAAAGTGAGCAGAAAAGCAAGGCATGCACCCAGGAGCATGCCTAAAAACTCATTCACCACAAAAATCCACACTCCCCCAATGAAATAATTGGAACATGATTTAAATACTCGACCAATAGTTTCGCAGACAACAAATGGACTTTGGTGTATTGCATCGACAGGTAAAATTGTTGTAAGACTTCCAAGAGTTGTTAAAAAATCGTGACCTTTAAATGCAAAAATTAAGGAAAACAAGCTTTCAAATATCGCAGGCGCCAGTGCTTAAGACGTGGCTCACAGAAGCGCTTGAAATTTACATAAAAGAACATGTCATTCTGCATAGTACTTCATATTTGCAAGTCAATACCATGAAATTAAATCAAATTTAGTGCACTATTGTAATACGATAGTGGTTTATCCCTCGGTTCGAATGAGGCGCGATTTTGTGCTTTGAGTTAGCCCCCCTGTACCTCGCTGGGTGGGCTGGCCTTTGGGGCCATGCCAATAGCCCAGACACCTTCTCCGTGCTGTGTCTTCTTTCGTCTTAAGGGAGTCTCGGAACGCTACACAATAATGAGTGATACACTTTAGAAAACGTACAAAGCACTGGTTGCTTATTTAACTCTCATTTGAGGTTTAAATGTACCTCATGTGCACTGCTGTTGTAACCTGTCTAAGAGGGCTGGTGCCCAGACAATGTCAGTAGCCCCGGACTCCATTATTTATCGAAAATGCATATTCTGCTTTAGTAATGTGCCTTCTTTCCACTCGCGAGAAGTCTCGCGTTGCTTCACACCTGCTCAAGCAAACTGCATTTGGTCGAAGTTTTGATTCTTTAGCTATATTTTTAAATTGAAGGCTTAAATATTTTCCCACATTTAATGCTGAATGTCATCAAAATCATAATTGTTAGAGATAGAATTTAGATGGTAGCCAAAAATATACTCTGCAGAGAGCGCATTTAATCATTTTCGAAGTCTTGGTGATTAACTCTTACTAAATCCTTTTTTTGCAGTACATTTGTTACTCGGTATATTATTGGCTATATGTCTGATTTTGAAGGACGGTGTCAGTAAGCCTGATGAACCGTTTTGAGTCACCTCATTTTTGTGAGGCTCCTGTGTATGCTCCTTCTCATGAAGAGTTCGATGATCCTATTAAGTACATCCAAAAGATTTACAGTGACGCTGTCAAGTATGGGATCTGTAAAATTAAACCTCCTCAAGTAATTGATATGGCTTTTCGTGGTCTTATGCTATTTTCGGTTTAGTACTGGAAACCACCTTTCTCTGTGAATGATACCGAATTTTTTTTTATTCCACACAGTCAAAGCCTTTCAGATCTCTCGATTAGTAATCGCGAAAAGAGTGCCTTTGTAGAGTCATTCGCAAATTATTGGAGATTGCAGGTACCGTGAACATCTCGTTCTTTAACTTGGGATCTGTAGAATGCGGTTGTCTTTACGCAATATATTAGAGGCAAACAGTTGGATATTTACAAATTATATAAAGTCGTGAAAGATAGTGGTGGCTATGATAATGTTTGCCACGAGAACGCTTGGGTTGGCATTTGCAGAAAGTTGGGCTTTGAACCTTACCCTGAGGTGGCGTCAGCCATTTGCGCAAAATATCGGAAATTCATTCTTCCGATTGATAACTTTCACAATTCAAACACCGATTTGGTAATCCGCTTTGTCAATTTAATTTTCAATCGTACATCAGACCAATGAATGTTCTCAGAATTCTTGGAAACGGGAAGAAAGTGTAGTTCTGATTTTCTTGTCTTTTATGTCTAATCAAAGTTTTTTGTTTGTAAAAAGTGCAAAAAGTCAAATAACCCCAGCCAGATGCTCGTATGTGACGTGTGCTGTTGTGAGGGAGTGTACCATACATTCTGCCTTGATAATCCCATTTCACACATTCCCAAAAGATGGCTCTGCCCTAAGTGTTTTGCTAACGAATTTAATAAGAAAAATGAAGTTGATGCAAATGGTTCTCGTAAATCCGATACTTCTTACACTCTACGGGATTTCAGCTACGTTGCTGATGAATTCAAGACAAACTACTTTAAGAAGCCATTGACGGTAAGAGTCGTTCATCTGATTTTAGGTATTATCTTAAGACGATCGCTCTTGCTGAGATCAGAGATGAATTTTGGAGGCTTGTGAACGATGGTGAATGTAATGTTACCGTAGAATACGGTGCTGATCTTTGTTCATCAAAAGGTAGCTCTGGCTTCCCCACCACTCCAAGTAATCTGGGGAAATTCGATTACTGCAGTTCACCATGGAATTTAAACAACTTGGCAAAGAATCCTCTCTCAGCTCTTCATTATTTACCCAGTAATATGACAGGCATGAAGGTGGGATAAGTCAAGTCTCTTTTTTTCACATTAATAAATGAGACTGACTTTCATTTTTGTTTTATTAAAGGCCCCCTCATTTTATATTGGCATGGTGTTTTCTTGTTTCTGTTGGCATACTGAAGATCATTGGAGTTTTTCTATCAATTATTTGCATACGTAAGTCATTCCGGCAACAAATTTACTAGTTCTTAGGGTGTTTTCTTATCGACTCGTATGAATCTTGACTCTATTTCTGCTTCCGACTTCACTTACTAGTTTTGATACCGATCACTTGTTTTTTTATGCTATTACTTCAAATTAACCCATATGAATAAAATGTTTAATGTCCATAACCTTTGAGAGGCGATCCGAAAACCTGGTACGGGGTGCCGGGAGCACGTGCAGATGCCTTTGAGGCGGCCATGCAAGTAGAGGCAGGGGAGTTATTCATTCATTCGCCTGATGTCCTCCACCATGTGACATGCCTTGTTCCTCCCGATCGCCTCCTGCACCGTGGCGTTCCTGTTTACCACCTCGATCAGTTGGCTGGAGAGTTTGTGGTTACATTTCCTCGAGCCTATCATGCTGGCTACAGTAATGGCTTCAACTTTGCAGAAGCTGTTAACTTTTGCCCTGCAGAATGGGTAAACCCCTTGTCCCATTTTCTTTGACTCCTTGGTGTTCTTCGTTGTCATAACGATTATAGTATGCAGCTTACCAGGCCTAAAAATTATCATGAACCGTGTTTCTATGCAAATAACGCTGTTATTTTTATGCTAAAAATGAAAATTAATGAGCTTAATTATTTCCACTAGTTTCCATTTGGGCTCCATTGCGTGGACCACTACGCTCTGCTTCATCGTCCCCCATTGTTTTCCCACGCCGAGCTCCTCTGTCGCCTTGCAGAGTCAGGATTAGAGAGCAGCAGAGTGCCCATCACCTTCCTCCTAGTTGTGACCGACCAACTTGCCGGGCTTCTAGCCAAGGAGCGCTCCCTGCGTCGACACCTGGTGCGTCTAGGGGTTCGACGCACCGAGCGCTTTGTCTTTGAGGCCCTCGATAAGGAGGCACGCAAGTGTCAGCTCTGCAGGACTACTCTCTTCACCTCTGCCCTCACCTGCTCCTGCTCCAAGTGTAAGTGTCCTTATAGTGCTTTTATCACTTGATAGTCTATTTCAACTGAGATTGAACAGTAGGGTTATTCATCCTCCGCTTAATCTGATAACTTCCTCTTCGCACTTTATCGACTGTTCAACGGGAAATCGTTGCTTCACTTAACTTTTCCTATGATTTGGCTACGGCTTAAATGCTCTCGAGACTCCTAGCTCACGGTCCCATTATTTGCCGTTTTACGAGCTATATTAGTTTTTCACGAATCGGATCAGTTTTTTGTTACGACCAGATCTGCTTATGCCATATGATAGATATCAATAATGTTAATGAATGAGTCGGAAATCCGCATTAATTTTCATGTTGACTGTTGTTGCCAATTATTTTCTTCATCAGTGTCTTCCGTATGTAGCTTTCCTATGCTTGGAGCACTATCAGTCATGCACGTGTTGTGCAGCGGAGGACCAAATACTTCTTTATCGCTACGGCCTTGATGAACTTTCGCAGTTTGTGGAGCGGCCGCAAGCGCGCATTCGCGAGTACCAAGAGTGGAAGGCATGTGTTGACGACTTCTTGCGTTCAAACACGTCTTTTCGCAACGCAAAAGAAAAAGGGGGAAAATTCGCGCTTTACCTCAACAGTGCACAAGCTGAGAGCCACGGTGAGTTAAGTGGTTTCATTCTTCTCTCTGGAAGCTTCAACGAAGACTATTTTTGTTAGCGTTCACTGAAAGATACTTTTAGAATACTTCGATATTCCGATCTTTACTGCTGTCCACTGGCATATTTTCGGCTTAAGTGCGTGATGGTCACTCGCCCTATCACTTCTTAAGTAATTTGGAACGTTTCTTTACAAAAATATGACAATTCAACGCTACTCTGATTTGAAGGCATGTGTAGAAGATTGGCTGTCAATCCAATAGCTTTTTGATGTGCGGGGAATCAGTAACGTATATACGAATGAAGAGATCTTAAATCCACTTTTAGCCGTGGCAATATTAATCAAATGTTGACCATAAATTGGCATATATCGACCTCAACATGGCAATAGTCATAGTAATCATCATTATCATTCGTGATTGAATTATCCACTCCTGATCTGATTGTTTTATTTTTTTTTCAGAGGGTATTTCCACCAATGCCACTAATGCTTGTGTTCATATCTACACATTCTAGTTAATTGTAATCTAATTGCAGTGACTGAGACTTCCTTAGTAACCTTATGTATTTCCATTATCGTAAAGAACCGGCACCTTACACTGCCAATCTTGCTCAATGATAACCGCTGAATTTGTAAATGATTGTTATCATCCCCTTGGCATTCATCAAATTTTAAGTGACATTCCTGTTTCAAATAGTTCTAGCGAAAAGTTGGATTGCAACACATTTATTTTAATTTAAAATCATTTTAAATTTATGAGACGATATTTTACCTGAAGCCCAGCATTTTGAGCCATGGCAACAATCACAAACTATCTTCTGCTATACCTTGTCCGCGGTTTGACTTGAGCCCTTTTTTCGCATTCTTTTTTTTAAGGAAAGATCAATGAACAGAGAGGTACAGGGAATCCTGAAGGAGGTAGTCCCATGCAAAAAATACCGCTTCAGGATCTGGTTGTAAGTTTTATTGCTGGTCCGGGCCGAATTTGCATTTGACCGATCCCCTCATGCGGTCTTTATGCTTGTTTAACATTTTCTGAATTATTTGTGCTTAGAAACTCAGAGACACGGGTCACCAGAATTGCTACCCCGATGATTTGGTTGCTGCTTTGAACAAGATAGTAGAGACAGCAGAGAGTTGTGCCTCAATGATTGGTGCGCTTTGCGCCCAAAAACCGGAAGGTCGGAAACGGCGCTCCCAGGCCAGCAGTACATCTCAAAAGCACGACTTTCTTTCTGCGGTACTAGGAGACAATAAAGAGGACGTTGTGGAACTTGATCTCCCCTGGAACCCATCGATCACTAAGGTCAGCTCGGAACCAGGCTTCCCTGTTCTCTCACCTTGTGGTTTGTAATGAATTCGAAGCAAAATTGTTCAATGGATTTTGATTGTTTAAAATTTGAGTAGATTTTCATCATTTGACCCTTAAGTACCCCTTAGTGCTTGTAATCTGGCGCTACGCTGCATAAATTTCTTCAACTTGTTATGATCTCACGTGATTCGCGTAATTTCTTATTCCTCAAAATTGAAACTTACACAGATCACTATGAATGAGTTCGAGCAGTACGTGGAAAAGGTCAATGGTCTGCCTTGCACAATGCCCAGGATGGAGGAGCTGAATCGATTTAAGCAGAGGCTGGAGGAGTGGCACACTTCAGCTTGTGAGCTGCTGTCGCTGGCCGAGCAGCCCATCGTTGGTGATCACAGCGGGCGTCCTCCTCCCCGCCTCCCTGAGATCCACCGAATCGAGCAGCTCGTAACTTTTGCCAGGGGTGTCGATGTGGAGCTTTGTCATCTGAAGGATCTTAAGCATGTGAGTAGCAATTGACTTCCTAGGGTTTGTGTGATTCACTTTTGGATTTTCGTTACATAAATTGCCGTTTACATCAACAGCTTCTGGAATGCGTGTCGTGGCTGGAGAGTGTGGAGAGAGTCATGAAACTAAAAACCGCATCAAACAGAGATGTTCCCTCCTTAAAAGAACTCATTGACCTTGATACGCGTGGTCAGACGCTGGCTTATGTCCTCCACCCCGACCGCCTCACGGGACAGTCTTTTGAGACGGAAAAATCCGTTATCACCACACTGGAGTCGGCCCTCTTGAAAGGGAGTGTCCGACTTCAAAAGGTGATCTGCGAGGCACAAGTTGTCGAAAATTCCATTAAAGAGGTTCTCAAGGCACCGTGCGTTCTCTCTACCTTTATTTTCGTCAAAAGTTGTTTGCATACAGGATGAATAATTTTAATGATATGCTGGGTAAAGTGTCGAAATATTTATTGCCAAATATGCTAGTCTTATCTCCCATTCCAGCCGCTATTTTAGTAGATTTCGACAAAGTCCTCTTTTATATACTTAGCAACTGTCATTGTGGTTAATTTTTTAAAAGTTATGTTAATTTGGCGTTCTTTTGACTACTTACCGTTCATCTGTTATGAACTTCTCCTGCATATTCTTTTGGTAGCACCAGTAGAGGAATAGTTTAAAAAGTGTGTTAAAGTTGATTTCTAATTTTTTTTTTATTTTGGTAGCCTTATTCTCTTTTATTCTTAAGCTAACACGGCTAAAAGGTCACAATCTCTATCTTCCCACTTTCAGCAATGGTTCATGTGAGCTCTCTGAAGCGGAGGCTCTGGTGGCTCAAGCGTCTTGTCTCAAGGCCACCTTCGATGAGTCGGAGGAACTGGCTCAGCTGTGTGCCAAGGCCCACACTCTGCTAGGCCATTTTGCTTGCTTCCAGCGTCTCTTCAAGAGTCCTTGTGTCAATACCTCCATGGAGTCGAGGGGAGGTAGGGATGTGAAGGGGAAACAGGAGCTGCAGGCAGAGGGAGAGATTGGAGCTGAGGACGCTTTCCCAGAGGAATTTGTCCGACGGCTCAAACTATACACTGCTGACTCTACTCCACAAGTTTGGCTTAAGTTCTACGAGGAAGTCTGCAGTGCTGCCAAAAAGCTCCCTTTTGTCTTTCCAGATACTATACGACTTAGAAATTTGGTAGGCCTCCCAGACATTCTCTATTTGGGTATAGTAGCACCATGACGATCAAACTGTTTTGCCTATGCATCAAGTTTTATTTGGGTATTGACAAATGTCAATTTGATAAGTTCTGAATACTTGTTATTTTGCCATAGGGTAGTGATTTTTAAAGTAGGCGGCAGTCAGCTAATTTGCTTCAGTGTTTCATTCAAGTTTATTTTTTATGACACTAACTTTTTAGCATCGTATGAATTCATTTCGATATAATTAGCAAGACAGCCCTTACTTTTCCCTTCCAGTTGATTGCCCTCGATCGCTGCTACTCGCGTATAAAGGCGGCTTTTTTGCCTTCGGATAATGAACATGCTTTTAGCCCAGCGATCCTCTTAGAGGTGCTTCTGCCACGACCAAAATCTGCTTACGGACTGCTCATCCAACGCGACGCTGAGGTGATGCCGAGTAGCAGTGCCGGTGACGCTTCCGGATCGGGCCACGATCCCAGGCCCTTTGACTCCCGGGCCTACGCCGATGCGTGCAAGGAGAACGTTTCGGTTCGTTTGTTCTCCCTCCTCCCTTCCTCCCTCCCACACGTACCCGTCCTGTTTCTGTTAATCTCTGATATCACTAACTGGATTACCAATAGCCAAATTATTTAGCAATGTTTTATGGTTCCACAAAATAGAAATTTTTGCGAGAACTCAATGATGGCAGTGACTTTGACCACATGTATGACACCGTCTATACGCCAATGATCGAGAATGAACTTCAGCTTCTCCACTACCTGCGTCGTTCGAACATGCGCAAATCGAAAGAGCGCGACCAGGATGCGGTCATCTATTGCGTTTGCCGACAGCCAGGTTATACGGGTATCATGTTGCAGTGCGAACTCTGCAAGGACTGGTTTCACAAACGATGCGTCGGCTTCTCCTCTAGGGTAAGATCATCCATTTATCGATGCATTGCCACTCTACCAACGTTCTAGTAGGTGGGTTTGATTAACTCTCGTTTCGAACCCTTAGAACGTCGATATCAGGCGCGTGCGCTACACTTGCCCCCGCTGTGAGCGCTCACTTCGGCCTGAACTCTCGGTCGTGATCGCGATACTAGAGGAGCTCGTTCCTCATGTCACCGGCACTGCGGTAAAGCAGGACTTAGGGGCAAAATCAGTTCCCTCCGACCATTTGCCCACAGTCAAGTCAAGCATCACCTCTGATCTCATGGCTCCCCTCGTCTCTGTTCCCTTTCTCCTTAGACTGCCCGCTCTCGCTGCCGTGCAGATGCTCTGCGAGCGCGCCTTCGCGTTTGTTCGGCGTGTCAGAACCGTTATTTTGGTGAGCTGACGGAGTGCTTTTCCTACCAGGCCATAAAAAACCCCGCCTGTCTGTGTTCAATATACCGTGAAATCATTTAAATTGTCAACTGCCTTAAGATTCGACTATTTGTCCATCATATGTTTAATGTTTCAGTGCTTAAAATCCCGTTTCATTAATATCGATTTATCATAAAAGTAAATGTGGCAACTTGTATGAACTTGTAAAATACATGGAATTATATGAACTTATTACCCGTCATGTATATGCATTACAGAGTGTAGTTGGGTGTCAGTCCGCTGGCACGGTACTTTGCATCGTACTCTCTACTTCTTCCCCGTTACCTTTCTCCCTCATCAAATGTAGGTTGAACGAATCTTGTGTGATTCCGGTCTATCTGCCATTGGAATTGACCTTACCTCGGTTTCAAGGCTGTATCAGCTTTAGAAATCGTCGCAGAAATGGTTGAAACAGGCAATCTGATTTTGGCGATAAGTCATTGGATGATGCTGGTGCATCATGTTCGGTACCACCTGTTCCTGATCGCAAATAATTACACATCACCACTGATTAAATTGATCGGAGAGTAACATGCTAAGAGCAACTTTCATTGGTGGTGAAATCGAGGTTTGAAACAATCCGTCTGCACCTACGTCAACTGGGATGCCGTACTCTGAAGCTAAGCCAATGGGTTTCATGCATACCTATTAGCAAATGACAATAAGCTTCAAAGGCCACCAACTTGTTTTTCATACCTTTCGTGTACGTTATAAAACGCAGTTTTAGGTTGTATGCTGATTGGCTTGTGATGAGGGTTGGTTTTGTATTGCAGCGTTTGCTAAGCGATTGAATATACCATTGGTTACCCCAAACGAACCACTTTTCCCCAGAAGACTGCTCTTTCTTTTGTGTGGTAGACTGCAGACGGAATCGCTTAATGTGAATTTTCTGCTTAAGGCCGCACAATTAGGGCTGGAATCTATCCGCATGATTCGATACAACTTAAACGTGTGCGATAAAACTTCTTTCCGAGAAGCAGTCAATGCTAATTAGTTAGTCTGAAGACTATCCACCTCTTACAAAAAGATGCAAGACCTCATGCCTTCGTAAAGCTTACCTGTGATATTTGAACTGGAGGATGGTAGGGGGGAGGAAGGTACCGCCTTATCTTTATCCTCGCCCTCCGTATCCCTTTGGCATTCCTCCGAGTGATGATTTCACCTTTCTGGCTATTGGACAATTATATGTAAAATGGATAGCTTGGAGATAAAAGAGAGATATAACAGGGGATTCACAACAACCTTGTATCTCACTCGGAAAGGATTATAGAATGTAGTGGCAATTATCTCAAAGAACAAAACGACTTGAAAACATTTTTGAAGTTTTAATTCTTACCTTAACCCCATGGACTTATTTGCTTGCTTAACTTTAAATACAATTTTTTTAGGTCTGATTACTTTTCATGAAGTGCTTGATGCAGCTTTGCCTGTATTTTTTGTCGACAAATAAGTTTTCCAATCCTGAATTTGAAGTACCGTATTGAATGTTTGGTCTTGCGCCTTCAAGTCCACCCCGGAACTGCGGAAGGCATTCGTAGAGTATGAGGCCTTTTCGGGGGTCCAAATGCAGTGGAATAACTTCAACGAGGGTGTGATGTTGCACGCATCTGCACGCCAGCAGCAGCGCTCCATCGCTGACCACCAGTCAGAGCAGGAACTGCGTCCGGTTGGTCTCACGTACTCTCATCTGCCGCCCAACGTCGTGCGTCCACCCGGTATGCAGCCTCTTGTGTTGCGCACCACAGCACTGCGCAGTTTGGCCTCCGAGAGGCTGCACCACCTCCACCGCCAGCATCACTTCAGCAATCCTTCCCCGCCTCCCCTTCTCTTTCCGCATCATCTTCAACGTTCCACCTCACCCTCTCGGCAGGAGCCCTCCTCACCAGCCTTCGAAATGGATGTACGATTGAATAGTTTCTGGGCGTTCTTCCTTAGGACCTCATAATTGCAGTAACCATAGAAAGCTCCAAACATCCATTAATATTATACGATAAATCATCTTTCAACTACTATCACTTTCACTTGATTTGTAATAGTCCTTTAATTTGTGTTTTCGCGCAGCTGTTATAATTCTGTTTAGTTTTTATCATTGGTGTTTTTGGAAATTGAGCACCTTTATTTAAGCGCATGAAAAGCTTTCAATAATTTTCCCTTTCTTCAAACACTACCATAATCAAAGTCAAAAGTTTTGGGAGGAGTTATTTTTATTTGTGCATACTTTTCGCTTCATCCGAAGGACACTGACGATCGTGATAGTATGAGGAGCAACACCGAGAAGGATCATAGGAATTCAAATAAACGGAACGAGAAAGAGGCAGCAGTTGCATTAGCTATCATGTCCTCCGCTACCACTGATCTCACTGAACCACTGGCCAGTCCTAGAGAGCAGCATTCTCCCTTTCCCAATCCCCATTCTCTTCCCCGCCATCCACGACGCCGAACGTTGAGCGGGGAAGGTATGTTCTACTTTCTTCAACTTGCTTTTTCTTTAATATTTCTAGTTTGTGACTATCATCCACTGAGATTACGTTGGAGCACTATCCATGACTAAGTTGTATGGGCTGTTTGAAAGTGTTGAAATTGGAACTCAACCAGACTATCTGTCTGTACACCCCACTAGGCCATCAGCGTCATTTACAGTGCGAAGGTTCGATGTCGTCCGCTGAATTCCATTGCTACATACCACCCGACGCTTGCAGTTGGCTGGACACCCTGATTGGGGAGGCCTGTGCATTGGAAGTGAGCCTTCCACAGATCCGGTGGCTATGGCAACTCTCCTTGGCCGCAGATCCTGACTCCCCTGGCGCTCTGCATCCCCGTGTCGTCTATGAGGACGAGATGGCTCTCCGTCGACGCGAGTATCGGCGACGCTCCATTGGAGAAGACTTCGGGGTGCACCGACGCGCGCGTCCTTGTCGTTCAGATTCCTCTGAAAGACCCTTCTACTTTACGGTACCTCTGCCAATTTTTACAATCGATCTTTAAGTGTTTTACATTGAAGTTTTTTTGTTTGTTATACAGTTTTTACGCCCCGTTTTAATACGGCGACTCTTTCTTCAGTTGGCTCACAAAGGAAGAGAGTCTGCTCTGGGTTCGGATGGGGTCGAGTCCTATGGCGGCCGTTGTGTGAAAAGAAGGAAAGTGTCTAGCGAAAGTAGCCGAACAGCTTCTCTCCTTTCTCAAAGACGCAGAAATAAACCTGCACCTCGTTCATCTATGGGCTATCTTTCATATTTAGCCTCTCGTCGCCGTTCCCTCTTCAGGTTCTCACGGGATTCCAAGAGGTGGGGTGGCATTTTTATAATCAATCTTTCCTTGTTAATAGGTGCGAGAGTTACGATGGATCTGAGTTTACCTACGTGTTTAGCTTACGCTGCAGATTTGTTTATTTGATGCCTGAGTGCTCAGTTTTATTTAAATTAGTCGTCGAGACAAGGGTATGGACACCTTTTTAGCCCATCTGAATTCATCAGATGCATTTGTTTTTTAGTTCTTCATCAAAACTCAAACAGTGAGCGGTTCTCTGAGTAAGACCTTGTAATACCGATTTTGGGGGGATTACGAGAATATGAAACTGTATTACCAATGTTAACCATTCACTAGTGCAACAACAAAGGATAGCACTTGTGCTCTGAAAAGGAACAATTCTGATTGAACTATTTGTGGATGTGATGATCAGTGAAGCCTATTCTTGTTCTACTCCTTCAGACAATCTGAGACATACAGTAGAGAAGGGAAAGAGGAGGCAGAGGTGAATGTGAAGGAATGTGAAAACGAAAATAGAGGCGGAGATTCTGATTTAAATGCTATGGCAGATGATTCAGTTAAAAACAAAGAGATACCTCACCGTGAACCACGTGGTGGAGTACGGAGACAGCCTTCCAACTCCTCCTTTGCCTCCATATCATCTGTCCCCTCTTCCCCCCCAACTGGTGGACAGCACTCAGCCTCCAGCTCTAAATTTCAATTTAACCGTGGCAAACAAGTCTCCGAGGTCGCTCAGAACTCCATAGACCATCACCTTGTAAGCCTGCTCAATGAGACTTTGTTGGTATCTTGCCTGATTTTCGCAATTTGTAATGCATTGTTGAGTTAGACGGTATTCGGTTTCTACTACCGGTTTTGAGATATGCTTGCATTATTAGACACATCTTTATGGTTTTTTTCTACCAAAACATCATACGTTATTCTCTGCAAAGCTGTATAATCATCTGAGTTAGATATCAGCGATTTTTATGAGTTTGCGTTTATCCTGTCGTAAATGTTTCCCGGCGACATTTTTTACATCTTTTCTGTGCGATGGATCCCTTACCCGTTGAGTGTTGTTCTTTATGGGTACTGTTAGTGCTACACATAAAAGTAAAGCTTTAGGCTAAAGCACACCCTCATGTTGATTACAAAAGTGAGGAATGTTGAATTATTTAAACAGGCTGGCTTTTTCCCATTGGCTTTGGCATTGTTGCATCAGGCCGCGACTCGTCGTTTCGCAACGGCTGGTGCGGTACGCCGGACCTCCATATTGTCATCGACTCGGCGAGATCGCGGCGGCGGTGGCAGGATGATGAAAGGACTTTCGCGACAGCAGCGGCGAACTTTGGTACCTCGAAGACGATCGAGGGAAGAAAACAAGGTTGGGGGAGTGAATGAGGAGGACAAATGGCAGGAGTTTTGCGAAGCTCCCAACGGCTGCAAAAGACCTCGTGGCACTGTTGCTTGGGTAGCCTGCGACCAATGCAACTATTGGTATCACCAACGCTGCGTCGGCATCATGTCCACCCGTGAGGTCCGTGGGTTCTTTTCAACATAACATATGCACACACTTCTCACGACCTGTAGCAAACTTCATGACTTTTGATTTTATTGCCAATTTTACGTATAAAATTGTGCCAACTTTGAGAGGTGCATCAGTGTTCGCAAAGTTACTAGAACTAGGAGCTGAAACAAATGTGGTACTCAAAGTTGGTTTGCTTTAAACTTATTTGAGCCTTTAACCTGAAGACAGTTTGAACTTTGTACTTTTACTTGTTTCACGTTCGTAAAATTCAAATGACTAGACAAAGAAAATGTGGCATTTTTAAGTTTGAAAACACGACATAAGTAATCCTTTCCTGATATTGAATTTGGTCACCTTTGTAGCGGATCTTCAACCAAGTCTGTGGAAACAGATGAAGTGGCGACGGGGCAAATTTGCATTAACGACGAGATCTTTAAGTCACTATCATAACAGGTGTCTTGACTGTTTTGTCCGTGTTCCAGGTGCCCGAGGTCTACGTCTGCGGGGCTTGCCAATTTGGCGATGTTGGGGAAAAGATAGGAAGCAGGAGGCCACGATCGTCTCGCCCAAAGAGCAGCCGTATCAGCGGTCAACCCTGGTCTGCACCCAAAGTCGAGCGCCAGCGAGAGGGCTCGACCGGCTCCTCTACCTCGTCAGGGAGTGCCGTCAGGACGGAGGCACAGGATTCGTCTGAGGATCCTCCAGTTCAACTCAAACGATCCGGCCTTGCATCACCCGAAAAGAATTTTGGTAACTGCTTCGCACGGATCAATCACTGATTTCATCACCTTATTCTCGTTTTATTTTTCCTTTTATCCTCCTATCATATTTTTCAAATGTCCAAGGTCTTTTCCTAACTTTCAGGAGAAGTTTCAGCGAAGAAATTCCACTCAGACGAAAGTATGGGTGCTGAAGCCTTGCTTCAAGCAATCGCTGTGCTTGAGGTTCAACCTTCAACCCAAGAACAACTTAATGCAAAGCATACGGTCCCACCTAATACATAGCTAAGGTCTCTTACGTTAACTGTCTCAATGCCCTACTTTATGAGGTTGCGCCACACTCCTTACAGAACCATGTAAGCTCTAACATTTATGCACACTCCTCATTGTGAATTCGGTTTTCGTTATGTGGGGCGGGAAAAGTTGTCACTTATTTTCAACTAATTTCAAATTTTGACTGTTAACTGTCGAAGAACTAGTCTTCAAGCATCGCCTTATGGCATTTCTGGGTTGCAACCGATACTTACCAAACCCTATTCCTTCACATGTTATAGGTTCTTTGAAGATTCCTTAATTCCTATTGCACCCACTTTTTGCACACTTAAGATATTGCCGTGTTACATTCTCAGAACCTCCGACCATTATTTTTAGTGAAAGCGACGAAACCCGAAGGATCGACAGGCCCTGATTGTAATTAAACCACCCCCTTTTTTTTACCCACTTTATCACCCACTCACCTCATGCGCATTAACCATTGAATATATCAGCTTGGCTTCTTAATTGAGTTCTTTTAATTTTTTGAGGCACTTTATGTGCTTTTCTGTTGCGGGATTTAATTCAAGGTATTTTGTGGAGGTCGCCTTTGCGAGCCCATATTTTGACACGTGTTGTGAAGTATACACGGGGTACTGCCTGTGGTTACGCCTGTCTACCGTTTTGCGAATCAATATTTGAATTGGTGGATAGTCATGTGTGAAGCTTTGAAGTTTGTCACATAGTGAGGAGTTTATGACCACAATTGTCGCCAACATATAAAACTGGCGATTAAGAACCAGACAGCGTGCAAGTGAAAACAGGAGTACTGCTCTACCGGCCGTACAGAAAAACAATACAGTAAACTAGTCGCCTCAGTGCGAAGGGCGATTTTCGCAGATAGGGGGAGGAGCTAGTAAGGTGGCTACGATTTCTGACAAAGGGACGAATGCCGCTCTGGTTTCATGCCTGATCCGTCTTCCTGGCTTTGATGATATTCTTGATGTAATACTCTCCCGCTCGATAGGAGGAACGCACCAGAGGACCGCTTGCGACAGACAAGAAGCCCAGCGACTTCGCCACGTCGGCCCAGTAGGTAAATTTGTCCGGGTGGATGTATTCACGCACCTAAGACAATGTAATATGATTTAAGGTAAATGTGAGTGTACAAGGCAAAAAAACGGCGAAAATTTTGAAGAGGGAGGACGGACTTTGAGATGTCGCCGGGTGGGTTGGATATACTGGCCCAAGGTGACACAGTCGACGCCGGCCAGGCGGAGATCGGAGAGGGTTTTAAAAACCTCTTCATCGGTCTCCCCGAAGCCCAGCATGATGCTTGACTTGGTTACTAGGCTGCCACCGCCCACACACACCGGGCGCTGCTGGTCGTACTTCTTCGCGTGCTCCAGTACTGCCAGCGACTGAAGGTAGCCTGCTCTATGGTCTCGTACGACTCTATATGAAATATAACGGGAGAGGAAGGATAATTAGCTGTCCAATTCAGTAATATTTCCGTTGCGTAAATATGTCAAGATGGTTGTATTACTCCGACGCTATAGTTGATGTGAGAAGGTGAAATAATTTGAACGTATTTTCAATTTGGCCTGATTAATTGTAATAGTTGTTGCATTTACCTGAGTAAATATTATGGGACTTTCACCTTAAATTTGATTAGGATTTTCTGCTGCTCCGTGGATAAAAAAATTCTAAAAGAGAAAACAGTTATTAACTTTTGAAGGGATTCCACCGTCTCGATATTGTGCGCGTAGACGTCGAGGCCACTGTCGACCATCGTTGTTATGGAGCCAATATTTCCGCGGAAGTCAGGAAGAAGACACTCAACAAGGATGGACGAACATTTTCTTTTGATCTGTTTCACTGAATGACGAAGAACGCGAGTGATTACTACAGACTGCCCCATTCTCTGGGAGAAAAACAAATATTATCTAGGTCTTTAGGTCTTCTAATTTTACCGTACCCTATAAATCAGGGGAATTTTCAGCTAAACTTTTGTAGTGTCATTCGACTCGTGTATATGTAAATAATTCGATATAAATGTAGTTTTCCTTCGAAGTAGTATGCTTTGATTTCCAAACATTTGTTAATGTTTCGTAATTGTTCAAGTATTGTCAAATTTACTAATGAAAACAAACAAGGAAAACTGCATCTTTGTCAACTAAGATGATAGTAAAACCTTATTTATAAGGCGTTGATGCACTATTTATACTAAGAGCTCCCGCAGGGAAAGTCACTGCGACCGAGGGACTCACCAGTTTCTGAAAAATGAGAGGCTCCACCGTCGGGGATGTCATCACGATCCACGGATGTAATGACGATATATTCGACGGCCCATTTACTCACAGCATCTGCAGTTTTGTATGGTTCCTCCGGGTCCAGAGAAGGTGGGTGGGCAGACGTCTTCACGGAGCAGAACCGACATCCCCGGGTGCAAGTGTCTCCCATTATCTGCAAATCACGAAAAAGATGCTCCTCTCAAGGAAAAGACATGCAGCAATCGATGCCAAACATTTGAGGTGTCGGCGGTTAACACGCCAAATGACAAACTGCAGTGCACACTAAAATCGGTCACCACCAGCCCAGTGCATTGTATGTCAGCTTTGAAACAATCATAAAGTATGGCCAAGTACTTAGCCGAGTCAGTATTAATCACGGAAGTAAGATGGAATGAAAGCAGGGGTCGCCATTTGAGATACATCTCGTGATGTGCACAACAAAATCACTCCTCCTCGACGTTCATCGCTATCAGCGCATGAACGAATAGAACCACAAAACAGGCCTAGTTTGAGATGAGACAAAGCGCGACTGTGCATAATCTGAGCGAGGTCAAAATGAACAACTTCCTTTTAGCTTAAAAACGCTAAAATCGACACAATGAAATGGTTACTGTTGTCAAATCGGCCTTACGCTAGAGTGACACGATACAATTAATGAAGAGGCCATTGGGGTGCTCTAATGGCCCTTCGGACATCAATGGTGCTCGCTCATCATAATTCCGAAATCGCCTACATAATATAGTAAGCACTTACTTCAGATTCTTTGCTGACACATACCATACGACACTATTAATACATTTTGATATCATACAAGTCACTCGAGGTGATATGCTCCTGCAAATGGCCATGCATCTCATCTACTTCGCCGGCAGGTTAAGGATAATAACGAGTAAAAGTCGAGTGAATAGGTGAGAAAACTGATTATCGCATTGTTCCATTTTCTTGCGCCCAATTAAGACCTGATGATGCTTTGGAAATCCGGAGCACAATTATGTTGGCAACTGAGGCGTTGAACACAAGAGAACAAGGTCTTACCATAACTGTTGCAGTGGGTACGTTATCTTCTCCGCCCTTCCAGCATTCACCCAGATTCGGACAACGCGCCTCCTCACAGACCTAAAACGAGAGCCATACTTACCACCATTGGTCAGTTGTCAGCACTTTTTCAACGAAGCGTTATAATTAAGGGCGTGTCAAGTGAAGAGTACAAGGAACAGCCAGGAGATTTGCGTAAGCTTTAACGATTCACGAATTCGCAAGTGAATAAAGAAGTTCACTATGAAAGGGTCAAACGACGGTGTTCAGGGTCAAATACAAAAGAGAAAGTAGACCCCGTGTTTATCTTCCACTATTCTATTTGTCACAGCCAGTAAGAATTGCAGAAACTATGCAAAAAGACAACTGAGAGGCGAGTCACTCACTCTAGAGCCCACACTACGTGCCTAAACTGAGGAATGCATCTACCACTGAGAAGAGAAGAGGCGCAAACTACATCACTTCAAGATGACACTGGTTCACAGCTTGCTTACCGTGTGCAATTTCAGTCCTCGAAGGTCATCTCTCATTCTCGATATCTTTTTACCATGCGGAATCTCCTTCTTCAACCACTCAGGTAGGCGAAGTCTATAAAAGGGTAAACAGTGAGAAGAAGTCAACAGACACTTCCTTTGAGCAGCAAAAACATCACAAATTATCTAGACACCTCTTGCACACCTAGTCAAAGGATGTACGATTTGCTGCTGCTTTTCGTTGCCTAAATGAATACATCACCTATGTGAGGCATTCCACCCTCGAAGGGGGCAGTTTCGCGTGGTGATGCATATTTGCTTGACTGCACCTCTAGGGCAGCCTGGTGGTTCAAGCAACACCGTTCGCCTCCCAAGAGAATGCCAATTTCGAGTCACTGAAATTCACGTCAAAAGCATAACGACGGACAGTCGAACTTTGCCAAACTATTGCACCACTTGTAAATGAACAAGTTCTAGTAAGTGTTGATCCTCTTGGTTGTCTATCTGAATGAAATGCCATCGTCTCTGTTAACACAGACACTAATTCTGACTCCTCACGACACTTGTACAATCTATACACATTACCCTTTGACAGTGCATTACGCTTGAAAAAAAGAAACCTTCTCGATCTCTGTACTTAAAATTGGAGGTAGATGGGAGAAACGCTGGCAGCACCACACCGATGGCAGCGCCAACGCACCTCTCTCCCTCACCCCATCCCCACCTTCGTCAAACGAATCGAGTAGGCCAGGATCAGCGTCTTTTTCTACATCCAACGGACAAGATCCTAACAGATGCAAGAATCCTTCTTCACTCGCGTTGAAAGTTGGCATAACCTCAGAAGCCGACTTTGGGGAACGCTGCACAAAACTGGTCCAGATCGTCATCTCCCAGGAGGAGCAGACGACAGCCAGAGCTTTTTTCCATCGTGATCGAAAGAGAGGGCAAGACAACTAGGAGTCTGACCAACTGCTTCTTGTAATTTGCCACAACCAAAAGTGGGAGGATGGATAGTTGGCCAGTTTAGACATGCAGTCTGCCCACACAGTGGTTGACAAACTCTGTGGCGTGGACACTAGTTCTCTCAGAGGATTGATGAAGTTTGCTGCGAAGAAATGCAAGTAATCAGCTACACTACCTCCTTCCAACAACACCAACAGCCGACAAAATGCAACACCACATCACCGAGGAAGTCCACATCTTGCTGCAGGTTTTAATGAGCCCTCCTCCCCTCCATCGTGCCCACGCCCTACCAATTCCCATTTGTTCTCGTAAACCCTAGGCTAAATGGAAGGACGTTCCTGCACCTTACCCTCTGAATCAGGCGCGGCCATATCAGCAGTAAGTCTCAGGCCTTCCCCTTGCCCTACCACCAAACTGAAATCGTTCCACAGCCTAGCAGGTTACGCTTCTTTACTCGTCACCATAAACGAGAAAACCTGCGCAGTGAGATTCATCGTGTGTTCGGAATTAGCCCGGAGTACAATTCTTAGGGGTCATCTCCTGCATAACATCAAGGCTGTTGTACACTTGAAGGAGGGTGCTTTCTTCACTCACGAGGGACAGTAAACCGATTGTGAGGCTTCCTTCACCCACAGCAAGTGGTGATGGCATCTGTAGCGTTCTGCACGAAACCGCAGCAATATCCAATAACATCTTGGATGACTTCTGTCCATTGCTCTACACGTTACCAACAACGAGAAAAAGCAACTCCGACACCTGTTGGTTAAGTACACCAGTAACTTCGCGTCGAGAGGAAGAACCAGTCATCACACACGCGGGCTATCAGTGAGGCCAGACCAATCTAGCAACCACCCTGACACCGACCGCTCTCTCTGCTAGAAGGGGGCGAACCATTTGGTTGACAGGGTCACGAAGCCCTCTGAGTCACCGTCAGCTCACCCATTGATTTGTTAAAGAACCAGGTCAATGACCAAAACACCTTCGACTGTGTTTCGACCCAAGACCATTAAATGTGGTGACAGGATGCTCTTCACCTGTCCCACACCAACGACTCGTTGAATTCCCTACACCGGTCAGAATGACTCTCCACTTTAGACTTAAAACCGGGCCACCGACAAGTGCAGACGCCTATGAATTTCAACGGTGTCCTTTAAAACCTGCAGCCCAACAGCCACACTTCCCGGACTTATGCGACAGGCCATGATTGGAATACTCACGAAGCACTGCACAATGCACTTCGATGACATCACTGATTATCAGCAGAGGTATAGAAGAACGCAACGATAGCCTTAAATTAGTTTTCAGTCATCCATAAGAGGCAGAACTGCCACTGAACTTGCCGAAATGTCGGTTTTGTCAAGATCAGTAGCATATCAGGAACACGCAGTTCCGACAAGCAGAATGACAATGACAGAAGTCCATGCACACCAAATGAAGACATAACTGACACCACTTAGTCATTACTATAGAGGTTAGTAGGTCTCTGGACTTACTGAACCACTACAAACGCTTCATTAAAGACCTCGTTAAGATGGATAGTCCGCTACATAACCTGACAGAAAAGCCGGCACAAAAATTTGAATAGGAGGAAGTTCACGATGACACGTTTGAAGGACTGAGGCGAGTACTCTGCTCGGCACCGATTGCGGCACTTCCTGATTTCAAGCCAAGTGCCCAACCAGTTATTCTGCACACTGACACAAGCAATACACCTGTGCGTCGAGCAACCACCATCACTTACGGCAGTGTCAAGCTCAGCATACAGGTGAGACACAACGAGCACTACAGCAGTATGGCTTCATCATGCCGTGCAGGCCAGGAAACGTACACTGCAACACGCCCCATCTCGCCAACCAGTCTCCAAAAAAACTGATGAAGATGCGGTGAATGCGAACTTTGTGGACAAGGAAATACACCCATTACTGATCGGCGACACACCTAGGCTGCATGAGATACAGTTTACGACTCAACAGTAAAGGAGGCGCTCTTATCGGGCAAGGTGAGCCATCATCTGTGGTGGGAATGACCGCAATCATTTCGAGAGGATGAGGTTTAACTTTATCTGGATAAGATCGGGACGCCTACGCGCCTTGTGGTTCCAGGTTTACTAACACAAACAGTCCTACAAGACGTACACGAGTGATCTGGCTATGACAGAGGAAAAGGACATGTTGGATGCATTGAGCAATGTGTATCGTGCCCCTCAGGCAGCTGCCAAAGGCCTCAGTGGTTTATGTCGGACCGGAATAGCTTGCACTCCACAGCAGTCGTACCACTTCAATACACGCCTACAGGACCTTCAGCAAACAGAAGCAGAGATAGGGAGAGAGAGATAGATAGATAGAGTTAGCACCGGCAGCGCTGGATCCCTACCGATCAGAGAGGGGGGATCTACGTATACTTGCAACCGTATATTACTCCATGCAAGTTGCCGAGGCAAAAGCTCCAAAGACTCAAGATTCTCAAACGGCACCCTCAGATTTCCCCAGATTTCTCCAAAACTATGCACAGCAATCTGGGTCCTGATTTTGAAGGTCCACTTTGTACGGGACTATGCACACATTTCAGCACCTTAAAGACACGTACAACACATGGTCCTCCGCAAGGTAATGGGCAGGCAGGAAGGACAAATGCCACTTAAATCGGACTTCTGAAGGAGAGGCGAAGGATTGGAATCCATGCCCAGGCAGTTGCTACTTTGCGTATAGAGCCACAATTCATGCAATCACCAGTGTTTCACCATTTAAAATGGTTTCTGACCACGAAATGATAGCATTTATTTACGCTTTTCTATTGAACACCTGTGTATCGAAACACAACGCTGCAGAGTACGCACTGTGACTAGAAGGAAGGCTAAGCCAAATTGGCAGCGTCATGCGTGAAGACTTAAGTCTGTCAAATTTCAGAAAAAAAGG